CAATAGACGAAAGAAGCCGGTGGAGAAGCCACCAACGACAATTCCAATAAAGGCAAACAAACAAAAGGTGGTGGTGTGTACATCCAAGTAAAAACTCTACACACCTTCTCAAGAAAACACAGCCAAATGCTGTGAAGAAAAGAGGTTGCAAGTCAGGAAAGAGGAAGCAACAAGGAAGGATGGAGCCCACCCAAATGGGGACTGGAAGAAAATCGTCTCAAACTAAGGAGGCCAAAAAGCTTGTGGGCCCCACCGGTCCAAAACCACCAAATTAGGCTTTTTTCAATAATTTTCAAATGACCACCTCTTTCAATAATCTTCCAATATGTTCGAAAATCTTATTTTAATATGGTAGTTTAATTTAATTACCTATATTAATTCCATTAAAATAATAAATTATGTTTGGCTTATGCCCCTTTGGCCCCTCCTCGATTGGAGATGATTTTTTGTCAAATGACTATATTTGGCCTATGGCCCTTTGGCCCCCTCGGTTGGAGATGGTATAAAATATGGTTTGGCATTGTTCATTAAAATATAATTTCTTGCATGGCTATAGGGCTAAACATAGCCCTTTGGCACTCCTTCGGTTAGAGATGGCCTAATACATTTCTTAAGTATGATGAGGTGGAGCTTGGTGAAAATGATAAACCAAAAAAAATATATATGGGTGTTAAAACCGAAGAAAATCATTTGCTTTGGTTTAATTTCATGTGTCACATTTCTGTTCTTCTTTCACGTCATCTTACAAATTATTTAAAATCGTTTTGGTCAAATACATAATATTTTTACTTCAATTGAAAAACTCATAATCTGCCATTTTGAGATTGATGTGCTTTTTAAAAAAACTGCTTCTGATGTGCTTTAAGAATAATCTACTACAAAATAAAGCAGTTGAGTGTTTAATGAACTGTATTTTCAAAGTGTTGTGAGTATGAAAAATAGTGTAAAAGCGTTTGATAATTTATAATTGTATATAATGACAAAAATAGATGTAACAATGTTGGTGGTGACGACGACAACGGTGATAAGGGCAAGGGTTGTGATGGTGGTGATGCCGATAAAGGGGTGCGGTTGTTGGGCTGGAGAGGCAACATCAGTGGTAGACAGCGATGGTGGCAGTTGTGGTTGCAGTGATGGCGGTTGTGTCTATGGTGGCGGTGGTGGTAATGATGGCAATGGTAGTGGTGGCGCGTATGGTTGTGGTGGTGGTGGCTTAACTGTAGTGTGGTGGTGGCAGGAACAATGGTGGTGATAATGCAATGGTAGTACAAGAGGTTAGGGTTTATAGTGGTGGTCACTTTGTTCTCCAATGACAAAATGTACCTACAAGAATAAATAATGTTATTTTTTTAAATTATTGAGAGTATTAAGAATTAAAAATATTCATTAAAGGCTCAACTATGCTTTTTATTAACTCATCCACATAAAACTTAACACATAAAATGAGAATTCCTTAATTTGAGTTCACCAAAAAAGTGTTTGTAAACTTTTAATTTTAAATATTGACTAAAAGAAATAATGTATATGCGTGTTTTGACACAAACGAGTGACTTAGAACGCATATGACACCCAAGAGATTCTCAGAAAATGTCATCTACAAACAACTTATCAAGAAAGAAAGTAAAATAGAAAGAACATTGGCAAGGAGGGAAAAGGATTAATGTCGAAGCGATGAGTGTGACGCAAAATCTTTATACTATCGTGGGTTCTCTTTCTGCTTGGATGCCCATGGGGACTGCTTTTTCTTTGACGGTGGGTGACATGCCCCGATCCCGCTATTCCTCTAATACCAGGATGGGCACGTGCCAACCGACACCCAAGGGTGACGAAGCCATTTTAAACATGCCTATAAATAAAACATATAATTAGAAAGAGATTCACAAATGCAAAATCGTGTTCAGAGCATACAACTAATCAAGAATTAAGTGAAAGAATTATGATAGAAACGTACAAACCGAGGAATGGGTTATACCCTAATAAGACTCGAAGATCTCTACGCGGAGTTGCCTTGACGTCGGGATGTTGTGCCTCAATTCTAACTCGTGAGGGGGCGTAAAATCGAAAAGGTGAGTGGACCAAAGTTTATAATAATAATACTAATAAGAAAACCATTTTATTTATGAACATATTAACCCCCTATTTTGAAAACTCATATATAATACTATATATAGGTTTTATGAAAACCCTAGCATGCCTTGTAAAAAATTCGTAAAACATGTACGTAAAACTAGTGCTCAAAAAATGATAATATTGTCGCTCGAAGGCAAATTCGTAATCTTATCAATACTGTACTCTCTAAGGGTATCATAGTTACCCGAAGGCATTACCTATCCATTATCCAAAGGTGAAGCTGTATGACACTGGGTTACACCAGTGAAGAAACCATGGTCCATAACCCGAAGGTGAAGTTGTATGACTCCGGGTTACGTCGAAGAAGAGGATATATAACATCACACATCGACATTAACCCCGGACTAGTGAAGTTGGGGGTATATCATCTACTCCTCATCCGTCTGAAGGCAATACCTGTCCATCACCCTAAGGTGAAGTTGTACGACACTAGGTTACGCCAGTGAAGAAACCATGGTCCATCACCCGAAGGTGAAGTTGTACGACCCCGGGTTACGCCGGAGAAGAGGTATATACATCAATCTTTTCAATTGTGTCCTATGGCCATAGACATCTAATACCCGTGTTGTGTGGATGTGCTGTATGATAACCCGCTAGATAAGTATCGAAAACATACCTTGAAAATCTCATATCAAATCACCGGAGCTCAAAATCTCATAATCCAATGTAAACCATACTCGTAATTCCATAACCAACGAGAGCCATATGAATTCATATATGCAAATCCAATAATTTATGACCATTTGTAAAAACGTAATTTCAATAAATCATAAATATTTCATAAACCTTAATTATAGAAATCCATAAAGCATAATATAAAAACATACTCAAATCAAGAAATATGACATGCTAGGCTAATATTTTATTAAAATATATAAGCTTAGAAGGGGTCCACTCACTGATTTTATTGCCCGAGAACTGCTTGAACTAGAGAGGATGACGTTGCTTCCCGCCAACACGCATGTGACTAAGCCCAATTTGATCGGGAAAAGCCCCAATTTCCCTCAAACCCTAAAAAAGGCGTGTGCTTCAAACCGTCACCTCCGGTGCTCCGCCGCCTCCAAGGTTGTTTAGGCTTTGTTCCTGGGTTCAAGGAGAGTGTAATGTGGTGGAGATCGAAAGAAATCATTTCACAAATGGTGGTTCAAAGTCGAGAACCACCCGGACCCGTTGATGGGTTTTCTCGCAACATCGGGGCTAGAATTAGGTGCTGGGATGTTGTGATGAGGTTTGGTGGTGATGGAAGGTTGAAGAAAGCCAGAAAACTGGACAGAAAACCATCGGGAAACTCCAAGGAAACCGGGTCAAGGGGAACCTGACCGGTTCCCCTCATTTTCTCCTCCCTCCTTTCCCTCCTTGCTCTCTCTTCTCATTGGTCACTCATCACCTCCCTTTTTCTGATTGATCCAATTCCTCATTTTCTCTCTTTTCTTTTCCATCTCAGCCACACACGTGGCATCAACTGATTTCTCCAGCAAAATCTAGAGCCTTCCAGATTTATGGTTAAATGACTATTTTGCCCTCAACTTCGTTCGTTAATAACTCTTTCATTATCACTCCAAATTACGTTCTGTTCCCGTCCACGCATTCGTAGCGATCAGTACTACGAGGATACGTCAAGAAAACGGATCTTACGTGACACGACAAGGCGGTCAACAAAAGTCAACGTATTTGCCTCGAAGGGTATTTTCGTAATTTCATATTTTAAAATTATAAAAACCATAATCTTTTGGGACGGGTTGTTATAGTGAGGGCCCCAACGACACCATGATTCGACATTTGTCCAACCATGTTAGCATCCATGATCTATGGTCTTACAATGGTAAAAATGAAACAAAATCTCCACAACATGAAAACTCAGAAAGGAATCTTCAAAGGCTCTTTCTCTTCCACTTTTCTCCACACACACACACACACACACACACACACAAAAACAAAACAAAAAAAAAAAAAAAAAAAAGAACAGCAACTTTAATCCTTAAGCTTTACCAAATTCAAAAACCCTCCATCCTTTTCAGTTTCTCTGGAGCACGATGATAAAGGTAGATTCAATATGAATTAAGTTCTCTACTTTTTTTGTTAACTTTAATTTTGGTTGTTAGATTGAATTTCTCTTAAGAGAAATACACTTTTGCATTAACTTTTACATTTGAAATTTCTCATTTTAATGAAATGACATAATAATGTATATTTTTTATTTCTCATCGTTAATTTCTAGATAAAAGCTTTAAAAAAATTTCTTTTTTGTGTAGAAAATGATAAGTGTTATTTGTTAAAGTGAAAAGGTCCATATACAAATGTTAGTGCAAAGGCTACAAGCACTTCCCTTTCTCTAATGGGTGCTTTAGTACAAAAAATATATAATTTTCTTCAACAACTCGTCTCTGTTGGGTTACAACTTACATTGGCTAGCTTGTCATCGATTATTTGAATGAATAATATATAAAGGTTGATTGAAGTCCAAGAGCATCAAGCACAAAACATGGTTATCAGTTAACTGTCCATATTACGTTTACACTGATTAGGGTTTAGAAGTTCAAAGGCTGGCATGGGGTGTGGTTTGCTGAACGTTTGGAAGTCCAAATCACAACTCTCTCAGCATGCGGTTTTGAAACGGCTGGTTGTCATTTACTTCGATAGGTTTTGCTGAACATTCATACTACTAGGAGCCCTTAAGCCCAAGGCACTTACTAAAACCAGCTTTCTCACTTGTTCTTGATTGATATCTTCTCTGACAAGTAATCTTCTTACTATAAGTGATGTGGCTGCCATGTCAGCTTATGAGTATGAGTGCTATTTATCAGTGTAAGCAAATGATGGTACAAATATGTCGTAAAAGTAGCATTTTAATTTGTTAGATGTGCTGTTATTGTTGATTGAGAGTCAGTTAAGTTTCTTAAAGGCTAAGAATGATATATAGCAGTAGCTATAAATAGAACAGTTTACTCCATTAAGTCATAAACTCAATACAGAACATTTTACTCCATCTTTTAATTCTCTCTCATCTCTCTACAATCTCGGTTTCCCTCTAGATTTTTCACCATTGTTTTGACTTGCTATAATTCAGAAACGGAAGGACAAAGGCAAATGGAATCGAGTTAGTTTTAAACGGTGAAAGCTCCCTAGCAATGGTGATTATGTTTCTGAATGGAACAAGTTGATGGCTAGTCAAAATGAATTCATTCATGGAGTTTTAACTGATGAGAAGATTCTTCTTCATAAATAAAAAAAAAAAAAAAAACTGATGAGAAGAAACCTTCTGTCATAGATATCGAAGGCATCGGGGAAGTGGAAGTCGGTGTTCTGAGGATGTACCCGCATCTGTTAGCTGAAGCCTATGAACTTAAAATGAGAATGATTGCCTATTGGAAGGTTGTCTTGAGGAGGCTTGTCGTTCAGGCAGGACTAGACGCAGTACCTCTCAAATGTGCACCCATTGTGTCGTCCTACAATGACAAGATCCGCCCTCTTCTGGATGCGGTAGATAAGTTACGCAGCTTGATGTTAATGGATGAAGGCATTCAGCTGCTAACGATTGTGGTGGTCGGAGACCAGTCATCGGAGAAGTCTAGCGTGCTCGAATCCTTGGCTGGCATCAGCCTCCCTCGGGGCTAAGGCATCTGCATGAAAGTGCCTCTTATTATGAGGCTGGAACACCACTAGAGTCCTCAGCCTGAACTTTCCTTGGAGTACAATGGCAGATTTGGGTCTGGTTTGGTACTGAGGTGATTCTGAAAAAAGTTGGTATCAAAAAAAGCTGGGAGCTGTTTTTGTGTTTGGTAAACATTTAGCTTCAGCTTTTTTTCACAGTTTTGGATGAAAAAAAGCCAAAAACAAGAAGCTGCAAAACCCAGCTTTGAAAAACTGACTTTTTTTCACATCTGTTTTACATAAAAGTTTACTAAACACTATAATACTGCTTTTTTTTTTTTTTTTTTCAAAAGCACTTTTACAAAAAAGTTTACCAAACATTCTGCTGCTTTATTTCACAGCTGCTTATTCTCACAGCACAGCAGAAATAGTTTTTTTTCAAAGCACAACAATATCAAACTAGCCCTTGATCATACTGATGAAGACAAGATCGCCAAAGATATTGTGAAAGCTACTAATTCTATTGCGGGGGGAAGGTAAGGGAATTTCGAACACGCCACTTACCTTGTTGGTGAAGAAGAATGGGGTTCCGGATCTGACTATGGTTGATCTTCCGGGAATCACAGGGGTTCCGGTCCATGGCTAACCTGAAAATATTTATGATCAGATCAAAGATATGGTCATGGAGTATTTTAAGCCGGAAGAAAGTATTATTTTGAATGTATTGTCTGCTACAGTGGATTTTACTACGTGTGAGTCAATCCGGATGTCACAAAGTGTAGATAAAACTGGTGAGAGGACTCTCGCTGTGGTTACGAAAGTGGACAAGGCACCGGAAGGACTACTTGAAAAGGTCACTGGAGATGATGTAAACATTGGTCTTGGTTATGTCTGTGTAAGGAACAGGATCGGTGACGAAACTTACGAAGAGGCAGGGGCGATGGCTCATGAACTGTTTCAAACCCATCCCCTGCTTTCGAAGATTGACAAGTCCATTGTCGGTATTCCAGTTTTAGCACAGAAGCTGGTCCAAATTCATAAGAAAAGCATAAAAAAGCTGAGGGATGCGAAGGAGGTGGTGGCCAAGACTATGCACAGCATTATCACTCATGGTGATTGATAAAGTCACTCTGTCGACAAATCCGTACTTGAAGGGCGTGGTAAATTATTCCAACAATATTTGCATTTGATTGATAAAGTCATTCTAAATGATGAGGCAAGTAAACTCTTTTGTGAGGCGATGGATGCTGTGAATGAGAAGATTAGGCCATTGGTTGGTGGTACCAATGAAAATATGGAACCTCCTGCAACCAAAGGAGATATGGAATGTCATGCAAAAAGAAAATCGATAGTAGATGATGTTGGTTTTCTTGAACCTGATCCTGTTAAGACCAAAGGATCTGGAAAGAGACTTAAAAAGGGAAAAGAGAAAGGAAAATGCAAGAAGAGGGTTAATGGTAACCTTCGTCATGGGTGTGGGCAATATGGAGTTAATCATGACAAAAGAAATTGTCTGAAACTCCAGAATCGGTAAGAATACATATTCCGCGTGTTTTTCTATGTATATCGTGCAATTAATATATCAATAGTTGAAATGCGTTTGTTGTCTTTGATGTATAATAGCATATTATTGTTAATCAGCATTTTTATGATTTCTATTTTGGTTAATTGCTGGATGAGCAACACTCATTGTCCATAGGAAACTGATCTCATTTTTTTTGTTCCTAATTTGCATGGTGTTAATGAGGTTCCTCTGTTTTGCATAAGTTTATTATATGAATTTGGAGGAATTGGCCATGAACTTGCAGGATGAGGAGCACTCATTGTCCATAGGAAGCTGATCTCATTTTTTTTTTTTTGTTCCTAATTTATATGGTGTTAATGAGTATCCTCTGTTTTGTATAAGTTTATTCTATGAATTTGGAGGAATTGGCCATGAACTTGAAGGAATTCACGTATTTTGTATGACTTTATTTAGAAATTTATAGTTCAATGATAAAGAACAATAGCATACCAACTTTGGAGGCAACATGGAAGACATCAAATGCCTTTTTTTATTTCATGAATATCAATCCAATTCTTTTGCAATGCTTCTCATACACAGTAAAAAACAATAACAATTTACAAAATGCTGATAAATAACTTTGGAGTCAACATGGAAGACATCCGCAACTTCTTTTTCATATTCCTGCATGCTGCTAATTTGCTAAAGCTTGAGTTTTGCAACTTCCTTTTCATACTCTACTTGTTGGTTGCTGCTCATCAACTCAGCAACTCGAATAGGAAATTCATGATATGAGTGAGGCTTCCTTTTGTAAACCAAGATATGAAAACAGGTCAAGAACTTGACCAAGGCTCCTGTAATCTTGACGTTTAGCTTCCTATTTGAAATGGATAAATGCCTTCAATTGATCTTCACTCTCCCATGTAGTGCCATAGATCCTCTGCAGCATCGGTTTCTTTTCATCTCCTCTGCAGCATCGGTTCCTTTAAATTTCCATCTCAAGACTTGACACAAACGATGTACATTTCACTTGTGTAGCTAATAAAAATATCATCTACGCACAGTTCCTCCACATTAAATCATCACCTTCATACTATATTGAGACTGAAAATAGTGAAACCCTTACCTCTATACCAAAGTGCTTTCTGGTGTTTTAAATGTATCTGTCTGTGTGCAGATCGAACCAAATTGACCAAATATGCACAAGAAAAAACATTAGCTGCCCTACACAAAATCATTCGGCAAACTGATTAAGATTTTCATACCAAAATACAACGATTTGTACAAAACGGACAAGGAAAATGAAATAACAAATGTCTAGAAATTGAAAGACTAATAAAGTAAGATTGTGACCAAAGTCTCATCACAGCAAACATACAGAAAGCATACCTTGCAACTACAATAAATATCTGAGGCAATCACGCACCAAGTTAAGGAAAAAGAGGAAGTTTCAGTTGCTACAGTATAAGAACTTTTCACATTAAACTACTAATTCAAAGGATACAATTGAGAAAAAAATGAACCCTACATGTGACCAGCTATGTTGTTCCATGGCAATATCAAAGCCCATGTATATAAACCTAAAAATTAAGGTTTTCATTTCAAAACAAGCGTGGTGTGTCATGTGTAAATAACAACTTAAATACTTGATATGTGATAAAGACAATGAAAAGCTCACTTACACAAACGTCTCCGCTAGTGATGATATCAAATGGAAAAAGGAAGAAACAAATCTTTGAGAGTTTTCTGATAAATTTGAATACGTATAATGCTTCATGACCTAAAACAGAACGCCAGTTTGTCCATGGCACAGCATTACCGTAGAATATATTAAAAAGAAAAAATGTACAGTTCTTCCACTTACCATTCCTGTGAACAATATTGACACAATACCAGACAGACCAAGACCTTCTGCAACTAAACAAATGATAGTTCTACGTCAATTTGCATATGAGGAGAAGGCCTTAAAACTAATTTACATAAGATGAAAAACGGCCAAGAGATCACTCACGAGAAATATGGAAAGAGGACAAACAGACAGCACTCCAAGTTTTGAAGACTGAAAAGATAACAAGACATCCTCGTTATTTTCACCGTAGTACTAACTAAACAAAGGCCAGCAAAGAATGGAAGAAAAGAATCACTCACTTGTCAATATCCAACCCTGCATACTTAAAAAGGTTTTCATAATTAAGACCACTCACTTGTCAACAGCCATGGCCATCATGTGTGCACACTGCAGTCAAACAAATATAAATAGTTCATCACCATTATCAACTACTCTGCATAGGATTTTCAAAAATGGATAACTAACCTGTAATGCAAATGGCATCATTGGCAATATATGACATATACAGAGTCATTTTTTAAGTAAAAGCAAATGACAAACAATTTAATTAGTAATGAAAATGGCAGCCTCAATAACAAATCCTTACCAGTCGGGGGCTTTCCCTGCAAAATCAAAACTCAAAAGGTTATAAGGTCCCGAGTTCATACTCTATTAATTCAGTCCATTCAAATCTGCAACCAATTTGAATTAGAACTCAAAAGGTCTTTACCCTAAAACCCGAAAGAAAACCACCAAATTTATGGACCCATTTGAAACCAAAACCATCACGAATCAAAACGCAATAGGTTTTTGTGTTTAAAATTTGAAAAATATAAACCCCAATTGTTCAACCCAAATTCCAAATTAATCACCTAAAATAGTAAATGAGGAGGAGAACCATACTTGAAATCTCAAAGGTTTTGCATACCTGCTGCTACTTGTCCTTCAACCTTATAAGCTGAGCGAATCACACTTTGGATTTGTTTCCCTGTTTGTCTGCAAATAGAAATTTGGACATCCCGAATCAGAAAAAACCCCAATTGTTCAACCCAAATTTCAAATTAATCATCTAAAATAGTGAATGAGGAGGAGAACTATACCTGAAATCTCAAAGGTTATTCGTGATGGCCTGTGATTTGGCTGGTGCGAAGCTCTGTTCGTGGGAGATGATGCGCGTCTATGTCGCAAGGAAAAGGCGGGAACCAGAAAAGAAAAGGGAAAAAGAAAGATTATATCAGCTATTTAATCTCAACCATCCATTTCATCTAATGGTCAGGAGAAGGCTCTCCATTTTTTTGAAAAAATGCGGATCCCTCCCTTTAAGCAATTTGTATACATACATACATACATACATATATATATATATGTGTGTGTGTGTGTGTGTGTGTGTGTGTTCTCCTTTGTATCCCTTTTTATCTTGCTATTGTACGGCAGTTGTTTTAGTCTAGTGTTGCTTTGTTTCTTGTTTGGGCCTAGCATCAAATTGAAGAAGGAAACAAAAGCATTTAGACAACATTGTTGATGAAATGGTCAAGTGGGGGAGAATGTGGATTGAATAAAGGCAATCATGTCACGTCCTCCTCCTTGTATAAGGCGGAGGGACTTTTTTATGTAATTAAAATTTAGTCTTAGTAGCATCACGATTTTTTTTTTACTCTTTTTAGTTTCTCACACAATTGTCCAAAAGATAAAATAAAATAAGCTAAAAGAATGTGTGTGAAAATTACTTTTCAAAAATATTTGTAAAGTTGGTCATGTATTGAAAAAATTGTATCATCCATCTAATAAAATTGGCGTAAAACTGACTTTAGTAACACTTTAAATTTATATAGCCGATCCCACATTTATTGAAATGAGGCTTTGTTGTTGTTATCTACCCAATAAATTCATGATTGTTGCATGATAAACTGATGATGCAATAGAATCACTTTTTTAAGAGGATCAAATAACGTAACAGAAACTAATGAACCCAAAAATATCTCAAACAAGGTGATCTACAAACAAATAATGAAGAAAGTAAGAAAAATGTAAAGCCCATTGGCAAGGAGGGACAGATAGATGTTGAAGCTCTGAGTGTGAGACAAGGATTGTCTGGCCTTCTACTTTCGATGCCTTCATGTGTCCTCTTGTTTGTGTAGTTACGGTTAAGTCATGTCAACATTTTATATTACTATTTTATATTACTATTCATTTTTGTCTTATTATCTCTATAAAAAAAATATAAAATATTAACGTGATTTAACCGTTACCACATAAAACAAGAAGGCACAAAAAAACACTAAAAATGGAAGGGCAGACAATCCTTGTCCCCGAGTGTGACGCAAAGTCTTTGTACCGTGGGTTCTCTTCTCTTTGCTCTCACAGATCAGATGCTAAACTCACCGTGATAGCCGACGTCCACCAAATTCATACGTGTAGTTTTTACCGCTTGAATGCCGTGGGAACTTTTTTTTTGTTGGACGGTTGTGGGCCCCAACGACATTATCATTCGACACGTGTCCTTAACTCGCAGCATCATGATCTATGGCCGTACATTGGATAAAGTGACAGTATTCCTACAATGTGGAAACTCAGAAGGGAAAGCTTCAAATGCTCTGTCTCTTCCACTTCTCTCCACAAGAAAAGCAGCAACCTTAATTCCTTAAGCTTTACCAAACTCAAAAACCCTCCATCCATTTCAATTTCTACCCTTTTATTTTTGTATATTTTCCTCAATTTCTACCCTAATTTTTCGGATTTTCATGTTCTTCTCCAATTGCTCTGGAGCACAATCATTACGGTAAATTCAATTTCAATCAATTTCTTTACTCTTTTTTTTTTAAAAAAAATATTTAGATTAGATTGAATTTCTCTAATGGGTACCTTAGTTTTCTTACCAAAGTACAAAAATTACATCATTTTCTTGAACATCTCGTTTCTGTTAGTGGGATGCGCTTTCTTGGTCGTACATTCCTATGCTCCAGATTTTCTGGTTCTAAGCACTTCTGAGATAAGCACTTCTGGGGTTTCCAGATTTTCTGGTTCACTAGATTGCAAGGGTTTTCTTAGTTTAGATGACTACAAAGCAAAGTGCTTTTACCTTAAATCCAACAACCCATGTGTCTCCCAAGGCTACATAAACTATCTTAACATTTTCTACTGCAATTTTGGAACTTTTCCTCAATTGGGTTATTGCTGTATGTTTCTTTGGCTTCTGGTTTTGTTCTATGTGTTGGGGAACACAGCTTCTGAGTACTTTTGCTCTTCACTTGATAGTTTGTCTAGGTTGTTAAAATTGTCCCCTACAATTGCTGGGGTAACCCTGCTTTCTCTTGGCAATGGAGCCCCTGATGTGTTTTCCAGTCTTGTTTCGTTTATGGGTGGCGGGACGGGTGAAATTGGTCTTAATACAGTTTTGGGCGGTGCTTCCTTTGTGTCGTGTGCTGTGGTTGGAATCTTAAGCATTTCAATGCGCAAAAGGCGCATTCGAGTTCACAAAGCGGACTTTGTGAGAGATATTTGCTTCTACCTTTTGGTCATTGTATGTTTGGGTGTTATCTTGATTCACAAGGAAATAGATGTGTGGGCTGCAATGGCTTTCTCTTCGCTCTATATTGCTTATGTAATTGTGGTTTACGTCTCACACAAGCATTGGAAGAAAAGCGTAGAATTGAGCTGTAATTCGAGCAATGAGAGTGACTTGACTGTGCCAATTCTAAGCAGCATTGAAGAGGAAGATCTCAGTGCTGCAGAGGAAGGAGCTGCACAAGGCAGTTCTGAAGTAGTAGAAGTCAAGAAATGCTGCTCTAATCTTAGATCATCAGTTTTTATTCGCACGCTGATTTTCATACTTGAGCTGCCGCTTTATCTGCCTAGGAGATTGACTATTCCTGTTGTTTGTGAAGAAAGATGGTGTAAGCCATATGTAGTTGCTTCAGTGACACTAGCACCAGTGCTTTTGTCAACACTTTGGAACCATCAATTTGGAAATTTTAGCTTCAAGACAAAGCTTGCCATCTATATTATCGGTTTGATTTTTGGAATCACTTTTGGGATTGTTGCTTTTTTGACAACTGAGAAGTCAAGCCCACCAAAAAAGTGCTTATTTCCTTGGCTTGCCGCAGGGTTTGTAATGAGTGTTACTTGGAGTTACCTTACAGCTCAAGAATTGGTAGGGTTGTTAGTTTCAATAGGGTACATATCAGGTGTGAGTCCTTCAATATTAGGGCTGACAGTCCTTGCTTGGGGCAACTCACTTGGGGACTTGATTACAAATTTGACAATGGCTTTGAATGGTGGAGCAGAAGGAGCTCAGATTGCATTTTCAGCATGTTATGCTGGTCCTATCTTCAACACTCTGTTTGGATTAGGGTTATCGCTTGTTGGCTCAGCTTGGTCTAAATTTCCGTCACCTGTTTTGATCCAGAGTGATGCATACCTCTTGGAGACCGTTGGTTTCTTGGTTGGCGGCTTGCTTTGGGCACTCGTGGTTCTACCCAGGAGAGGTATGAGGCTTGATGGGGTGTTGGGAGGTGGGCTTTTGGTTGCGTACATCGGTTCCATGTCTTTAAGGTTGATTCAAACACTTTGGTAGTATGAGTTAATCCTGTAAACTTTTAACTAGTTAATGTAAATATAGTTACTTACAAGCTTTGTGTTGTGTGGTTGAGACACTAAGTTAATTGCAGCTTTTGTTTAGCTTGATTTGAGGTGGTAAGTGTAGTTGACAAGCCTTTAATTAGTGAAAAGAAATGTGTACGTTGAATTGTTTGTTTGAGTAAACTGTTAATATCCTGGCATCTAGTTTCTCTTGTATATGGAAATTATGTGGCTTGGGAAAAGGCATGTCTTTGCAAGAGATTCGGCGATTGCAGGTTTGAGTTGTAAAAGTACTCTTTTAACAAGAAGACGAATAAGTTGTGCTATCGTCAATCGTTGCACGTCAAGCTATCACAACCATTATCGGTTCGGAATTTTATTGTGACGCACTTATATGAAAAATCAAATTGTAGTTTTTGCCGTGACATCATTTCACCATTGAATAACACTCTCCCCTTCCCTCATCTTCACTCTCTTTCCCTTTCCTACTCTCTCCGTCGTCTCCTCTCTCTAGGCCACCAAAAAGCCAAGGTCTAACCACACCCTGTACCACAAATCACCACATATAGAAATTGTAGGATTTGGTTCCAAAATAAACTTCCATTTTCATCACGAGAACAAGTACTAAGTAAGCAGAAATTGAATAAAAATCCTAGGAGGATAAGGATCGAACACTTTACCTAGATGAGAGGCACCAACCTTCGAAGGTTTAAGTGTCCGATTGCTATATCCCTTTGTTTCTATGCTCAAGTTTGCTTAGTTTTTGTTTATGGAAGATGATTTTCACGCACATTTTTTAATTTATCTGCTCTTGTTTGTTTATGGTTTTTGGATCAAATAAAGCAAGGAAAAAAAAAACATAAATAAGCTGGGTATGCAAAACGATGAAGAATTGTGTAGAAAATATTTCTCTTATTTTGAGAAAAATGTAAGTTGATTTGGAACAAAAGTTTGCTTGCAAGAATGTAATGCACAAAAAAATATTGAAATAGTACATAAATGCGAAACTCGGTAAACTTATAGGCAATAAAGTGAAAAAACTCAAAATTTATTTCTTCAAACTAAAAGAGAGGCTACAGCTGCCCATCCTCCTTCTATTGTCAACCCTCTCATTCTTCAGCATTATCACTGGCCACGCCACCCTACATGGACCGTCACTTGTATTAGTCTAATTTCATTCCATGAAAATGAGAGGGTGACCTGATTTGAATTTGAAACATTTTTCAAAGTTCGACGGATTTTGATTGGTTATAAAAGGTGGAGCGACCTAATTTTTTGCCCTAATCTCATTATAGTTTGCACTAGAAAATGTGCCCGCGCGTTGCTGCGGGACTTGAATGTATCACCTTGAACTGCATGAATAAGATACATTTTACCTGAACAAATTCAACACAATCATAAATGAAGAAAGGGATAGATAAGTGAATGAGGTTAGTAAGATATGCAGCTTCGTTTTTATATACATTCAACTGAGCTGACATGAAAAGACATTGTACCATGAACAGGCCGAAACTGAACATTTTGGTTCCCTAATAAACTGAAGTAACATACAGTTCACACAAATCTTACCCTTGTAGTCAATGTGGCAAAATATATATCATGTAGATTAGGCAACATAAAAACTGTTTCGTTCTTATTCTAGCATCTAAGTTTTCAAGCACAAACGTGCAAAGCAAAAAACATGCAGGACGCCTGTTACCGTAAGAAACAGAAGTAACATGCAGTCCACACATATTTTGCCTTGCAGTTAAGATGGAGTTTCGTTCTTGTTCAAGCAGCTAAGTCTTGAAGCAAAAATGTTGAAAGCCAAAAACATGTAGAACACCCTGCAGCAGTCGTTCTTGTTCAAGCAAAAGTCTTCCGCACTATAGCAAAGAAAATAAATCATAGTTTAAGAGAATATCACATGATGGTCCTGTTTAGAATCACAATTTACTCCCCAATTTCCACCTAACTCCGAACAAACAATATTGATAAATCTTTATCATCACCTTTAACAAAACAGATCACAGCGAAAAGAAAAAAAAAAGTTCCTATGCAAACAAATTCTTCTGGATGTCCAACTTAACCCATCTATGAGATGGCAAGCAATCGGACGTGCATTTAGACCAAGGAAAATAAATTATACAACTAAAAACATCAACCGATTCTCCTGAAGAGAACACACACACATGCCAACATATTATTCACCAGATTCTAAGCTTTCATTTTCGTTCTATCCCTTTCGTTATCTAAACTTATAATTATCAAAACAGCAATAGAATAATAGAGCAACCTTCAATCATTTATCAAAACTGAATTAATTAAACTTCTGCTCAGCACTCCGTTAATTTTAATTGCAACTCTCGTTCTAAAAATTAAAAATTTTGCATTTGAATAATCAAACGCACTTACACATTACATTCCTTTTATTGGTTCTTCACACAACACATTTTAGGATTCGATGTTACAATAATATCACTGAAACATGAATCGCGATAGATATAGAAACCAAACTTGCACACAAATGTTCGACTGAATTCAGAACCATTTAATTCAACAAAACAAATTACCTCACATGCTTGCTCCCCTTCTGCTCTCGCATCGTTGGCTGCGCTTCTAAACGGTTAATGAAGTTCTAAAAACAGTTTTTAAAAAACGTTTACCTATCCAACATTTCAACATATGGTTTTGGCAGGTATAACATTTCAACATAAGCATGATATAGAAAGACAGAAATTCACATGTCACTTTGTTTTTTCAGAACCAACAAAAAGGGCAACTATAAGAGAATGTAACCAATTTTAAACAGTAAATCAGTCTCCCAATAAAGGAGAACATAAGCATGACATACAAAGATCGAAAGGCAGATTTAATTTGGTTTCCTCAAAAGCAACGAAAAGGAGGCTGAATCAAATCAAATTAAACAAAGTGAAAACCAGATAGACAAAGATTAGAAATTTGCTTGCATCTCTATCATATCCCGCATTTCCTTTACAAAATAAACAATCATGAATACAAAGCACATGAAAATCAGCAAACCAAAAAAAACAAAGATAAACGCACAAATTTCCAAAGAAATTGAAATTGTGTCATGAAAATTAACTAACGAATCATATTGAGACATCTTTGCTTGGTGATTGGCAATGCTCTAACTCACTATGGGGTTTTAAATTATTCTATCCAGGTACAATGATGGGGATGCACTGCCAGCTGATGACCAGTCATTTATACTTGATAATGTTCTCAATTACCATCCAGATAAAGTTGTTAAAATGCGTTCTGGAATCGGTCATCTCACAGTATGCTTATCTACCCTGTTTTTGCTTAACTGCATTTTATTTAGAATTATGTTCAGCGCACTTTTGATGCATTATGCTTGGAATCTGTGACTGATTTTATTGTTATATTGGTTATTGTACTGTTCATTTCATCGTAGGGCAGACAGGAAACATTAAAATAGTAATGAAGCTCAGAATATTCGCTAAACACCAAAACCCACATCACATGCCCTCTACCCAACAAAGATAAATTAAAAACTACAATACAATGCTGAAAAACTAAAGTAGCCAGAAACCAAAAGATCTTAGTGACAACTTGCACGGACATTACAAAAATGCAGGACTCAAAACACACTAAAACGTATAGAAACTCGAAGTTATCGCTATTTGGTTATGAAGATAGATATATATCACCAGGAAACCCAAAAAATGGCCAGGATTTGCCAAAATTTGTAAATCAAACACATATGCATCAACTCCTTTTCCTCTGTTAGTCTGTTATCATCTCACATGCCACACTATTCGAGACTGGATCAATTCGATCACAGCCAAACTGCCAGTATTAAACTTAAGGAAGTACCGATCAAATGATCTAAACATTGTGTATTACAGATCCAAATCAATAGTGGTAATAAATAAGATAATTTCAGCTGTCATTTGCAATTAAAATTGAACAATGCTTATTCCCAAGGAATATTTGACAATGATTGCAGCAATCAAATGTGCGTTCAATTGAATTAGCTATGTATTTGAGGATTTGGGAAAGGTTTTTTGAGAGTAAACAGACGTTAATTATTAGCTATGTATTTGCTTAATAAATAGTAGCTGAAATTGCTATGTATTTTTCAATGGAGAATTTAAAAACCAATCCCAATTTGTCATTGCTCAAACAAATTGGAATTTCAGAACCAATCTCAATGATCAAATTAACGAAATATTTCTTAAGCTAATTTAGAAAGGCAAATTGCAAGATTTTGAAGGAATTTGAAAAAATGAGGGAGAAAAAAACCAAATTAGAAGGTCGTGCCTTATCTCCCTCACAAAATCAATCGCACAAAAACCATAGCTTTTGATGGAATTTCAAAACCAAACAAATCTCAAAGATAAAGTTGTCACGTAAACATGTCTAACACAGATTTCTCAATTATTAACACTTCTCTTTCTCAATTATTAAAAACATAAAGATCAAAGTCAATTGGGTGTATAATTATATACCTCATCATGCGAAGCAAAGCAACCAACTTCTGCCTCCAACGACCCAAAATTCTGAAAATTCCAAAAAATTTAATTTAAAAAAAAAAACATAAGAAAGATAAAACCCAGCATAAGAGAAATCTACAAACCGGATGCCAAATCATCAAAAGATTAAAAACCACTCAGAATCAATTAGCATTTGAGTCTAAATATGAGAATTTGTGAATTTGTTCCATAGGATAGTTAACAGGATACTATCATATCAAAACCAACGCTGAATAAAATCAAGCAATGAGATTGCAATGATATAACGTCATTTCCTTAAAGCTTCATATACTAACCTAAAAAAGAAAATATGGGAAGAATAGACTGCCTCCATTGGCCCTCCAAGTCTCCTAACCACCAAACCACCCGTCTAGATGCATTTGCCTGTTCTTTCCCACAATTCTTAGAGATCAAATAGAACCCTCGGATTGACTGGGGACAATATGGAAATCCTTTTTGAAGCCGTAATACAGGAAGACATGAATAATTTTGACAGAAAGACACACAAATTGTTGAGGGAGGATGTAAAGCTTCTGTACGGAAGGTTTCTACTCTTGTACATCTAAAAAAATTAAATGAAGCAAGAGAAATTCAACAAAAAAACTTGATAACCCTGCCCAAAAGAACTCACTAAATTCAAAGCATACCATCTACACTGAGTCACTAACATACATTGCTCAGTTAGGACTCTGTTATACTTATCATCCTTGATCAATGTAATCATATATTTCATAGCTACACTCCCCATTGACATACACTAACATAGCATCTACATTTTTGCTGACTTTATTTGCTCAGTTAAGCAATAGCCAACATACACAATCTGACAATCATAGCAGCTACAACAATCATCCATAAATGGGCAGAAATACAAATACTATTATATTGGGGTTTGGAACAAATAAACCAATCATCTAATTCGAATGTTGTTTGGAACAAATACACTAACCATTCAATTGAAATGGCATTTGGCACAAATACATTTTTCCATTAATTGGATATTCAATTAACTGGGATTAAAAAATGATTACCAAACAAAAGCCAATTTTCTAAAGAAAATTAGTGTTTTATACCTGCCAATTCCAAAGGCCTGTATAAGCCCAAAATTGAGGGATGGTGACATCTCCAATTTGGAGTTGGGGATCTGCATTTCCTGCAATTCCATAGTGTACAACAGCTTTCACCTTGAATAGGGTTTGTAGTAATTTAGTTGAGATGCCTACATTGAGCTTTTCACAGGTTTCTACATCAATTTTTTTCCAGCAGGTTTCTACAGAAAATATTTCAATAATATTGAATGATACGGGAAATAAATGGTTAAGATTTACACTAAAAGATTTAATAATTGTCGAATCTAACGGATAATACACTTGTAGTATTGAAGCCAGACACTGTTTCTACATCATTTATTAAATACATTATCTATGATATGCACTGACCAACGAAATTAATCAAAGTAAAACAGATGGTCATCTGCATAATTAAACATACCACGCTCAATCCAGTCATAACAATTATAACCTTTTTGTCTTCCAATCGTCCAATTTGAAACCTTCTTCCTGTCAAATTGAGTATGTAGAATTTGGTCCAAAGTTATTTTTCTTTCAATTACAATATTCTATGTATTTATAAATTTCAGAGCAGAACGTGCAAAGGCAAGAAAAGCAGCAACAACAACAAAACTCATATATACCATGAGCTATAAAGATAAACATTTTAGCAAATGATACTGATTTCCGCATACTCATTATTCTCCATATACACTCGTGTTTATTTTGGTCATTTGAATTGAATAAAAAAATATAAAAAAATAAAAAGACAAAAATTCAACAAAGGTGCAGAATAAGAAAATAGTGTGAGAAATCATTTTCTTTTAGGAAATATATGTACATATCACTCAAAGAACACCCATGTAATTATACAAACTTAATGAATATATATATATATATATATATATATATATATATATAATTTTATGCTTACCAGCAAAATCCAAATACGGTAGCCTCTGATCAGCCACAAAGCTTGTAGATTGAAATTATAACCAGAGTTATCTTTGAAAAAGGCAGATCAGATTCATGAGGAAATAAAAACTTTATGTTCAAATACGAAAAGCAAATCAAGAAACGCAAAAACTTGAGAACTAATCGAAACCCAATAGAGAAAAACGAAAATCCAAAGAAACCCAATAACCTGTTCGAAGAGTGACAACCATGCAAACATTCCCCATTTTGACAGGAAGAATAGCAGAGTGTGACATAACCATTCTGAAAACTATAGTAGCAGGTTTCCAAATCATTGAAGATAATAAATGAATAGCTAGACATTGAGAATCGTTTTCTTCATTAATTAAACAATAGAATGTGTACAGGGCATAAGTCAAGTTTGCTAATATAAATATCCTCATTATAAATATCACTAAAGCGTGCACATACATTGTGAGGTTTGCCAATATTTTCAACTATTTCCAAGTGTGTGCTGGTTTGTTTTTTTCCTTTCAAATATGCAGTTCTTTTCATTTGAGTCTAGATGTTAATATTTCTACGATTCAAGTGCCATTTTATTTCTTCACTTGGAAAAAGAACTAAGCCTTTTAAAGTGGCCGTGGTGGAAAGTAACTGGATACCATTGTATAATTTCTTCACTCACTGCACATTTTGTACCTCAAATTTCCACTTGATTATGTTTTAGCCTCTACCTATTCTCTTCCTTAATTTGGTTTTGCCTAACCAAAGTCTTTTCCTGTTTAAGGACACGCGCCCTATGTTATTTCCTTCTCCACTGCATTCTCATCTTGCTAAAATTTATAACATCAAACCATCAGAATCTCAACCCATAATCAGTTTTACCCGCCCACAATAAATCAGAATCCTCAAGCCAACAACTTACATTTGATTCAGGAAGTAAAGTGACTTGTGCATATACTTCATCAGTGTCTGGTTCAGCCTATAATTCAGCCGAAAGAAACATATTATTCCCTCGCAAAGCGCAATAACTTGAGTACAAAAGAACCAGCTAAACAATTAAATCCAGAATTCTTAGTTTTCTTTATAAGAGCAGCCACCACACTACCTTCAATGATACATTGACAACCCGACAAAGAATCTTCGATGCAAGATTATACACTGGCATCTGCTGATCAGCCAGCTGATTAGTCGATGCCTCCACCTATTTTTGAAACCAGAAAATCCAATTGACAATAAGTGATAAAACCCAGAAACACAACCTAATATGCATCAGCTACAAAACCCCAAATAAATAAATAAAAGACTCAAATTTCTATGTAAAAGCGAACATATTTTGACCCCAAAACAAAGATGTCATAGATGGAGGAAGAGAGAAGCGACAAAAAGGGAGAGATACTAACTCAACCCCACCATCTCTCTGCAGCCAACACACTCATTCCCTCAACCCTACCCTCAAATCTTGTACCCAATCAACTCTCTTTCTGTCCCCCTAATCGTGCACTCGCCGTCACCTTCTTTCTGCAACCAACCCCCTCTCCTATCTCCCCCAAATCACACCCCCACTCTCTGCAGCCAACCCCCTCTCATCTCTCCCCCATATCACACCCCCACCCCGTGAAGGCACTGACACCAGACCACCTCCCTAGAAACCGGCCCTAAAAACCCATACCCATACCTCCCTTACCCGTTACCTTTCTCAAAGCAAAAAGTGTTATATATGATAGTACTCACCCCAATCTGGTTAATGACATTCACTGCATAACGCTCACCAGTAGGTATAGTCTCGCTCTTTGAGAAAGGCCTGAGGTCAAAATTGGCAACAACAAATTAACAAAGCCAAATGAAAGAATAAATCTACAGTCACCACAAATATTTTCTAAAATGGAAGATAGACCAAAGTCAAACAGGAAAGGGATAGCAGACACAGTGAGCCTTGTCTCAGTTTGAAAAGAAAATTGGGTAGTTTCAGGAGCAAAATAGTTCATTTGTGTAGAACTATAACAGCATCCGAGAGCTAAGAAGTTATCACCCAATAAATTTTGTTACACCAAAGATTCAGAAAATGGGATTAGGTATGGTGGTACCCTTTCTCTTCACATTTATAATATATGGAGTATAGTGAAGGGGGAAAGCCATACCTTCCTATGAATGAATTTAAAAGAGGGGATTTTCCTGCATTTTTAGGACCAAAAACAAAGCAGCTAACATTTCTTTCCGTTTTTTTCCTTTTACGATCTACTGATCTTTTTCTAGTAACATGGATAGCTGAAGCAGGACTGCCATTGTATCCAACATATATCAAATTCGCCAAACTTCGGTTTGGATTTAACAGTGTCATGAGGGCCCACTGGAATCACAAAAAAACAAAGATATAATTACAATTTACAATTGGCTAAGGAGATTCTTTAAACAAAGAAATAAGGGAAACATAAATATCATCCAAAATAAATGGACAAAAAAATTCTTGAAGAGCATATGTAAGCTAATTTAAACAGGGTAGCAATGAAAACGAAGATACCTCAGACAAAAATGCATTAAGAGGTAAATTCCCAGATGCCGTTCTCCCTGCAGCATCCTTATAAGGAGCTTCACTCCAAGGACTGAAATTTCGGTAAACAGCATATTAAAAATCTATTTTTGGAGAATAAAAAGAAACCATGATGGGAACATACATTATTTTATCCACAAATAACAAAAGGGTAAAAGGAACATACATTATTTTACCCTCACCAGTCAGATCCAAGTCAATCCATACCAGGGGCATTTTGTACTCTTCTGGAGGTATCTCCGTAATTTGCTTGCTCTGCTTCTCATTTACCAGCTACGACTCATTTCCACATAAAAATAGAAAATCTGGATAACAGCAACTAACGCCAAATCCGAATAATGCACAAACCCTAAACCCTGGATTAACATAAATTACATAAATCATGTGAAAATACAGAAATTACAACTTGAATACCAGAGACAGACCTGAAGAGGGGAAGACTGACTTGAAGCTGCTTGACAACTTGTGACCTGGTGACGTACCTAGCGGCATTTCCTTCCTTCTTCTTTCCCTGCAAATTCGACGGACAATCAACGGGAAGTGTGAGAAAATGGTGAAATTAAATATTGGAAATTGTTCTTTTAATACTGATGTATATAGGAAAGCTTATCGGAGAAGGAGGAGGTGACCTAGAACTCACCGCAGGCCTGTAATGCTTATGCTTCACCGGGGCCTCGATTTGCAGATAGAAGCTCGGCCCGATCGTAACGAAGCACAGCCTCTCTGCCCCTTGAAATCTGAAATCCCTACCCAAAAAACCACGCACGGGCCTTCCTGAGGCGAATGGTGGAGTAAGACGACATAGGCGAGAGAAGGGATCAGCGAGGGATCTGAGGGAAATTACAAAGTGAGAAAATTTTTCTTGGAATTTTTATTGTGTCATTTGAGTAGCTAAAAGAGGACTATAACAGTCAAATATAGTGAAAGAATAATTAAGGGCAAGCTGATTGTATGAATAAAGAAATCTCAAACCTTCCATAAAAAAATCAAAGCGAAAACCAGAGAAGCGTGAGGATAGGAAGAGATTGATACCTTACCGGACGTTGGGGGTAGCCCAAGTTGACTGAAATTGACGAAACATTGCTCGACCTCTGTCTCTCTCTCTGTCCACATGAGAAAACCACATCACCCAAAAGGTCAGAGATTTCCAAAACCAAAAGGAAATTAAGAGAGAGAAACGCGGGGAGAGAGAGAGAGATACCGTTAGTTAAAGCGTGGACGGCTTCGGTTCTCCGACCACTGTAATCCCTGAAGATCTCTTCCGCCCGCCGACTCGAGTCCATCTCCCTGCACTTCTCCTTCATCCCACCGAAGCTCTCGAGTTACAAAAATGAAGCCGAGTTTGTGTGGTTTTGGTTTTAGGAAGCAGGTGTCGATGCTATTCCAGAGATAGTGTTGTGGCTGCTAGGGTTTGAGAAAGTGGAAACGATTAAACGAAGCCAGAAAGTTGGCTAAAAGCACCCGAGTGGCAATCTTGTAAATAAACTGAAATGTCTTACAAAACACTGTTCATATGAATAGTGCGATTTCCCCTCCTACTTTAGACTAAAGTAATAATGCTGGTTGACAGACTGTGCAATTCAAGAACGTAGGTCAATTTGCCGAACCTCGTTAACTTGTGTTGCTCTTCAGTTTCATTTTTCAGTTCTCTGATTGCCTCGTCAATATGCCCGTCGACATGTTCGTAAATAGTCACACCATGCTGCTAAACTTTTAAAACTAATAATTGTGTTAGGCAGGAGGATGATTGATCGATCAAAGGCCGGCCCCCATATCAACTTGGAATTTTGTCAAGTGCTCCTATGACTTTGCAGCCTCTGTATATATTATTAGTCAATCCTGGGCTTCGAGCCAAATCATGATTCTAGAACTTTTTTTTATCTTTCATCGTTGAATTAAAATTGTGAGTGATCATAATTTTATTTTTATTATACTATTGACAAAGTAAAGGTGACACATCATAATTAATTGGATAAATGTAATTAATGGCTAGAGGACACTGATCTCAATCCAACCAAATCAAAGGTTCACGTTGCAGAAAAAAATAAAAAAGCATTACTTACTAACTAATTAGGGTACGCCAAAACTTCGACAGAGAAATACGAATAAGATATGTGCTATCGTTTTCGCATGGGCGATTCCCCCATTGATTTGTGTGGAGTGACATCTAACCGTCAAACGGTCAGAAACCGTAAGCATGCACGTATAAGCGATTGCTTTTCTTGGTAAAGTTTACAAGTAACGTAATTGTTTGCCTTATTCATTATATTTTTAAGGCTCCTAATGGAATCCCTTGATTTCTTATGGTGGATTGAAAGAATTGTTTCTGACGACTTCATCAAATGTGATTTATGTGTACACATATTTATATAGAGAAGGAAATGATTGCATATGCTTTAGCTTCATTTGAGGCAGATAGTTATACTTATTACTAGAGGTCTACGGTTCTAGATTGTTTTGCCTCTACCCATGCTCGTGATATTTCGTTTTGTTCTTGTTGATCGATTTGTCTTTGCGGGTCTTGGCATGGTCCCCCTGCTTCTATCTTTTCCATTTACCTTCATCATTATCAATAAATTAGGTGGATGATGGACAGGTGGGGTTTCTAGGTGTAATGGTCCTCATTTCTTCGGGAGAGGATAGGTGCCTCGCACGTGACTATTGTGAAGAGCTAATCTCGCTTAATCTTTCTCTATTTAGAAAAAAACTAAGATAATATAATGCTATTTAGATACACAAAATTAACATATATATTAGCACAATTTTAATAGTATTGGCTCTATATTTGCATGTAAAACTCACATGTATTAGTAAATGTTAATTTCGTATGTCCAAATACATCACTCTCGAAATACGTAATGACTATATAAAAGTGCATTAGGCAAAAAGAGTCACTCCCTTGTATATTATAATGTCTTACATCATCGTGATTGATGTTGATTAGGAGAGAGGATACATTTCATAAGGCCAGTTGCAGTCGATTCAAAGGGCGTCACAACTTGGCGCAGTGCATTCTTAAAGCCATGGTGAAATCTGAATGGTCACAAAAGCTCTCAATCGTTGTCCGATTTCTATGCAGTATAGCCCAAAATACATGGGGACATATATCATCTTCTCAGAAAACGAAGGAACATATCTTCTTTCTTGCAGACTTTGACTAGATCATAGAAAACTGATATAGCAAATAACGATATGACAATCTCAGTAAGGCGACAAGGAGTTCACCCTTTTTGACCATCAATTATTGTAAACTACTGCATAATCTCAAATGTTTGATCTCCATTATGTTGATGATGTTCTTCTTACTCCAAGTCTCCGGCTCCTTACTTTGATTCTGGATAAAATATGGGTCAATTTCAACAACAAAAAGATAAAATAAAATAAAATGCTTCATATTTTAGAAAAGAAGAATAAAGTTAAGAATTATTGAATTCAATCAATATGACGACATATAAGGGAGCAAGAAATTATTTTGATGTCCACTAATATGTTGTTTTTGAAGAGAATCGTGAGTAGAATAAGACTCATGGACCATGAGCCCGTCATGTTTAAGTCCAAAAACAATGATTTAGGCTTCCAAAATCACAAGATAAAGTTTGTAATAAATTTCGAACTTTTCAATTTCTATTCGAATTCATGTCATTTAATTTCCTAAGACGCCTGAGCTTCCCCAACTATGGTCATAGGCTTTTTGAGTTGTTTTGCTCCCAATGTAATTCATCAATTCTGAATTAATTAAATAATCTTTTTCTCTCAAACTCTGATGGGTTCCAAAAAACTTGGTTCTTCAAGGGCATACGGTTGTAACCCTCTACACTCATGCTGCGTCAATGCCTTCTCATTTCAATTCAGTGTGCTAGGAACAAGGCCCAGTACACTAAGTTTCATAGGACAATTTATTGAAAAATTTATTCCAAATTTCCAACCACTTGTATTATTACAATTGGTGCACGAAGTGTGTTCTCCGCACTGAAAAATCTCTCTGCGTGCATCAAACTACTCTTCTTGAAAAACACTCTACCTTGAGCTTCCTTTGCATTTTTCTCTGTCGTTCGGATGACCTTTACCACTTCAAATCTCACAGGACCCACCTAACAACGATCAAACCTTGGGGGAACATCAAAATTTAGGATGCTGTCACCTAAAAAATCTGAAGCAATTGTTTCTTCTACTTCCGCTTGTTAGAACATACACAACCTTAATTATTGACATCAACGACATGTTCTAGCCAAATGAAGATATCGTTTTGTAGAAATAGCGGATTGAGGAATCCATTGAAGATCTGGAAACTAGAATGGAAGGGCTTTCAAATGATATATGGCGTGAAGATTGAGTACAGTTAATGAACTCGAAATTTGGCCCGCAACAAGGTTGCTTCTAGTTTCCACACAACATTGAAGCTCTGTGGTATTTTGCCGATATATGTTCACAAATTTTTTTTGTTGATGCACAGGTTGCTGTATTGGAACTAGACACCCAAAACTGAGTTAGTTTTGACGACAAACTGAGATAATGCACGAAGATACCACTATTGATTAATTAACATCAAAGTCTAAGTGTTCAGTTCATATTGGTTACCTGTTAGGACTACGCAAAATAGCACGAAGCACCATTTCTGCGCGCTACGTTCTTGACAGCCTATATGATCGAAGGTATGTTGCAACAATGTCGTATTTACATGATTTCAAATCTCCAAAATTACGAAGTCAAATTAACTATCAGCTTGCATGTCAACGAAGGGAATCCTAACTCTGAAAGAGAGAGCTTGAACTTTGAACAGAACTCTCAGTATGCCAGCCTACCAGCCTGTCCATACAAGTCACTGCGTATCAACATTTCACGTCCCATTCCTGGAAGCTCCTCATGAGGATACTTGTGCTGCATTTGCTTGGGAGAATCGGCTACAAACGGAAACACTTGTTAGTACTACATTCCAGAAGTCAAGGAGAAAGCAGAGAGCATTAAAGATAGAAGTCCTAACCCATCTCTGACACATCAGGCAGTTTATCAAGTGCGTCGAGGATAGCTCTTTCATGCTCCTAAACCAAATTAAACATTATTCATAAAATTGTTTTCAATAGAGTTTAACAAGAATAGTTGAGTTCTTAATCACCATATAATTGAATACAAACTGCAGGATGAGGCCGGAAACTTACTCGAAGGATTAGCTTTGCCTTTTCTATATGAAGTGGGACTACTCTTTCTTGACTAAGCAGCTTATAAGCCTGCCACAAGCAAAACAAGCAACGTAAGCAAACTCATGACAAGCAGCTGCTTCATGGTATATAATAAGGTATTCCGATAATCTGGACCACCAAACCAAGAAACCTGTGTAAATACCGTGGTAGAAGAATGCTGCATTATAAACGCATCTCCACAGATTTTCTGTGGCTAAGATCCCTTTAAATGAACAACTGACCACATGACAGGCACGCCTCATTTCCATGGAAACTTTTAGCAACAGACATGCTGATATAATGACACTTGGTATGAGAGATTTTTCAGTGTACAGATATGCTGAAAAGTCTCCACAGATTTCTAGGTGTACCGGGGACACGGCTTGGTACACCAAGTGTCATAATACAAGTGGGGAGAAGTTTTTATTTTCGAGTGTCTATCCACGCATTTACAGGGAACAACCGAAAACAACTTCATATATCCCGAGTTTGGGGTGCAAAAGTTACCAATGTCAAGTACTGCAGAGAATTATATTGAATGTACCTAGGCAAAATTACACTTATTCATATTCTGCATCAAAGGTCGTATTTTCAACTTCCCCTCTAAATACAGCACCCAAAACCAGTTGAAAATTAAATACCGAAATTGACTCATGCAAACATTGGAAAAAGTAAATAGATAACCTAAGAAAACATGTGAAGACAACTTTTCCCTCACCTGATGAATAACTTGATCTGTAGCACGAATCCTAATAAAATCACAACTTTCCTTGAAATTATCAGAGCCAGGTGCGCGGAAACCTATCTTCGATTGGGGTTTTACCAGTCCAGTACTTCTGCTACCAGATGGAACCTGAGGCTGAGGGTCATGACAACTTATATTCATAGCCTGCCGGCCTTTCTCAGAGGAGAGCATTGCCGGGTCGGTACTTTTATCACTGCTAACTTGTCCTTGGTACTGTATGCATATTTTAAGAAACATCATTTAAAAGACCATAAGTAATCAAACGTAAATCTGAAACTCAACAAAGATAAAACGAACATGTCCTCGGTACAGGATGGTTGAGGTTCAGGTAGGTCGTAGAATCAGAAAACCTAAGCCTAAAGAAAAATACAACTAAGTAATATTGTCGTGATTACATACTAGCTTTAATCAGAGATTAAATGGAAAACGAAACACCCACCCAAGGGTATAAATGGATCTTAGTTATAGGTATACTCTGCTAAAAACATACTTTCCTTTATAGGAAACCAATTTTATTAAAGAGAAAAAGAAATTACAAAAACAGGATGGGGGACAAGAAGTCTATCAGGAAAGCGACTACTGAGAATATCAACTCATGTTGTATAAAACTTACTAAGTTCATTATGCATACAATTTTAGTTTCTTACTTACAGCCTACTGCCGATACTTACAATTTAAATCCACGGAACAACACAACATAAAAAAATAGTCACCGAGTTGAATTCAACAGTCAAGTTTTACCCATGTAAACATAAAGGACGTTAGGATAACCTTACACAATTGTTACTATCAAGAAAGAGCAGTAAATTATGATAGCCCCATACAAACCAAGATAGCTAAAGGAAGAGGTATTGTTGACAGAAATGAGTTGAAAATAAGACTCATCCACCTGACTTGACAGTACAGTTTACAAATTTTTAACCAATAATACCACCACTAGGGGTATGCACACTTAAAGGTAAGCCTACTCTGTACCTTCTAAAATGAAATGCCCCACCCTTTATTACAACCACAACTCCCACATATGCCGCTAACTTTAGCATCATTGACTGGTGTGCATTGTGGACATATTTGTTTGCTTCTTAAAAAAGAGAGCTGTTCAGAGAGACGGCTCCTTTGTGTGTGTGTGTGTGTGTGTGTGAGAGAGAGAGAGATTGCATTTGCGAGACAAACAATAATCAAGTATGCACCATTGCGATTGAATAAATACATGCCTTCAAGCTCACGACAAGGCTGTTTCCTTGAGTTAAGTTTTTTCCACGTTTGACTCTCATTCCATTAGTGTTTTTGGTGTGGGCATCCTGTAATATTTTTTAAGAGGATTACTGAGACTAAATATCATTCCATGATATGCAGAAGAGCGTGCTATAGAATAAATGTAACAGCAATATTCTGCTTGGAAACTTTCTACTCACTGGTGCAGCAGAAGGGGTAGTTTCTTTACAAGAATGACTGTATGAGACACATTTCTGAGACTTTGAAACAGGAGGATGTGTAGTCTCCAGTTTTCTCGGTTCAGCATTGATCACTACTTGAGGAGGAGGATATCCAGGAGCATCCTCACTATACTCTTGAGCACAAGGGGCACCATTCCGCCATTCCCTGCATGAAATACACATAAAAAATAAAATAGAAAGTCTGAATAAAATCATTGACATCTGAGTTATCATACCAATCACAAAACATGTGTCAGTCTGCTGATTAAACAGGAAGAAATATGAGGACCTTATCATTTTAACTGACTGATCTGACTTAATCTTAATGAGCAGCTGTCCATGTTCATCATCTGTAATATTAAGTTCCCTCCGCAGCTCAGTCATAAGTGCCTCCCGTGCCTATAGAATAGAAGACGTTTTGGACATTAAGATAACAGAAGAAAGAATGGAAAGCGAATTGTTATTAGCACTCCGGAAAAAAAAAAAAATTCACAATAACGCTATTTAGGAGTGCTAATACCAATTTGCTAAAAAAATCAGAATAACACAAGGAAAAAGCAACATGATTAAGACTTTATACAGGCCAAAAAAAGGTTAACAATTAATAATTTACCCAAGTTAGGTTATTAGATTGAGCGCTAAAAGCCTTCAGAACAGCATGGTATGCCTCTGTTTCCAAACGGTGAATGTGAAGCTCCATATCCCATAAATCCTTTCCATGAGGCTTTGTTGCTGGAGACATCCTTTCAGTTCCAATGCCATGGTTGTGCTTGTGATTTCCTGATGAAAACATTCAAACAACACCATTTTTATCAAACGGAGGTTTGACCTAGGATCTCTACCCTCATCCCCACCCATTTGCCTCTTTTATCTAAGAAAGCCTAGTAATATATCAGGCTTAGTTGGGAAAACTTTTAGGAACAAAAAGGTTTACATTAATCACAGAACTGCTTATTTAAGCTCTTTTCATTATCTTACTGTTATAATTTCACTCAGATACCAATGAAGCATATCAAGTACAAGAAACTAACTACAAGTAATCTTTGGAACGAATAAAACGAGCATCAGTTCAACATTCACTACAAAGTATTAATTTGCTTCAATGAAGAATTGCAAAAGGCAACCGGATTTATAAAGGCACAAGTGGTGCATTATGGAGGGATATAAGCCCAGTCACATTCTAGATTTACATTAAATGGTCAAAATGGAAGAAATGCAGATTAACCATGATCAACATCTCAACTTTAAGCACCACTTGTGCAGGGAAATCATACTGTGGTTTCACTAAAAACGAGACATCAGAATACATCAAATGGTCATAACCAACTACGAGCTCAGTCTGTTACTACATTATAGGTAAGAATTGGAACTCTGAAGGAAATATTCAGCACACATAAGATCTTTAATAACTAACCAGTTGCAGGTCCTTGTTAGGAGTGGAAAAGAAATTTTTTTCAACAAGTAAAAGTTGAACAGAAAATAAAAACTCACATGCTCCATGAAATTAAGTTTGGTTAAAAGTCCCATATCTAGCAAAAAGGATGATTTGGTGGGAAAATTAAGCACCTCAAATCAAAGATGTTTAAGAGCAGATTATTTAAATGACTCATTACCAATAAAGAAGAAAAATATGCACAAATAGAACCGTTTACAAATCTTCGGTAAAAAATTACTCTTTTACTAAAGAACCACTAAACCAGCAATAAAACACATTTTAGTGCCATTTTATTTTCTATTTAATTAAAAATTTCGCTTTTCAATTGAAAATTTGTAAAAGGTTCTCTTTGTGTATTTCCCAATAAAAATCACTAAAAAAATGTGCCTTTCTTCTCCCCCATTTTTGCCCATAACTCTCTACATTTTGGGAGAGAAGACACCATGGACACTAATAAAATGCAGCTCCCAATTTCCAACCAAAAACGAAATTAACTTAGCATTAATTTAAGAGTCAAATATTCCCAAAAAAAAATGTGGGTCAGTCTTGTTACCAAGATTCTAGGCAACCAACAAGCATATCCCTCTCACATTTAATATTAAATTATTTTTTTTTTTTTGTCAATTGATCAAAGAAGAAGCTTTGAAATGCCCAAAAAATCTCTCCCGAAAGGATTATTTTATTTCTCCTCTCACTTTCCATAAAAGTTGACATCTTTAAGCATATAATACATTTTCAGAGCCACATTTCTGTGAAATCTGTTTGGTAACTGAGAAAACGAGAGAAAATGAAGTCGAAAGCAGTGAGTAGTAGAGAAAACGAACATACCCATTTCGTCTTGGAACGAGAAAATCCTAGTGAGTGTCAGAAGATGGGCGGAGACTCTGCAGAGTTGCTTCGGCTGAGGAGACGATCGGAAAATGTATGGAGGTTTGCTGCTGCGGTTGGTCTGGGTACTATATTCCCAAGTTATGACCGTGGTCTGTAGCCAGTCAAAATGTCACTCAATTTTCCTTTCTTCCTGTTAAGTAAGCTCACAAGTCTCATTTTTTCTCGTTCAAACGAGTAGTTCCATAAAATTTAAACTCATTCATAAAATAAAATATTAAGTAACGTCTTAGTGTGATAATTGTACATTTTAGAACCATCAGTTTCATGGTGTTCAAGTAACGTTTTGGTATGACAATTGTACATTTTTAGTGTGAGGGTTGTTTGTTTTATGTCATCGTCTCGGGACCATCAATTTCACAGTACTCGAGTAACATTTTGATGTAACAATTATACATTTTGGTGTGATGGTTGTTTGTTATGTCATCGTTTTGGGACCATCAATTTAACAACGTTCGAATAACATTTTGGTGTAACGATTGTACGTTTTATGTTATCGTTTTGAGATCATCAATTTCACAACATTCGAGTACCATTTTGATATCACGATTACACGTTTTGACGTAACGATTGCAGAATTACATGAGTGGTATCATTTTATTGTATTTCGATTTTAATGTTATACCGTGGTTGAGTGACATATTAACCACATCGCTTTTGGAAAGTACTCTACGCACACATTTTTTTTCTCTTCTTACATATTGTTATGTTTTTCGGTGGTTGGAACAAACCCGTTGCTGAAAGATACAGTCAAGAATTAGGTCTGGACTATGAAGAGACCAGTTGTTAGGCACATAACTCCGAGACTTATCCTGCTTTAGCTGCTACAAATGGTTGGAAGCTTAGACAGCTCCCATTTTTTCCGATCAAGTCACAGACCGCCCTCCTTCTCCCTTGACGGGATGTCGAGAAACGCTCGAGGGTTCTTCCATTCCTAATCCTCCGAAACTATTTCGTCAACTGTTTCATCATCTGAGGACGATTCCATTCCTGCATGCAGCTCCATTCCCTTTCTCAAAAGCTCCATGAGCCCGCTCACTTCCTCCTCACAGTACGGAACCTTTAGTCGTCTTTGATGTTCCTGCCAACACGGCTCACAATCCCAAACCTCCGCTTTCTCATGCCGATTCTTCGCGCCTAGACAAAACGAGCTTGACGTGAGCTCAGCGCGTCCGGCGGCTTTGCTTGGTTGCTCGTCTACTTCTCGATGTTGGACACGACAAGCAACTCGACATCCAAACGAGCTGAAAACAGTGGTAAGTATCCCCAGTCGCGCGCGTTATTTGAAGCCAAAAACGAAAAGTGAACATGAGACTGATGCGTACTTGTGCATTATTCTCGACATTCTTGAGCAAATGCAAGATGAAGTTGGCAGAACTGACAGGCCAGCGCTTGCCCTTCGCCTGACGTCGACGACGGAAATGAGTGAAGGGAATGGCTTGCTTTTGGACCCTAACAACGTCCACAAAAAGAACAGTTAACGAGCAAATGCAAATGCAACAGCAACACTTACGTACCTTGAAAAGAATGTTAAATACAATCAAATGTTAAGTATATATATATTATACAACAATTGCACAGTTTATTTCGAATATGAATTACAAGGAAACAATATATATATATATATATATATATATATATATATATATATCTATATATCTCACAATATAAACAATTGCAAAACTAAATTAATGAATCACAAAACACTAACTTGGTTAGGAAGATAGAGGCTTGCAGTAGCAATCTCCTAAGACAGAAATACGCCCCTACACCAGTGCAGTAGTTCGTATGGACGTCTATCTTGCAGGATACAACTATCTAATCCAAGTTCTTGCACTCGAACTTGGATTCTTGGCGAATTGGTTGTGTGGTTCTCTGTGAAAAAAAATGGAGGAATGAATATGGAAAAACTTGATATAGGTTTCTGATTTTTATTGCCATATATATAATGGCATAATTCGAACTTATCCAACCGTTTTGGCTTATCAGTTTTTTGTAAAAAGAAAACCGAATGCAACTGTTCAATAAAAACTGAACGTAACTGTTCAATCGGAAAAAACTGAATCCAAAAAATCAAAAACGTAACTTGTGTTTTTCGTCCATCCGAGCCCAAGAGCCCCAAGGCCCAAGGCCCATCTTTGACATTTAATATATACACCCAAACTCTCCAATTCTAAGGCCCAAGGTCCATGGCTTTGGCCTAAATCAATTCAAACTATAAGTGAGTGAAATCACTTATAAAGACTTAGAGTGTAAAGGGTTTGGGCGATGTGGGACTCCAAGTCCCACATAAAACACAGTTCCAACAGGGAAGAACATATCATTCGAGTCCTTGGCATACGCAATGCATTCATTACTTAGGGGACTGGTTTTAGGGAAATGAAACCGGTCCCGTACCAGTTTTGTGGAGATCTTGTGTTCGGTCTGATACCGAAACCTTTGAAAATCCAAATATCGGGCCGGTCCAGGTTCGGTTTCGGCATTCGTTTACAAATGGCACGAATTTTTCAATTTAGGGGGGCTAAAATGATACTCCATGTTAGTTTCAGGGGCAAATGAATAATTAGGACTTTCTTCTTTATTTCATTTCTGCCCTCTTTCAACCCTGCGCGCCTTTGAAGTAAGCGGATAAAGTCTTCTCTCTCTCCGTAACCGGTAGAGTGGAGCGGAAGCGGCCACACTGATAGAAGCAAGATATGTTGGCAAATCCTGACAGTGGCAGACTCCACTGCCCTAATCCCTCCCAATTCCTGAACCCAAACAGGCCTAAATGTTTCCTCTTTCCAAACTGCCCTCGTTCCCCAAACTTCCCCAGCAAGTCCAAGTTCTGCAACTTGTCCCTGCTTCTGCCCAGGCAGACCGGCAAGAAGGGTCTTGCCATCAGAGCTTTGTCCGAGCCCCGCGGTGTTTCGACGAGCGGTGGTCCTCAGGGATACCCTCAGCCGTACTCTGTCAAAATCCCTGTTGGTGATAGACATGTGAGTCGAGTTTTCACAAAATTTGGTTGCTTCATATTTGAAAAGAATGTATCTTGCATGCTTATTAGCCGCCCCTGTTCCTTGTTCTTTCGTGTTTTTCGTATCTTTTCGTGCATTGGATAATTGGGATTATCCTGATCAGTTTCTTCTTCTTTTTATATGCATATTTAGAGAGATTTTGGATAGGATTTGTATCAAGTGTGTTGAATAAGTACTACCAAATTGCGTGAAATTGGTGTTAAAACTAAATGAAATTGTGTTTCTGAATCTTTTGTAGAAACTCCATCGAAAACCCATTTTCAGAGTAACACTGGTGTTCGAACTTGAAAGTGAAACAAACTTAAAGTGGAGGTCTTGCTGATTATTTTATCATGTGTTCCACTTATTTGCGCCTGGCATATGAATAACTTTGTGGATAACTAATTTCTGCAAATTGCATTTGAATTGGATACTTCCGTGACTGCCACAAATTATTTATAGAATCATGGTATATGGAACACCCCTTAGGACTGAAAAGTGTACAAAAATATTGGTTTTACAGAACATGTTTATCAGTTCAGTAATATTGTATTGTAGCAACTTGTTTGAGAGGAAAAAGATATACTGAATTAAGCTTGATTGTTTTATCATGTAATATTTATTTGGAATCTTTACAGATTTTGGTTGAGACAGGTCATATTGGGAGACAAGCCAGTGCTTCTGTTACAGTGACAGATGGAGAAACCGTAAGTTATTTGTGCCTGAAAGCAAATCATTCCTTTTTTAGTCTTGTACCTTTTTTTGCAGTAGTCAGCGGGCAAGTTTTTCAGCCTGTCGTATATGATCTGTATAACTGTTATATTATTTGAGGCAGTTTACATGTTCTTTTTATACAATACTGATATTCTAAACTATCATCTAGAATTTCCAGCTTTAAGTGAACTTATGCCATTTCATGATTTTTACCTATATTTCCAATTTTTGTAAATCTGGAATATTGATGTTTCTACTAATATGAGTATTTTCATCCTTGGCTAACACATACTTGTCATCTAAAGATGGAAAGCTCGAAGGTTTTGCATTGTGTTATGCAGTAAAAGTATATTTTTGGTGTGTTGCTTTTGATAATAATCTTTAATTCCTGCTTTTATTTTATAGCTGAATTTAGGTATTCTTCCTCTGAAGAATTAGCAGATTTATGTTTCTTGTTGTAGATTATTTACACATCTGTTTGTCTGGCCGACACTCCAAGTGAGCCTTCGGACTTCTTCCCTCTTTCGGTACATTATCAGGAGCGCTTTTCAGCAGCAGGTCGAACTAGGTTTGTCTTGGACTTTTTTCCTGTATTGTTGGTTAGACTCTTACTTATTGCTTGTCTAGTAATACTTTGTATTTGACATTGTTTTAGTGGAGGCTTCTTCAAACGAGAAGGAAGGGCGAAAGATCATGAGGTACTTGCCACCAGCTTTGAGTATTAACTATTAAGAACCCCCGCCTGACAGCTTGAGCTGTCTTATTTAATCAAGACATGCAGGTCGAAATGGTTATTTATTTCATGCGATTGCTATTGCATTGCTTTATAGGTCTGGCGTGTTTATCTGTTCTTCCTTAGAAAGCATGCAACAGTTTGCCTTCTTAAGTTGTACGTGTACATCTAGGTCCCAGGAATGAAAGGAACAATATTTAAAGTCGAAGGTTGAATGCTTACTGTTTCTTCGTATAAAAAGAATTCTTTAATTCCTATTTAGAGGTCTGTGCTATTTTATTAGCCACCAAAAATTCAGATATGCCTCTTTAGCTCCTCTTATCATCATAAGGGTGGAAGGTGTGGTTGTGGGTTCACGTTGTACATGTCATCTCAGATTTAAGAGCAGAAACTGTAGCATGGAATTATTGATCTGAACTTTCTAAGTTTTTCCTCTCTATTGAGTTCCCATATTGGGAGGATAGTCTCACTAAAAAATAAAACTCCCATGTAAATGCACTGTTATGTATGCATCGTACAAAAGTCAACATTCTCCTTTTTTTATATTTTAATAAATATTTGTTTTAGCTTTATTTGAGAGGTCTGGTTCTGTACTTTTTTAGATTTTGGATACCTTATCCACACTTTGTAATTGCTTCTGTTTCTAATAAAAGTGTGTTTCATCTAAAGGAAAATAAAAATAAAATTATTTTAACTTTTCATTCTGTGCAGGTTCTCATTTGTAGATTGATTGATAGGCCTTTGCGTCCAACTATGTTGAACGGCTTCTACCATGAAACTCAGATACTTTCTTGGGTACATTCCATATGTGTTTTTAGATTTGTTAATTGCTTCATTTAAGCAAATAAAGAAATAAGGTGCTATTATATTGCTTGGTTTATATTTCCTCTTGCTAACGGCTCCTTTGTCAACATACCCCTTCAGGTTCTGAGTTATGATGGTTTGCACTCTCCTGATTCTTTGGCAGTCACAGCAGCTGGAATAGCAGTGTAAGTCTGGCTGTTCCCAGCTCTCTGGACCCCTTACGACACACATCTTACAATTTAGTTCACCTTTCTTACAAAAGAAAATGACACTTTATTAGGCCTAATTATTCAACTTCCACAGGGCTCTTTCTGAAGTTCCAAACTCAAAAACTGTAGCAGGAGTGCGAATTGGTCTTGTTGGTGACAAATTTATCGTGAATCCAACAACAAAGGAGATGGAAGACTCTGAGTTGGACTTGTTGGTCGCTGGCACAGATAATGCAATATTGATGATAGAGGTAAGTTACTGAAAAGTTAAATGTAATGTTCGACAATTCCGAACCCTCGTCAACTTAAGTCTTCAGAAATGGATTACAGTTGTAAATTCAATTATGCAGACCATACCGAATTCATATGGCAGATTTATTACTCTTAAAAAAGTTTGTAGGCACATTTTCTGGGATTTAATAAATTAATACTTTTAGAAGGTATCAAAAATTCTTTTCTCAGCCTCTGTAATTTTCCTTAGATGTAGTGGAAAGAATGTCTATTGCAGGACATGGAAATAAACAACATTTTATTTATCTGTTCATTTATATGCTATTGCAATTGAATAAAATATATTTTAGTAATTTGCATCTCAAATTACACAATGTAGGAACTAGTATTTAGAAAGGGTACTATGATATTCAATACAGGTTTAGCAGCGAATAAAATTGCACTTGCTATTTGTTCTGTCAACTGGACCACTAGAGTAGAACTATAGAAGTATCTGGTGAAAGCGATGAAGAAATCACCATGATTGATCTGCAAAGAAGCTCTAACAAGTTACAAGAGAGAAGCTTGAGAGAGAAGTCTACACTTCCCTTTCGAAGAGAGAGAACTTATTTTTTCTTTACTTGAACTGGATTAATTCCCGCTATATATATACATCAACTAATGCAGCTCATCAACAACTAAACACTATTAATTAACCTTAATACAACTGAATGATTTAATTGTCTAACTTAATCATAGCTGAGTTGGCACTTGATGGGTTCTTGACTGAGAGACTAATCTGGTACAATAGAGCCTATACTAACATCTGAACTGTCTAGACTCTAAACCACATCTTTAGTCGTTATATGTGTGTGTGTGTGTGTATCACTTCAAGTAGATTTTTGCTTACTTTTGGGCTTTTAAATTCATTTTTCATCTGCGTTACTTTATGTAAACATTATACATTTGACATGAAAGACTATAAATAACACTTTCGTTTCTCCAGTGGTGGATATAGTAATTCCATGAGAGTTTTCTATGTTCATTGTCCTTATGCTGACTCACACTCATTGGTGTAACATCTTATTTGCAGGGCTATTGTGATTTTCTCACAGAGGAAAAGTTGCTGCAAGCAGTAGAAGTTGGGCAGGTTGTTACTTCTTTTGAGTATGTAGTCTACGTGCTTGCACGAGTTATATTATTTGCCTTAGGTTAAAAAAAAAAAAAAAGATTATGCTACGTTCCAATTATCTTGGCCTTACCAAGGCTAAACCCTAGAATTTCTGGTTAGGCCAGTAGTGAACTTGTGCCCTGTATGTTATGTACTGTATTGAAGTTATAATTACTTTCTCTATTAGAACATGACTTTTTTTTTCAAACTATATGTACTAAGTCTCGCTGCTGGGAGATCTGCAACTCTATTTGGTTGGTCAAAGAGTTTTGTTTAGTTATTTCTTTGATTGTTTATTAGAATAATCCCACAACAGACACATATCCATATTAGATTTATAAACTTTGTTTATACACCAATGTCAGGATGCCATACAAGCAATTTGCAATGAGGTAGAAGCTTTGGTTAAGAAGTGTGGAAAGCCAAAAATGCTTGATGCAATCAAATTACCTCCCCCTGAGCTATATAATCATGTTGAGGTATGCTTTCTATCTGTTGTTCTGCAACAGAAAGATATCACCTTTTGAATTAGAATGATCCCCCCCCCCCCTCTCTCTCTCTCTCTCTCTTACTCTCACTTTCACTCTCTCTCTCTCTCTCTCACACACACACACAAACTCAGAAGTAAGTTTAATAATAAAATTGTTGATTACTTCTTTACGTGAAATTCCTAGTTCCAGTATAATTGTGGAGTACTTAGTTTTCCATAAGAAAAGTGTTATTCCTTTTGTTATTTTGGTGACCAAGGTTTTACTTTTTTATACGTGCCAAACATTAAGTGCTCACGCATTATAGTTTACCATGTGCAGGAAATTGCCAGTGATGAGTTGATAAGAGCTCTGCAGATTAAGGACAAGATTCCTAGAAGGAAGGCTCTCTTGTCTTTGGAAGGAGAAGTTTTAACTATACTTACAGAAAAGGGATATGTTAGTAAGGATGCAGCTCTCGTAGGCAGTGAAACAATACCAGATATATTTGAAGATGAAGAGGAGGATGAGGAAGTGGTTGTGGATGGTGAAGTAGATGAAGGTGATGTTCATATAAAGCCTAGTTCACGAAAGTCAACCCCCTTGGTATGGAACAATTCTTTCTATTCTGTATTCAAGTGTTTTGTGGTTGTGTGAATGATGACATTATCTTTTATTGTTAATGCATATATAATTATATATATGTAATTATGTATGTACGTGTATGTATTTATCCAATGTCTATTAATATTTAAGAAAGATGGAACCATCCTATTCTTATTTGTTTTCTTAACTAAAAATCTTGGTTTGTTGATTGGTCTGGAATGGTGTTGATATAAGTTTTGGATATTTCAATTGACAGTTGTCTTATTCTTCGTCCGTCTCCGTGTTTTTTGAACACTTAATTGTGAGTGCAATTGTTAATAAAGTTATGTTTTTTTGTTTTCTAGTTCTTTTCTGAGGTAGATGTGAAGCTGGTATTCAAAGAAGTTACATCCAAATTTTTACGAAGACGCATTGTGGAGGTATGAGCATTTTCTTTTAGTTCAATAACCTTTACTTAACTATATTTGAGGTAGATGTGAGGGTGTTGCTTACTTTTAAATATTTAAAGCATCAAACCAATAGAAACCTTAGATTTTTGTCATCTGGCTGTTACAAGTTGCTATTCACATTCATGCCTTAGATTTTTCTTTTCTTTTCTTTTTTTTTTGGTTGTTACAGGGTGGAAGAAGAAGTGATGGACGTACCCCATATGAGATACGTCCAATCAACTCAAAATGTGGACTGCTTCCAAGGGCACATGGAAGTGCTCTTTTCACACGTGGGGAAACCCAGGTTTTGAATTTTATTATTCAGCATGAATTGATGACTTACCTGGTTGTGTTTTGTGTACTGTAACTACTCTTTTGGGTTGTTCTATTGTGATTAATATGTGTAGGTAGAACTTAAATACCGTTTAGATGGTTACCTTTTGTTCATGTATGGTCGCCTTTGCGACATGTGTGTTTGTGTTTTAAGGATTTCAGCATGATTTGTTTCTTTCAAGTACTTAGTTTTATGCATGGAGCTATCCCAATAGTAGAAGCCAGTTACCTCTTATATGATTTTAATAGTATGAATAGTTTGTCAATTAATGTGAATTGCGCTCTTGAAATAGGGTTATGTCCGGCTATCCCAGTTGTCCAAGCTAGTCACCTCTTATATTATGTTAATGAGATCAGTATACTAGTGATGGAGCCAAAGAGTATCATTGACTTCTTTAATCACACCCCCATATTAGTTTAAATCCTCTCATTCGACTCTCATTTGTACTAACTGAGCCTGTTGCTAGCCTCTTAATGCACAGTTTTTATACATAAATTTTTTAGGTTGTCACATCACATTGCCAGTCTTATCTTTGTTTAGTTTAATCTCATATCTTGCCAGAAAATGATTTTCTCAGGCAATCATTTAACAAATGTTATTGATTCAGTTATGTGGATATCTCAAGGCTGTTAATGTTTTTAGTTTAGTTTCATTAACCATTTCTTTTCATTTTTTCTATTGTAGTCATTGGCTGTTGTTACACTCGGGGATAAACAGATGGCACAGAGGGTAGACAACCTAGTAGATGTTGACGAATGGAAGAGATTCTATCTCCAGGTCTCTCTATATATCTCTTAATTCAAGTAACTTTGCTATGTGGTTAACATTTTTTGGCAATGTAGTAGCTCTGGCACACTGCACCCATGTAGTTTCCTACAGCTATAAATATGTAAATCTGTTTGTGATGTGATATTCTGCCCTTCTCTTCTGATCTTAAGTAGATTTGTCTTTTTCTGATTTCATCTGTTTCCTTTAATCATTTAACTTATGATTGTCATTTATGATCATTTTCTTTTGTGTTAATTTGGAAGTTGTTGTCATAATTGCCAACAGGGTCATAATTAGAGTTACAGAGAAACAAGTTGTTTGATTTCATAACAAATTTCTCTGTTTGTAATTACCACCGTTCATTGATGTTTGAATTCCGCTAAATTATGCTTCAATTATTACAATTGCCATTTCTAAATGTGTTTGCATTTCTTTATGTTATAAGCAGTGGGAACCTGGCTAATAATGTATTGATTTTTCAGTACACATTTCCCCCTTCATGTGTTGGGGAAGTTGGACGGAATGGAGCCCCTAGTAGAAGAGAAATTGGCCATGGAATGCTTGCTGAGAGAGCTCTTGAACCAATTTTGCCTTCCGAAGATGATTTTCCTTACACTATACGTGTTGAGAGTACAATTACTGAAAGCAATGGCTCTTCAAGGTTGACCTTCAAGTGAATAATTTATTTTATTATCAAATATATTTCAAACATTTATAACATGGTCGATATTCTTATGAATGGTTTTGCACGTATTAATCCAACTGATACCACTAAGATGTACCTCTTAACACCATTCTTCTGCGGAATACAGTATGGCATCTGTTTGTGGGGGCTGCTTAGCTTTACAGGATGCTGGTGTTCCAATCAAGTCCTCTATAGTTGGGATAGCAATGGGTATGGTTCTGGAAACTGAGGAATTTGGGGGAAATGGTGCTCCACTAATTCTGTCTGACATAACTGGATCTGAAGATGCATCCGGGGATATGGATTTCAAGGTCTTATGTTCTAGAATTTATTTAGTTCACTATCCTAGTGTTTTTGTTGGTTTTTCCATGATTTTGATCATCTGTTGTCAAAGTGGTCTGCAAAGATCATGATTTTATGGCATAATATTGTATTGAATAATTCAGTGGTTGCAGGTTGCCGGAAATGAAGATGGTGTAACTGCATTTCAGATGGACATAAAGGTCAGCCATCACATATATGTTGATATTTTCTTCAAGATGAATTTCATTCTTCTCTGTTCGGCTAAGATTAACTGCTGTGTTTTAGGATGTATGGTTGTTACTTCTAGGTTATAAACCACTTACCACACCAAATGTCAGGGATTGTGTAAACAGTATGCGTATGTGTGATGTTTCTGTTGTTCGGGTTTTCTGTGCATTATAATAAGTAATGACCTGAAGAACTTCTATCTTAGGTGAGCGGGATTACATTACCAGTTATGAGAGAGGCACTCCTACAGGCAAAGGATGGCCGTAAGCATATTATTGGTAAGGTTTACTAATTTCCTCTCTCATAAAGGTATATGCACTGATTTACAAGAGTTCCGAATAAGTCTAGGGAAACAGTTAAAGTAATTACAAAGTTAACTATCGTAACTATGTATAGGCTAATTATAACCTAATTACAGCTGTACATGCTAACAGTTTGTTGAAAATTTTATTTGCTTCTGACGAAAATGCTACCATGTAAAACTTCTACTAGGTAAAAATGCTTCATCCAGAACCCACTCTCAGACATGCCCCAATACAACCAGTGAAGTATCTATAGTTCAATTGATTAACACTTTGATCTTCCTTTAGACAGCTGCATGGGTACACATGTTGATCATCCTAACTTATAGGATTAGAGCTAGTGGGTCAGTTTATATGATTGTGTGTTACACTTTTGTGGGTTCTAAACAAATGCCAAAGATGGTCAGTATAATTTTCTGGATTCTAGAGATACCGTATCTTGTTATCTCATATTTTATTCTGTCAGTGGGAGTAGAAGTTAATGTTATTTTGGGTAAAAATTCAGCGGAAATGTTGAAGTGCTCATCTCCTCCTTCAAGATCGCTTTCTAAGTACGCACCACTGATTCACATAATGAAGGTTTGTTGATTACCAGAACAATATTGCTAAGCAAGTTATAAAAGTGATGTCTGAAGTATGTAATCTGCTTCTTTCTTACGACCTGATATTGTAATAGGTCAACCCGGAGAAAGTAAACTTAATCATTGGTAGTGGTGGGAAGAAGGTGAAGAGTATTATAGAAGAGTCTGGAGTAGACACAATTGACACACAAGAAGACGGGATAGTAAGAGCGGACAATTATCCAATCTGACCATATATTTCCCTTAAAAGTTTCACTGTAAATATTAAATATTACTTTTGTTCTGGGTATTGCAGGTGAGAATTACCAGCAGGGATTTGTCTAGCATAGAAAAGGCTAAAGCTATTATTACTAACTTGACAATGGTTCCGTCAGTTGGTGATATCTTCAGGTAGCTGTTTCTTATGTAGAAAATATATGATCATTCACAAAAGATGCTGTTATTGCCCTTATAGTTCAAAGTTTTAAATATCATAGCTTTTGCATTTTTTTTTTTTTATAAAATTTAAAAGCATCATAACTTCGTTCTGCATTATCAGTTTTACATACAGTTTATACAGTTGGAGAACATTCCTTGACCTCTTTCAAATATGTTGTCAAGAACCATGATGTTTATAAAGTTATGTAAAATGCACGTGGAATGAAAGTAATGGTACTGTTAATTTGTTAAATTCTGAGGAAATGTAGTAGTTATTAATTATATTTAATACTACAACAAATATAAGGTGTTCGTGACATCTTTTTTTCCAAAATGTAGTCAGACTGCTTGCAGAAATAGAGTGATCTCATTTTGAAAGAAAATAATTTATGGAACTAATTCTTAATAATCTTATGGACTAAGGACCGGGATATATTACTGCCCTTGATTTTGTATCTTTTTCTGTTTTATTTATTTTCTGAGGCATAGTGAAAGAGTACATCAATATATTAGCTGAAAATTGGCCAAAGTCCCTACACTATAGGAACACCGGGCACTCTGTTGATTACTACCTGAAATTGTAGGCTATCTGAATTCGTGTCTGCTACTACCAGAACGTAGTTTCTGTTAAGTGCGGTATGGAAGCTCGTAACTGATGCATGTTGTCATTCATTAGTGTATCTGGAAACAGGATGTCACTTTGATATACCTTGTGCTTGGTTAATAGTGGATTAGATTAGTAACTAACTGTTTGACTTTCTGGCTTTGATTTTTCAGGAACTGCGAGATCAAATCAATAGTTCCATATGGAGTATTTGTGGAAATAGCACCTGGGCGTGAGGTATAATGCAGTGCATTCTTAGTACATAATTATATAGTTCTTTTACCTCTGTAGGCCGTATAAACCTAGTGATATATAGATAGATATAGGCCTCAACTTATAAACAAATGGGGTTGAAATAGTACATCAACAGACATCTCACTTCTTAATCTTTTACAGGGACTTTGCCATATTAGCGAGTTGAGTTCAGAGTGGCTGGCAAAGGCAGAAGACGTAAGCACATAATTTTTATCTATATTACTATATATGTGTGTGGGTGCGTGTTATGATCATGGAGATAAAACCTTTCTTGTTTATTTTTTAACAGGCTGTTAAAGTTGGAGAGTATATTGATGTTAAACTTATTGAGGTACGTTTGCCATTTCTGATATCTTTAAAAATAAAAACCTAACATGAACTGTTCGGTGGTAAGTGATTAATTTAGTGTGACATTATAAATCTTTGTCTCAGTGGAACAATAACCTTTTCTAGCAGCCAAATACACAAGAAAAATGTAGAGTCTCCTTATCCTAGACCGTGAAGAACATGTCTTTTCTAGTAAGATTAGCAAATTCCATTATAGTCTATGGTCCTGCAAACGTTGGTTTCGTTAAGGGAAGTTTGAATCCGGTCTTAACCCTTGCATCAAGTTGCTATTTCATGACTTGAGCCTGTGTACTTGTGTTTTATATCCTGAAACTTTTACCGTTGCATTCAACAATGATCTTGCTAATACTCCATCATTCCACTGTAAGGTTTGTTTCCATTTCACGCCCTTAAACAAAGTGAGGAATCCTCGCACATTGAAGACATGTTGACAAGGATACTCATTAGACTTGGTTGAAATTTTTTGTGCCAAAGCATACGACTGCCAGATTTTGATGGCAACAACTCTAGTCATTCATGTGAGAATTTGTAGTACAACCGTCTCCCGGCATAAAAATCTTGGAAACATTCCGAATGTCGTAATTGCAGCAAACATTGCATCATTGGTTTTAAGAAAGCTCTTTTATAAATAGATTACTGACATGAATGCATAGTTACAGACCAGATGCGTTGTTTTTCTTGTTAGGTAATCAGTCAAGTTTATGTAAATTTTTTGTAGTTTGTTTATGTATAGCTCTGCCATAACCGTGACAGTGCCTTCTTTTTTCATTCCTTGCTATCTGTTGACCAAGTTTGCTTTTACTGGGCCAACTATGAAGAACTGCAATCAGATAATTTGGCCTTATAATGCAGGTAAATGAGAAGGGGCAACTTCGCCTTAGCCGCAAAGCTTTACTTCCAGATACAGATGCAGAGAAAGCCAGTTCAAAGCAGCCTACGGGTGACTCCAATGATGTAGCTTCCCAAGAAACATCTGACAAGGGTTCAACAAAGAAAATTATTAGCACTCCAAAGAGGGACGTAGCTGAAGAGCTCCCACAAAAGAAGTTCATTCGGAGATTAGTCAGTGCTGCCAAAGACGGACCAAATATCAACAAAGATAAAGCAAAGAAGAGCAGTAAAGTAGTCGGTAGCGTCTCCAGCAAGGACGAAAATACTTTAGTGAATGGAGAGGCTAACATTGGATAGTATGGATATTTTCTTCTTGACCAACTCACGAGGATTATTTATTGCTTCCTGTTTGTCATGTTGAAAAACGATGGTGCAGTGTCTCCAGCTGAGGAAGAAATGGTATGAGTCACCTGCTAAGACATTCTTTAAATGTCATATATGGATGCATGTACATATAGAGTTCATACGATCTACGTGAAGTTAACTAGATTTTGAGCATGATAGTACGCCGTAATTGTATTACATAATCATTCACTAATTGGAAATGATGGAATCTGCTTTCGACAGGAAGTGATTTATTAGCATGTTCCACCAAAAGGCTCGCCTCGCGTGCATTGACGTGAATGTGTCGCATTTAAGCATTTAACTGAGGAACCGGATTAAATGTAACAACATCATGTGTTCTTTGAGAAAGCTGGGAACTCTTATGAGCTGGGAAAAGTTGCTGAAGCAATGATTTTTACTTGCTCAAGATTCCGAGAGCTCCATTTGGTGTGGGGTAAGCTTCCTTGCTAGGTGCTTTAGAGTTTCCTTTGCAGTAGAGGAGGATGCCATGGTGCATTTTTTGTTCAGATTTCGACACGGTAGTTTTGTTTCTGTCTTCTGTTTATTGCTGCACCACAATATTTTTAATACTATGCTGTAAACGATCATGGTTGAGCTCCATCGCAACTTTTTTTGTAAGTTTTTCTTCTGGGTTCAAAAGCCTCATGGCATAAGTATTTCTCCATGTTTGTCAAATTATAAACATCGAATTTAATCAAAGTAGAACACCATCCTGCTCTAGCTTTGGACTGATGCTCTTAAAGTTTGAGTTGTTAAATAGTCTTGTATTCGGGAGGGGTTGTTTTCGGGTAGCTGTAACCGGACAGCATTGTCTGGTTTGTACACAACCAGGTTCAGAACCCGGTCGTGTCGAATTCCCAACCCGCAGTCACGACCGCTGCACCATTACTAATCGAAGCAGTGCAGTCGGTAAGTTTTTAAGGGTAGCAATACGGCCTTGCGGCTTTCCTTGGGTCGCCGCCGGGGATTTTCAGGTAAGTTTTAACAACTATTCTTCATATAATCGAGCAAAATAGCTCGATTATCTGCGAATATTAGAGTAGAGATTAAAGTTAGATCACAAAATCATTTCGTTAAAATAAAACTTTATTCATATGAATCTATCTGATTCAGAAGGGAAGAACTTGCATCATATTTCAATCGGATCAAAGATGATGTAGAACTAAGAAATAGGATTGAGATTTTTCAGGATAAGGAAAGACGAAACATAAATCGTGGATCAACTAAGCCTTCTCAGGGACGTATCCATCAAGAACGTTTTATAAAACACTTGGACTCCCGAATTATTAATACTGAATTGTTGATATTAAACTCAAATCTTTAAATAAAATATCAGTTTAGATACAAACTTTACAAATAATTTCGGTGAAAAAATAACAAAATACAATAGAAAGTTGCAACTTTACCTTACACACGGTAAAAAAACAATGCACCTTCCCCAAATTTCTCAAAGAATTTGGACAAAGATCCCCTCGCTTGGAATTTGTTGATGAACCACATACAAAATATAAAACCCGGAAGGTGCAAGGTTTCCCGAAGGCAGCGTTGTCACCTGAGCTTGATACGTCGTTGGCCCTACCTGTCGTACGTTCTCCGCACCAAGAACCAGCAGCCTCTGATTTATTCCATAGAAGACAGCATTCCATACTTTGTAGAGTTTACTTTCCACCAATGCAGCATATCAAAAGTGTCGTCTGCTGTATTCTCACACCTCTTTGACAAATACCAATCCACCTCATTTCTCAACAGTAAACCTTTCTTTTCTTTGAACTCTAGAAACTTATTCATCCATTCGTAATGATACTGATCACCATTAGAAGCTTTGGTGCAACTGGGAGTGGAATCCGATGCACTATAAACCTCGTATGGACGAAACAAAAGCTCTTTGACCCCTTTCTCCATGTCTTCAACCATGGAATCACCATATATCTTACCAAAACAAAATGCCACATAATCCAACTTAAATCGTGGATCAAGCACAACAAACAATCAACAGCCTGTTGTCGTCAAGAGAACCCCAATATTTGTCATATTTTGGTTTGATACTAGTTGCCATTTTCCCCAAAAGTGAATCTTGACTTTGGCTCAATGTTGTCAACTTGGATCGAAGCGAACACATTGTATCAAAACAGATATTGGAAGTGACACCTGAAGCACCAAACTTCAAGGTTGCATCATAAAAAATCTTCAAAAACCAAACAAAGCCCGAACGTTTTCCCAATCATCAACTGTAGGTGGACCTATCATCTTTAACCCACTCTCATCCTCCAAGAAATGGCTACCATAATCTTCATCACCTTCTTCTAGCTTCTCAAAAGCCTTTTGGAACTTTAAGGCATCTCTCAACATCAAATAGGTGGTATTCCACCTAGTAGGACCATCCAAAACCATAAGACCTTTACACTCAATTTTTTCATGCTTGATACATGCTTCAAATTTCAATAACCCTTCGGGAGACGAACTTACATATTTCACAGCATTGCGAATACTATCAATTGATTCATGCACATCTATCAAGCTCTCGTGCACAATTGAATTCATAATATGTGTATAGCATCGCATGTGTAAACATTCACCATCTAACAAATTCCCAGTAAAATTTTCAACTTCATTTTCATAGAGTTTAGAGCCGCATCACTTGCATTATCAACAGAAACTGTCAACACTCTTTCTATACCCCAATCAACTAAACACAATGCAATGACTTCTCCAACTGTCTCCTCATTATCATTAGGTACTTCACAAAAGTTCAACATTTTCTTATGAAGCTCCCATTCGCTGTCAATAAAATGGACCTTCAGAGCCATGTACTTGGTTTGTTGCATAGAAGTCCATGTTTGGGTAGTAAGGCAGACCCTCTGCGAATTTTCAATCAACAAGCTTTTCTGTTGCTTCTTCTGATCCAAATAAAGCTGGTATGCATCTCGAGCAAGTGTTACTGGAGATGGGATATCAAAATCAGGACGAAGTAATTTCATAAAAACTTGAACTGATTTTCTCTCTACAAAGCTAAAAGGTAACTCGTCGATAATCATCATCTTAGTGCATGCTCTGATATATTCTGCTATACTTAATCACCCTTCCAAAGAATTCTCATCAGAACAACTTGAAACTTGGCTATTTTCAAGACTCGGGTTCTCCTTCCTTTTGTGCTCAGATCTATGCGGGTTATTTTCACAGTCATCAGTCAAATGATTCCATAAAATACTATCTCCGTGCTTGATATTATCCACACTGAATTCCTCCCCACGGTAATTGCATTCATATCTAGGCTCGATAAGGCCATCATTTTCAAGTTTAATGAAGTGATCCCATACCGTTGGTAGTGATCCAGGTTGTTTTCCCTTAACGCCTGCACTGAATTTAGGAACTGGTGGAAGCTGGTTAGTTTGGGAAGTTTCAACAGGATTAGGATGAGGAGTTGAATCATTTGGTAGTGATCCAGGTTGTTTTCCCTTGACGCCCGCACTGAATTTAGGAACTGGTGGAAGCTTGTTAGTTCGGGGAGTTTCAACAGGATTAGGACGAGGAGTTGAATCATTTGGTAGTGATCCAGGTTGTTTTCCCTTAACGCCCGCACTGAATTTAGGAACTGGTGGAAGCTGGTTAGTTCGGGGAGTTTTCAACAGAATTAGGATGAGGAATTGAATCATCGTCCATCTCAACCCTATGAATCAAATTGAGTCCGAAAATATAAATTAGAACATTGCAGTAACAATCAACACAGCATCAAAAGTATCAAATAATTCTCACGAATAACCTCAACGCATCAGAAATTGCAGGCAATCGAAGACCCATAAAATCAAAATTGGGAACTGATAGTATATTAATACAACATATATTTGTCTGCCTAATGCTACAGAAAAAATGCATCCAAACTGCTAAGAGTCCTTACTTTAGCTTTCAAAAGGGGCACAATATGTGGCCCACTCCACAATGTACTTCCGCGTTATTAGAACCCTACCTATAGAAAGGATTTGGCGATGCTAAAATTCGGTGGTTCTTCAACAATTTCTAATCTAAATAACAGAAAATGAGGTATACTCGGCTACAAATCTCAACACTCATGTATGTATATGTATATATATGTGGTTTTCTAGGATACTGAGTGCAGTAACGTTCTAGAATTCATGCAGCCAACCCCACTTCGTTGGATAAGGGGTTGTAGTTGTTCTTGTTGGATGTGGCTTGTTAAATGACAAAAATTTCCCAAGGCATGAATCTGGGGATCAATATACATGTCAATGTCATCATTATTTTCTGGTAATTTTCAACTTATATGCCACAGGTAGACTTACAATTCTAAGAAATGGAAAGCTGCAGATACCCATCACCCAATTTACAGATTTATGCTTTTATCACTCACACCCCTGACAAAAAATATACAAAAATAAAATAAAATTCTCCATTTCGGCATGGACAAAAATCATCAAACTTGCTAGGTAACCAAAAAGAATTAACCTTTTCATTACCCCACAAATAAAGTTCCAGTTAGGGCACAAAATCTTCCAAAGTTTCTATTTTTTTACCCTTCTAGATGGTGACAATAAAAAAATAATTATGGTGGAAGGAGAAATAACCCAGAAATGGGGTACATTGGAAGATAAACTCACCGGTTCCAGCTCTCAGGCTGCACAGTGCAGACCAAGTTTCGAGCTTTTGAGGTGAGAGAAATGAAAGGGCGAAGAAAGCCTGCTGTCTGCAGAAATTAAAAGGGTTTAATTTCCGATTCTTATTATTTTGGGCTAACTATATTTTACCCTTCAAATTTAAGATAGTTTTAAAAAGTAAAAATTGTAACAATAGTTTCTTAACTTTAATTAAATTGAAGTAATAATCTTTTAACTAAAAATTTATTTTCATTGGTCCCTCAACTCATTAAAATGTGTAGCTATAGTCTTTTTCGTCAGCTTCATTAGAATTTTGTCAAAATAAGTTAGGTTGAAAGAAACATCGCTACAATTGGGATCCCTCAACTCATCAAAACGCGTAACTATAATCGTTTTCGTCAAATTAGTAAGAATTTTATCAAAATGAGTTATGTTAGAAGGACCATTGCTCCAATTGGCTTAAAATTGAGGGATCATTTCTCTAGTTGGATTATAGTTGAGGGATCAATAGTAATAGATTTTTAGTTAAGAGACTATAGTTGACATGTATCCTTGATGACTTGTCTGGCCTTGATGAGTCATATGTCTGTCGAACTTTAATGTGTTGATGAACATTTATTTCTGGTATTGCCTCTCTCCTAAGAAAGGAGAGTGGAAACTTTCATTAATTGCAAAGTATTTACATTGCTCGAACACGTCCAGCATCAACCAAATAATAATTATACAATGGACTGATTTCTGTCCTTGCTATAATAAGATTACCAACAACAAATAATCGGAATCAAAAGCACGCGATAAAAGCAAACTTCACGATCGCCAGATGACATAGTGCACGATGCAACGGACTGTTTGTCCTTGCATTTCCTGTACAAACTTAAGCTGCTCAATTTCCTGAGCTCCGAAAGATTTCATCGACGTGAGCTACTGGCACGTAAACTGCATCCTCCAATGAGCTGTGCGATCGGCCATAAAACACGTAAATAACCACTCCTACCAGCAGCCAAACAGCAACACGCGCCCAGGTGTCCGCCCTGAACACGAAACAACATATGGCATTGGATAAGGAAAGAATAATTACAGACAACAGATTAGACACAGGGCATTCAGCAGATATCAAGGAAACTTCGTTTGCATTTTATAAATTCTTTTGCAAGTGATTTCCCAGTGAAAACACAATACGAATTACCTCAATTCTGATAATATTAAAAGCGAAAAATCTATCAGAAACGAAAACGACAAGGTAATTTGATAGTTACTCGAGATTAATCAGTAGGTAGACGTTGATGAGAATGCAGACAATAGGTAGCACGGGGACAAATGGGCATAAGAAACCTGAAAGGAAACCAAAACATCACTGTTATTAAATAGTCAAATAGCAGTTTCCTCAATGAACACTAACCTAGCCATTTAATCCAACGTAACTAAACACAAGACGAAGATATTAGAGTTTCTTTATTATTGGTCTTGATATTCTAATCGCTGGAAATGAAATCACGTTTTAAGTATTAGCTAGTCAAGCCTACACTAACCAAATTAGATAGCCAGCCTCATGAGATTCTTTCGAGAAAAGCTGGCCACATCTACTACAGCCAAGCTGATACATATATGTGTGTTGTGTGTACGTATCTATAACTAGTAATATACACTTTACATGTTCTATGTACAGCCTGCAGACCAGGTTGCATCCCTGAAGACTGTTAAGTGAAATTCGTACCAACGCAAAATAGTGAGCATACCTCCTGTGTGCCCAAAGGTGTGTCGTGCATCATCTTGATCAATACATGTGAGCACAATCAGACCTAATAAAAGAAGAATACCGCCACCCCCACATAATGTATAGCGAAGAAAGCTGAAATCGAAACCAAGAATATTTCTGTAGATTAAGGAATAGAGAAAGTAACGCATAAAGCATATTAACGTAAATAAAAGAAAAGCATAATCAAAACCACAAATCTTGGCATATAAATTTAGGAATATAGAATGCCTCTAGATTTTGTTTTTGCAGCTAAAAATTGAATCATGCAACCAGAAAAATATCATTCTCAGAACTATGTCTAGGACCGAAATTCACCCACCTGGGGAGGGCCAAATCTGATGCTGAATATGTCAGAAGAAGCACGCCGACACATGTGAACATTATGGTCCAGGCAGCAACTTTACGCCTATTATCTTCACTTAATGTGTCTGTAATAACGAATACACAGTGAAAAAACATTTCAGTAAAAGCCTGCATAACAGAAAAATAGAGCAGAAACTACTGAAGAATATTTATAAGGTTGTTTCTGATACAAATGTAAAGACACGTACATCTCATTGTCATACATACTTTATAGACATGCATAGGTACAAGGAAACATTCTCTTGCCCGACTGTGAATGTGGACTATTTATAAGGTTGTGCCTTGCCTGAATGTTGGGCCAGATTCAGATTATGGAAACATAACTACGATAATAGGACATTTTTGTGTATGTGTGCGTGTTTCCGTATGACCTTTCTACTGTCGCAGTGGCTAAATCTAGTATACGAGACTCTTAGGTCTTACAGTTAATAAGAGGCAGTTGCTTTCCGATCAGGGGAAGTTCAACCATGATATCCACTTTCTCAAGTAGAGGTTTGGTACTCTCCTCCGAAGAACTAACATTAATCATAGCCTTAGGATCGTCCTCTTTGACCTCTTGAGAATTCCTTCCATGCCTGCAACCGCACTGAATCAATGGACTCGCGAAGAGATGAAGGCAAAGGCACCTCATCTGGTGGAACATATCTGATTATAAGTACAGATATTGCTACCATAGTGAATGCAACAAGTGTACCCACGCTAACCTGCACAACATAGGTAACTATCTAAGTCAGTCTAAACATCTACATTCACTATTACAGAAAAAGGTGGATGCCAACATCAATAAGGGTTAAAGACATTGATTTCCATCTCAAGGTGAGTTCCTTGAGTCATTATCATGATCCAGAAAATAAAATCCTCAACGGTATCAGAATTTTTAAGGATATTAATATTATCGAGGATCCATTATTGTGGAAATAAAAGAAAAGATTTCAAGGCTAGTTCACATGCAGGGAGAAACCCCCTTATAAAGAGAATGTCTTGTAAAGCACAAATAAAGCATTAACATTAAGAATACTCGCATGTCTTTTAGCATAACAAAGAGTTAACAAATTATCCACCTTATCAACAACAATGCCAGATCTTTCCGTGAAGGTCAACTTACCATTCCTGCCAACTCTGAAACATCCATGAAGAAGGCCAAGACTGCAGAACAAATCCCAGTTGCTAATGTACTCTTGACAGGAGCCTGAGTTTTTTTATTAATATCCGCTAAAAATGGCGGCAACAATCCATCTCTAGACATTGCCATCAGGATTCGTGGCTAAGAAACACAAGAAAATATCTTCATCAGTGGTACAGTACAGGCGTGGTAAGGAATTCATGGACAATAAACAAGCAGACGAGACCTGAGACCATACACGCTACATCTCCAAAAGGAGGAGATAAAAGGAAAAGGAAAGAGATCAATGAATGATACCTGAGGAAGAATAGAGCCCATCAATGTTGAGCAGAGAGCAGTAACAGCTCCAACAGTTATCACATACCTTCAACCATAAGCAGGAAAATAACTTAGTTTCTCAAAGAAATGTAACAAAAAGGCAATCCCCACAATATTATTCACTTACGCTGCCCACTGCATCCCATGACTAGCAAATGCACTGGAAATGGGTGTATCAGGATCCATTTCATAATAAGGCACTAAACCAACAATGACCATCGAAACCAACATATACAACGCACAGCAAATAGATAGTGAAGCACCAATACCGAGTGGCAAATCTCGTTGAGGATTCTTCACCTTTTGATAAACATGAAGGCATAATTCAGATTCTACACAAGTTAAAACATCTCCACAAAAATGATAAGATAGATATTTTGGATGACATATCAAGAACATATTTACCTCTTCAGCAGTGCTGGCAACTGAATCAAAACCAATGTATGCAAAGAAGACAGTTGCAGACCCAGCAAGCATACCATTCACCCCAAAGGGGAAGTACCTGTTACATGGATAAATAGGAAAGAAATTCAAATTTTATTTTTGAAAATTACATGAGTTGATATAGGAATAGGGATGCCAAATACCCAGTAGGAAGTTCATATCCAGTCCAACCAGACTTGAAACCCAGATAAGTACCAGCTACTACAACAAATATCATTGCACATGCATTTGCTATCGTCACAATGCCTTGTGCTACTGTACTCTGCATAAATGAAGTGTTCCATTAAAGAAAATAAAGAGAATATTTATGAAACAGAAGAAAAAATATGTTTGCCAAGTTTAATAATTGATCTGATACACAAGAAAACAAACGAGATATACGCATACCTCCTTTATTCCCACACACAAGAGCCCTGTAACAATAACTACTAGAATTGCTGCACATGGATCAACCACCAGACCAAGTGCAGGAATATGTTGCCGGGCTATAAAAGCAGGCAGACTGCCCTCTCCTCCGAAAAGTAATGCCTTCAGAAAGAAAAACAAGCCCATTTAAAGATATATGTCCCATACTTCTCTTAAAAGATTGTCAGAGCATACAGGAAGATCTTTTTATATGAGAGGAAGCGGATATTATACTCTTTCTTCAAGAATACATAAATTAGATATTTTTAAGAACTGTACCAGATTAGGTGATATGCCCCGAGCAACAGCTGAGCCACCAATTGTATATTCTAGAATCAAAGCCCAACCGACTAACCAAGCAACACTGCAAACAATGATAGTTTTATCATCACGAACTGACGTAAAAGAAAATTTTCAATGTAAATAGTTTTGTACAACTGTGCAAGCATGTATTGTTGAACAAGCATGATAACGTAATTCTTTTCTTTTCCAATTGCTATGCTCAACACTTTAATGACAGAGAAGGAATGAGAAATTACCCTTCTCCAATGCATATATATGTATAGTGGTAGGCACTCCCTGCAGAAGGGCACCGACTTGCAAGTTCAGCATAACAAAAGGCAGAAAGGGCTGCCGCAATTCCAGCTATTAGAAAGGAAATTGCTAGTGCTGGTCCAGAATGCTCTCTAGCAACTGTTCCAACAAGAATATAGACTCCTGCTCCAATCGTTGAGCCAACCCCTAATCAATGTGTATGATAACCAACAGTTACTCATATGACAAAGACAAAATAATTCATGATAAAAAAACAGAAGTTGCCTGTTCCATTATTTCAGTACCGAAATGTGCATATAAGGAACACTAAGCCATAAATATCCATTATGTAGAAACTACGAAAATATCATATAGAAACTAGTAAGAATATTAGTCAACAATATTAAAATGCAAGGATTAGTAGTAAGTATTCTACAATGACGGGCGCACAGCTCCAAGAAGAATCTTAAAACATACCATAAACCTGAAACTTAAAGAGAGGCACCGAACACACCAAAAGTGTATTTGACTACATTGACAAGAAAACTTAAAAGTGCTTCTAGTTTATATGAAAAGCACTTCTAGCTGGTGGTGTAGCCAGGAATTGTCTGGGAGGGGTGAAATTTAAAAGGGTGAAAGGTTCCAGAAAAATGCAAACAACCAAATCTTTTTAGATAGTAGATAAAATTAATGTCGTTCTTAATTTAGCAATACAAACAACTAACAATTGTTACCTTTCATGTCATGAAAACGTCGCATAGGACGCTCATTATCGAGACATCTCTCTTAATATAAACAACCATAACCAAGAATGATTGATCACCCATTTCATCATTCCCTTTGACGAGTGACATATCATATATGAATATAGCAGAATATAGCAGCCAACCGAATATTCCATCAGCATCATCATCTCATCAAAAATTACAAAACAGACAATAAAATATATGATTGAAAAAAAATAAGAGGGGGAAAGCAGCAAGCTTTTACCAACTGCAACAAGATGGGGAACAGTCAACTCCTTCGCCAATTGATGACCTCCTGACTTCACATGAACAGAATCCACCTGCTTCCGCCGTATTAAACTATTCCGACCGCCCCATGAACCGCCGTTTCTTCCACTTTCTCCGCCGCCCCCTTCCCCATTTGAATCAACCAATAAACCCATCAAAAAAAATAAAAAATAAAAAACCAATTTTCTCCCGGAAAGCTCCAAACTTGGATCTTCCCACGCTGATTATCCAAATTTTCCTTTGTCCGAACCAAAACTTACGAACTGGGTTTTTCTATTTCGATTGGCACTTTAACCCCAAAAGGTAAAATTCCACAATTTAATCTGAAAAATTGAAAATTTATGTACACTAAAATTCAACCTGCCGGCACACTCCCGGATACATAATATCTGATGCAGATTTCTCTGAGTTTTGCACCGAAAGGGCAAGCTGGCAGATTAAAGGTCGGAAAGGGAGGATTTTTGTCCCCTTATTCCCTTTTTATTTTTCGTTTTATTTTTTTTTGGGTTGGTGTTTGTTGTTTGTGTAGATATCAATCACAAACAATCTGAGATTCTGAAGTTGGTGTTTTTTCTACTTTCTCTTCCTTTTTCCTGTTTTTTTGGTTAACTTATGGAGGGAATTGAATCAGTCAAAAAGTAACATGGCATTTGGATTTGGTTAGGTATTGTTCCCACAATCTTATTGGATATGAAAAAGGCAGTGTAAATGTTTATTCTATTTAGATTGCGTTGTCGGTCCAAAAATAATTAATTCGATATCTAAGTTGTTATTTATTTATGAAAGTTACACCTAAAGAACTATTAATTAAATTAAATTGAACATTATATATTGTAGTGCTTGTACATCTAAAGCAAGAAAATTCCAGAGAGTTAAAAAAACAAGCTAATTTAAACCGGATCTTCATTTTGTGGGAATCTTAGATATTCTTATATTTTAATTATTCATCGTGTATCGTGCGTCAGAAATCATTTGAATTTTTTTTAATTTAAAATTAAACATAAATAGTATTTAATGAAAATTGATCGTACGATGTATAATGAACGGTTAGAATGTAGAGATAAGAATCCGAAGAAAATCTTCACAAATTGAATCCGAAGACGAACCTCTTCTTTTTATTTGATCCGTCAATTAAAGAAAAACGAATCTAAGCAAAGTAAACTACTAATGCTTTGGTTATTAAATTTTTAATATAATTTACTAACCATCGGCTTATACGTTTCGAAAAATAAAAAAGAAAAACTAACGAAAAAAAACTTCATTTTTAATGAAAAAATCTTTTTAAAGGTATAATCAATAGTAATAGAAAAAAATATAAATATAATTTTTCGTTAAAAATAAATAGTACCAGAATGTTTTGTTAAAACTCTAAAAAAAATTCAACTATCTTAATAAATAAGTTAGAGATACCCATGAGTAATCGTGGGACTGAATATTACCCATAAGAAATGGGCAAATCGGAAATCGCCATCATGTCTCATTTTGCTAAAGTGACATCGGCACGTTTATTGGCAAAATGCCAACCCAAATAATTTATATGGCGATGAATGATTTAATATTGAATTAAAAAATAAAAAAACTAACGAAAAATTTAAAAAAAATTCTTTTTTAATGAAAAATTATTTTTAAAGGTATAATAAATAGTAATTAAAAAATGTATAAATATAAGTTTTCGTTAAAAATTAACAGTACCACGAATGTTTTGTTAAATTTCCCTTAAACAAAAGCTTTGTACAACTTGCTTCTTGTTTTTTTCACTTGGTTCCCTGAACACACGTTTTCCAAGAGTCAAATAATGTTGGGATATCTTTGACAAAAATAAATAAATAAATAAATAATGTTGGAATACGGTTAAAAGTAAAAACAATTGGAAATTAAATTTTTATTAAATTAATAGACTGAAATATTTAGTAAAATATCACGACAACCAATCAAAAATTGACAACACAATGATAAGATATTTGACGATTATTGAAAATGCAGAAGTTTGGCAAACTTTTAAATAACATTGTGTTGACCATTAGTTGGAGTTGGTTATTCAGTTACGCATCTGTGTGTTTGTTGTATATTTATTTTTCGGATTGTGAGGACGGAATGCCCCTCCCTCCTCTCCACACAAACTAAATCAACTTGCTTTCTTTGTGCTTATAATTAAAATCATTCGGTAAAGATCATCTCTGCAAAAAAAAAAAAAATGAAATTCTATGAAACCGTAACAAACAATTTTGAGTAAAAACTTTTATTTATTTTTTAAGTAGCCAAGTATTATTTAAGAGTACCCAAAATTCCAATCTTTCACAAACTTAACCCCCCCCTTCCCAAAAAAAAAAAATACTAAACGAGTTGCATTAGGAGAATTAATAATAATAACAGCATCGACCCCACGTCCCTACCTCAGATTTTATGACAAAAATCATGTGATCAAATGTCACGCAGGTTAAAATTTCCACGTGATATTGTTAACATTTTCCCTCTTATAAAGGGAAAAATAAAAAGACGTACGAGCCTAAACTCGGGCGTGGGACGCATTTATTTTTTCCATCAAAGCTTAATAATCGTTGAATTTATTTGTTTATTGAATTTATTTGTTTATAAGTTGTTTTATTAAAAGAACCCAGGTAGCTTAACACGTACATTGTATGTTATAAATACCACTCAATTGTACTGACACTCTCACTCATCTATGGAAACGAGGATCCTCTTTGTGAGAATAATACGAATTCTCAAATCGTATCCGTTCATTGTACATCGTGCAATCAATTTTTATCAAATACTATTCATATTGAATTTTAAATAAAAGTATTTAAAATAATTTATAACCGCACGATGTATAATGAACAGACACGATTTGAGTATTCCTAAAATCCTTACAAAGAGGATTCGAATCATTCCATCAATGGAAAGATAGAGTAGCCATTTTAACAAACAAAAAAAATCCTGTTTCAGTGAATTTTCTTATTTGAACATGAAATCCTCCAGCATCAAGCCTTGAATAGAACAACAACAACAATAACGACAAAGCATTTTCCCACTAAATGGGGTCGGCTATCTTTTACTACGAGTTTCGTCAAGATGCTAAATATGGTGCGTCAAACCTTGAATGATACGAAAAATATTACACCAGGATTATGAGTGGTGAGAAAATCACACTAGGAACCAAATTGGAGCCGCACCCGAAGGCACAACAATTTTGTACATGCACTGGCCGCGTCACCCGTCGCACCAAATGCGTTAACGTTTGCAGCCTTACAAACTCAAAAATTACTCTCTAATTCAACAAAACATATAACGTTACAGAAAAAAATAACAGCAGCCATGCTTTTCATACATTCTTTTATCACATACCTTCCATCTACTCACATTCAAACCGATAAACATATCCTCCATGTCAATCATCTTGCCTGGGACTCCTACTTCTACTCCTACCTCTTGCATCACCACCATCCGAAAGCGGGACCCAAATGCTTTGACTTCTCTCGCCTCCATTTTCCCAGGTTCGTTGCCTTACACTCCTGTCATTTGTATCCCCTCCGTCAGAAAACTGGCCCCACACACTCCGAGTCTTTTCCCCTCCGCTAAGTTCCTCATCACAGCCCGCAACTGTCTTCAGCAGCTCCGACTGCAGCAGTGGGCAGTTTTCCTTGAGATACTCAAAACCATCCAATTCCATGACGGCTGCATCAAATAGGTCAATCAGAAAGTGTAGAATTGATGAGTGAGCACAAAGACTTAGGAGACTGGCATGTAAAGTACAATAGGAACGACAGGCACCATTCTTGATTCCCAGGTTTTCAATATCTTCAGGATCCCTGAATTTTGATCATAAGATCATAACTCACTTGTAATCTAAGCTTAACATTTTTATATTTGCATAACTAAATAAAATGACAAAGAAAATTTAAAGTGAATGCACAATCGTACTGCAGATATCACAAACAAAAGCATATCATTATTGATTGTATGTAATACACTCCCACAATATGTATGTCAGACTCACTGTTATATGGCCGGTCCCACTTGCCCGTTGTTTGATTACTCATGCAAAACCTCAATTAGTTTTGGTGAGCAACATAAACTTAACTAGGACCTACAAGTTATCCTACATATGAAACACTTGAAGCTGCTAGAAAATTCAGAAAGCTTGAAACTGAATCAGAATCAGATAACTTCCCTACTCCTAGCATCCTCAATCTGTCCTTTTGCTATGGTAAAAGGGTCGGCGTGAAGTTGGAAGATAAGTACCGCCTATGTTGCTTATGCACTAATTGATTGGGTCAAGCAGCTGCCTTCGTGTATTTTTTCATAGGGACAGATTGAGGATGGACATCCCAATTGAAACAAATCCTTTTTTTTTACAGGAAAAAAGAAAATTTATCACAAAGAGAGAAAAGTACAGAAAAATAGACAAGATGTCCCCAAGAACAAAGAAACTAGAGAACTGCAAAAGGATAACCTATTGAGGAAGAAGACAAAGAGGTCTTCTCCTCTGATCCATGTTGCAAGTGTTAACCTTCCTATTAGCAATAACCAACCCATGCTAACAACCAAACCTTTGGAGGTACTTTCGTCCTCCAAATTTCATTTAAGGGGATAAACGGAGAAAGAGAAGGGTTGTCTGTCAAATATCTCGAGCAAAATTGACAAGAAAAGACCCCTGATGGCTACCTTCCCCTATCCATCTCTCATGAAACCAGCACAACTCTCTCTAACCAAGACAGAAAGGACATGAGCTCCTCAACTTCCAATTCATTCATATTTCTACAAAATCCAAACTCAAAAGTAACTGAGAAGGAATAACATATGGCCTAGCTATGGAAAATTGAGATACTGTGATAGACTGTATAGTCTAGGAAAAGAAAGGCATAAGGCAATTCCAGCACCTACCCCTCTTCCCAAAACCTGACCCTTTCGCCATTACCCACCACAAATTGGCAGCAAGAAGAAAACAAGTTAACCCCTAGAGAAATGTTTTCGTCCTCTATTTTATATAAAAGAGAGAATTTACATAAGTGGATAAGAGTGACTATATTGGAATCCCAGCCATTGCACTCACTATTTGTTTCTAATAACAGTATAAAGCATACCAAAAGGACACACACACACACACACACGACTTGCATTAAGGAAGAACCACGAAAACAGAAAATTAAACAGGGAGAGCATACCAACTAGGTTTTCAGCAGCAAACTTTAGGCAAACAGACTTTAGATCCATAGCACGATAACGGTCGGCCAGGGCCAGAATAATGGCAACAGAATTAACAGACATAATCTTGCAGAGAACAGATTCACACATCAGTCTGAGTCGAGGTAACCCATATTTGTCTGATGCAGCTAGCAACTTGGCAGCTAATCCATCAGATAGAGAAGACATGCACAGTGAACTTGCATCTGACAACTCTTCATCTTCAATAAGGTTATCTGTGTATATGAAGTGTAACAACGCCTGTTCAGAAAGCACAAAAGACATTAGACAGGAAGGCAGGATGAACTTTGCTTCATAGGAAGCAAACTACTTAGGATAATGTGGTACATTATATTATTTCCAACTGACATACTACAACAAATACAACTCGCTCTTACAAAAGCATAATTGGACAAGGAAAAGATATAATTGAGAAGCGTTACCTTAAAGACCTTGGGATCCGTATCTGTAACAACTACATCATGATTCTCTTCTTTCATTCCATCGAAAAATTCTTTTTCAAATAAAGGAGATCTAGCTGCCAGTACTAACTTGTGGGCATGAAACCTTTCTCCACATACATTGAAAGTAACATCTGAACCTTCCTCATTCTCCAAAAGCATACCAAAATGATCTCCAATATCAGAATCGGGGACATGTATGGAGTGCAATCTCGAACTATCTATTGCAGAAACCACAACACCAACAGTGCAATTAATTTTCAAGCAATCATCCTTGAGGAAACTAGATGATTCGAGCAGTGTCCGTCTGAAAAATCGTTTGTAGCCCCTAAAATTCAATTGCAAATAAGTTTATTTTAAAATGCATAACATAACGGAGTTCAAATAGCATTACGTAAAATCTACTTATCAACTCTGTTAGTAGGCAAATCCTATCCATTTCTAAGATAAAGACACAATTCATTACAAATGTCAATCCTCTCATGCCCACCAGTACCAAAGTAGCTATTCAAAACCCTATTCCCAATCTAACAAACCGCCAGTCTTATCGAAAAATCATTCAATCACAACATGCGTAAACTCATTTTCAATTAAGTAAAGCATCGAATTAGCAAAGAACTGACGGAAAAAAACCATTCATTAAGAACATACGTAAACTCATTTCCAATTGAGTAAAGCATAGAATCAGCGAAAAATTGTGAAAACCCATTCATTCACAACATACGTAAACTCATTTCCAATTGAGTAAAGCATAGAATTAGCGAAAAATGGTGAAAACCCATTCATTCACAACATACATAAACTCTTTCTAATCAAGTAAAGCATCGAACTAGCGAGAATTATCAAAGATTGAAATGAACCCAGAACAACAAACCAGCAAAGTGAAATTACCCACCACATGCTGCCCCTATACTTGAGGGTGTAAGGCCCGCTTTCGAGCGAGCGATCGAAGTGGCTATGGACCTTGTGCTTGCCATTAGGACCCTGATCAACGAGTGTCAATTCGAAGAGAGCTCGGACGTCGGTGCCCTCGGAGGCGAGGGCAATGAAGACGGAGACGTAAGCTGAGTTATCCTCAGGGTTTTTACCATCAGGGTAAAAATAGATGGCCCATTGAAACCCCCCGACGGTGAAATTCTCACTGGCAATGTGCTTTCCGACCCCAATTCCTTTGGCCAAGGAGTACCCTTTGATGACGAAGTTGTGGGACCCGTTAACGGTTTCCGTCACGAAGCGCGAGCTGGACGGCGACGCCAGAGACCGGCTGCTCTTCTGCCTGCCGGATATCATCTGTTTCCGAATTGGGGATTGCAAATTCCCAATTTTACAATTTTAGAATTCAAGCAGTAACAAAAGCAGGTCAAAAGCTTTGGACTGGAGAAATCGATTGATTTTTTTCTGAGATTTCTTGCGATTTCTGATATTTTTGTTCTTTTGATGTGTGGTTTCGGCGGTATTGATGGATTTACCCTGGGAAATTGGGATTGTGTTTTGGCTTGGGGAAGAAGCCGATTTGGTATGCTTCTCAAAGTTTCCTTTTCTTTTTCTTTTTTTTAATTTGTTTTCTTTCTTTCTTTTTTAATACACGGGTAGACTTCTTTTCATCTCACCACGCACGCCAATACCTTATTGAGATTTGGACTTATTTGTAGTAACCCTCTTTTGAGTATATCAATATTTTTAGATTAAAGAGAGAGAGTTCGGCTAAGTTACATAATAAGTAATCTAATTTGATATTGAAATTGTCATTCATGAGATTCAAAGCTAAAATATCTCACTTCCAAGTGAAGAGAAATATCAATAGACCGTAATACTGAGTGACAATAACCCTTTTGTTCACATGTGGAGGAGTAGGAGCTACAAGTCAAAACACCTTACGTTTTGTAAGCGAATCGAGTTCAACTTGGATTGCTTGTTTCCAGTTTGACCAATCAGTTTTCCGTTGACAGTCATCAACGGAACGCGGTTCAATGTCATCACTCAACATGATCTCAGTAGCTACTGCATATGTTAATACATCGTCGACAATAGACCAAAATCTCAAACTTAGCCACACATCATCTAAGCTAGCATAATAATCTAAAATCTCACGATTCTCGGGAGGAAGATTCATCTCTTCAAGACGCTTCCATAATTTGGAATTTCCTCATGAGTTAGATAGAATGAGTAAGCGTTAGTCGAATTCACGGTAGGCTCTTCAGGACCTTATGTCAGTGGATTTCCTCTTCTAGGGGTGTGAATCCTTTAAACCAAGAGGTATGCCAAGCTTTTGTGTAGGGGGTAGATGATTAGCTAGCCGCTAATGTACGTGGATCACCAAGATTAGTGCATCAGGCCTTCAGGAAGGAAGTCCGTCGTACATTTGGTACATCCATCTTTGCATGCGTATTTGCAGCTAGAATATGTGATCTTATCATGCGCACTAGATTGGTGAAAGCATCTAGCATGCTCTAAGCTATGCTCTATGCTCTGGAGATCTAATATGTGATGCACTTCAGTTTCAGACTGAGCGGTGCAAGGATCTAAATGAGACAAAGTGGGAGTCGTCCACGATAATTCGCGTCGTTCTTCAGGAACGTTGACGTTCTTATCTCCTCCCTAACAACGGGAAGACTATTTCACAGAAATGACAATTCGCGAAACGAGCGGTAAACAGATCGCCACCCTATTTATCATCGTTCGATGAGTTTAAATTTTTTAGTTTGTGTTTATTTATTACACAGATCTTGAATTTAAACTTATCTGACTAGTGATAAATAAGGAGGTGAGCAAAAATATTCCCAATTCATAATGTGGGATTTGGCTGTAATACTTATATGTATTTAATACAATTACTACACGTTCATACAATTACTATCCCAACGTGTAAGTATTGTAGCCATAATGCTAAGTAAACAAATTTTAGACCAAATTTACAAACTATATAATGTGTTACCAATAAAATAAATAAATATGTTAATCAACACTTAAGTAATAATTCAATTATCAACAACTATGTTATATAGTTTACACAAATTGATCTCCCGAGCATTACCCAATTCCATAAGTGAGAACAAGAAATTATATTTGATAATTCATGCCACTTCATTTGCGTCTACAATTAGATGTTATAATCTCTAAATCTAGTACAATTATGACCTAATTGACATTAAATCAAATGAAAAGGAAACCATTATTTATGTGTTACCATTTGGTGAAATGGGAGGTAGTTATTAAAAGTAAGGAGGAAGAGGGTTAAGGTGTGGGGAATTTGAGGAAACGGAATGAAGTGTTACTGGCTAAGTGGTTGTGGAGATTCTCAAAGGAATCAAATTTTCTCTGGCACAAGGTGATAAGAAGCAAGTACAAGTTGCAAGATAATGGGTGGGATGCAAATCGTCCGCTGTGTGTTTCAAGTTGTAGCCCTTGGAAACATATTTCGTCTGGTCTTCAATTGTTCCTAAAGTGCTGCAAGTTTGAGGTGGGCAACCAAATCATTTCAAGTTTAGTGGATTTTTCTCTTCATTCTTTGCGCTAGAATTTTGATTTCAGAAGAAATTTGAATGAGTTGGAGACAGCAGAGGTGCTAGGTTATTACAAAAAGTGGAAAATGTTCATTTAATTCAACCAAAATCGGATAACAGAAGGTGGAAAATAGACTTATCAAGATTGTTCACTTGCAAATCCTATAGCTCTTTCTTGAGCAACAATGGAACTGTGCAACATTTTCCACCCTTTTCTCAAATTTGGAAATCAAAAGCTCCTCCGAAGGTCAAAGTTCTTGTGTGGTTAATGGCTACTGGGAAGATCAACACTTGTGATCAAGTTCAAAGGTGAAGATCTTTTATTTGTATTTCTCCTCATTGGTGCAGTTTGTGTAAATCTAAGGAGAGTGCTAATCATATTTTTCTCCATTGTTCTTACTCAATACAGTTGTGGTGGACATTGGTTCAGGAAGTTAGAGTTAGTTGGGTCATTCCAAAGGGTTGTTTCGAGCTTCTAAGCATCAATTTTGAGGCTTTAGGAAAGGGGAGGAAAGCTAAAGCTTTGTGGAGCTGTTTGGTGTTGGCAGTTTTTTGAAACATTTGGTTGGAGCGTAAAAGAAGAGTTTCCAAGGATTATAATTGAGTGGGGGTAACAGAACTATAGGGTAGAGTAGGATACCAGGCAGCCCTCTGGGCATCAATTTCAAATGAGTTCAAGGATTATTCTCTTTCTCATATAGTTTGGGATATGTCAGCATTCGTAAAATGATTTTGGTTAAGGTTATGTTACTTGTAATCAGATCTATATGAGAGGTCTTCAATAACTTTGCCACATGGTGGATTTCTTATACACTATTTTGTAAGTCTTGTTTTTATTTTAATAAAGTGTTATCGTTTCTTTTCAAAAAAGAAAAAAAACCAAAACAAAACAAAAAACAAAAAACAAAATGTGGCCTCGAGTTGGGAGGGGAGGGGGAGGAGCCTCGAATAGGGGTGATAACTATATTTTAATGGGTAAAGTACAAAAAACTACCTTAACTATTGGGGTCATGACAGTTTCATACCTCATCTTTTAAAATTGACAATGTCATACCGCATCTTACGAATTTGTGACAATATCATACCTCCGTCAATTTTTCTGTTAGTTTTTCTGTTAAATGCTAACGTGGCAAGAGATGGGGACCACTTTCTATTAAAAAATTAATAAAATATTATTAAAAACTAAAAAAAATATTTAATATTTTTTAAATATTAAAATAATAAATAAAAGTAAAATTAAAAAAAAAGAGTAAAGTACAAAAAACTACCTCAACTATTGGGGTCACGACAGTTTCATACCTCATCTTTTAAAATTGACAATGTCATACCGCATCTTACGAATTTGTGACAATGTCATACCTCCATCAAATTTTCTGTTAGTTTTTCTGTTAAAGTGCTGACGTGACTTGATTCGGGACCTACTTTCTATTAAAAAATTATTAAAAACTAAAAAACAATTATTTAATATTTTTTAATTATTAAAATAATAATAAAAAGCAGAAAAAAAAAACCCCTCATTTCGTTCCTCCCCTCCCCCCTCCTCCCTCCTCTCTCCTCTCCCCATCTTCATCTTCTTCCCCCACCAGCAAATCCCAACAAAAAAAAAAAAAAAATCCAATTTGTCTTCCCCCCACACCCACCCACACTCTTCTCCCTCCTACAACCCAGAAAAAAAAATAAAAAAATAAAAAAAACCCCAGATCCCGTCGGCAGGAAGATGGGTGAGCAGAGAAGGTGGAGGATCGGTGCGGAAGAGGATGTGGAGAATGGATGAAAGTGGTGGATTTGGGGTTTGATGGGTTTTCAAAATATTTTTTTTTCCTTCTTTTTTTCCTCTTGGGGTTTGATGGGTTTTCAAAATATTTTTTTTTCCCTTCTTCCGCAAGGGAGTTGATGGTTTTAAAAAAAAAAAAGTTCCTTCCTCCTTTTTTTCCTCTTCTTCTTCTTCTTCCTCCTTCTCCTTCTTCTTCCTCCACCCCGGGGGGGGGTGTTGATGGGTTTTCAAATTTTTTTTTATTTTTTCTTCCTCTTCTTCTTCTTCCTCCTCCTCCTCCTCCTCCTTCTTGTTCTTTCACAGGGGGTTGTTGGGTTTTCAAAATTTTTTTATTTTTTTTATTTTTTTGGGTTTGCAGGTGGGGGAAGAAAATGAAGATGGGGAGAAGAGAGAAGAGGGGGAGGGGGAGGGGAGGGACGAACTGATGGTTTTTTTTTTCTCTGCTTTTTATTATTATTTTAATATTTAAAAAATATTAAATAATTGTTTTTTAGTTTTTAATAATTTTTTAAAAGAAAGTATGTCCCGAATCAAGCCACGTCAGTACTTAACAGAAAAATTGACGGAGGTATGACATTTTCACAAATTCGTAAGATGCGGTATGACATTGTCAATTTCAAAAGATGAGGTATGAAATTGTCGTGACCCCAATAGTTGAGGTAGTATTTTGTACTTTACCCTTTTTTTTTAATTTTACTTTTATTTATTATTTTAATATTTAAAAAATATTAAATATTTTTTTTAGTTTTTAATAATATTTTATTAATTTTTTAATAGAAAGTGGTCCCCGTCTCTTGCCACGTCAGCATTTAACAGAAAAATTGACGGAGGTATGGTATTGTCACAAATTCGTAAAATGCGGTATGACATTGTCAGATGAGGTATGAAATTGTCGTGACCCCAATAGTTGAGGTAGTTTTTTGTACCTTACCCTATTTTAATTTATATTTTGGTTTTGTTTAATATTTCAGGTTTTATTGTATATGTTGATTTGATAGACTAATTTATATGTCAAAAAATATTAGCTATATTGTGAGGCATTTGGTGTTACAACGGATAAGAAGTCCTTAGCAAGTAATTATTACTTTTGTTTGTTTGTTTTTTTTTTTTTTTTTTTTTTGAAGAGTAATTGATGCTATAACTTTGAATTCAATATCAAAGGTTAAAATCAAATTAAATATTAAGAACTTCGATTTCTGTGTGTTCTCTGTTCTAAAGTGAGGAGAAATTTTTATGTGTTCGGAAGAACTACCCATGAATCTAAAAATCAACATATGCAATTGAATAATCTGACGATAATAAAAAGGTTTAATTTAGGTTGAATTTGAACACATTGACTTACCAATAGCTTGACAAACAAGGAACCCGGGAAAAGCAAAGTTGCCAAAGAATCAAAAGTAGCAATCCAACCAGAAAAGCTCTGAAGAATATGACCGTCTTTCTGATCATCGGATTGATTTTACCGCTTTCCCGGCATTCGAGTTCATCATAATACTCGTAGATATCACGACTTTGCCTGGCCCCTCCTAGTCCTACCGATGATTAATCAAATCATCACGGAATATGTCCTCCATGTCTCACTTATATACCAGACGGAGCCCACACCTTTTCACCTCCAAGACGGAGATGCTGGATTCGAAGGAAGCCTGAATATGTCTACATTTCCACCACTCACCTGCACACTTTGCAAACCATTCGCGCGATATGTAGCACAACCAAAGGTGATCTGACTCGATGCATATGTCTTTGGTGAAGGGAAGAACAAGGCCAGGGATCATGATACCTTTGTCAGTATCCAACTCACACCGAATCTTTGGTTCATCTGTTGAATTCAAATCTACCCGGCGGATGGTTGCATTGTCGCGGACTCCAAAAACAGTTGATACAGCAACTCCCTTGAACTTACCACTGCACCAATGTGGACGCACCTCGATACTTAAGGAAGAGCCTGCACTCTGATGCATGAACCACTTCGGAATTTCACTTCCAGGAATACAACTACCGAACGCAGCAAATGGTTCCTGTACAGTGATAAGCACGACTTTTATCACATGTTTACTAGCAGGATTATGTATGAAAGGTACGAGGATCGTTCTCATCCTAACATATCATGCGTTTACTAACACAAATGAAAAAGTAAGTGGGTCTTCTCGAAATTATGTATGCCAACCAGGTATGGATCAACCCCCCGCCCCGGCCCCCGCCCTGTCCATCCAATACCTTAAGAATCAAATATGTGTTGTATGTGTGTGTGTGTGTGTGAGACAGAGAGAGAGACCTGAGAATCGGCCTTTATTGATGATTGAAGATACTTCCTCAGCATGAGAAATGTCAGGTTAATGCCTGGATTCCCTGCCAATCTATAGCAATTAATAAAACTGAACCCCACCCGCACCGAACTGCCTGCAGACAATGGATTTGAAAACGTTTCAAGTGACGAACAATCTTGCGCCATTAATTCTCTTACGCTTGATGGAATGTCCAGCAATAGTTGAAGCCTCTTGCAATCATTTAAGTTCAGTTCCGTAAGCTTTGTAAGTTGACTGATTCTTGCAGGAACGCTGACGAAATTGTTTCTGTTTAGATGTAGCTTCACCAATGAGCTTAAGCAGCCAAGATCCGAAGGAAGTGTTCCTTCCAATAAATTGTAGTCACTTAGATCAAGTTCCGTTAGTCAATGATTCTAAATCCCCCAAGTTATCAGGCAGTTTTTCTAGTTTTGAGCAACCAGATAATGCAAGAACTTTAAGAGACCCCAACGCACAAATAGCGCTCGGAAGATTCACAAAGCCATTACAGTCTCTCGGACTTAAACATTCAAGGCCTTGTAGGTGATCAATTGTTGAGGGAAGTTCTCGTATTGCTGTACCATCTAACGACAGTTTGAACAAGTGTTCCATATTTCCGACAATCTCAGGGAAATTTTTGAGTTTTGTGCAACCGGAAAGAATGAAAATTCTAAGGAACTGCAGTTCGATGGAGCTTGGAAGACTTCTAAGACTTTTACAATCTTTCAGATTCAACAAAACAAGTCTTTTAAGCCCTGTAATGGACGGGTGAATCTTGGATAAACTTGTACAACCTTCGAGGATCAGCCTCTCAAGGTTTGGGACTACTCCAAAATCCGGGGTCTTGATGAGACTTCGAGAGTAACTTAGCTTAATGATTTTCAACTTCTCCAGAGGCTTCTGTAAATCCAGAAGAAAGGGAAAAAAAAAAACAAACAGAAAGGGAAGAGAAATTAAATTAGCATTTACTGATTTGCAAGCTTTTTGATGAAATCACATGTACAACAATACACAATACCTTCATAACTTTCCAGAGTTCTTCAATGCGGCTATCACACAACTTGAGTTCGAAAAGCTTTTCTGGTCGAAAACTTGATGGGAGAGATTTTGAAGGATATCCGTGCCATTCGAGAATTCTTAACTCATTTGAGAGATATGTAAGGTCTTCGGAAAGGTGCACATTACCTATTCTGAGAAACCGCAGTTTGTTCGTTTTAGAGAAGGCATCCTCGCTCGAGTGGACCTCTTCGTCTAAAGGTGAAGTTAAGGCAAAGCCTTCAATGACTTCGGTACCCTAATTAACAAGAGAAAATATTAATCAACTGCATGATATAGCAGACTGAGTAGAACAGCTTATAGTTTTGCTTAGTCATACGTCAGTTTCTGAATTCACACTGCAAATCTCCTACCTTATTATTCACTAGTACATCATAGACATCCTCGAAAAGCCACAACCTGCTGCGTTTTCCAGGCTCCTTACGAGATTCTTGGCGAACAATTTCCCAACCCATCTCTTGTAGTAAATCATGCATCCATAACATGTTATGCGAAACACTTATGAGAGATTTATTATTTAAAACTCTTATTCCAATTTATGAATGAAAGCCAAAGCTGTCAAGTATCTCTGTTACTCGAGCTTTGTTCATTGACTTGAAGAAACAAGCGACATCCAGGAATATGTTCCTCTCCATCTCCTCTAGTCCTTCGATGCTTATTTTAAGTACTTCAAAAACTGTTCTGTTAGGAACTTCTTTTAGTTTATTCAATGCACTTTTCCACTCAGATACAGTCCTGCCAAACAGAAAGGACCCCAAAACTTCAAGCGCCAACGGGAGACCATTAGCATAGTTTACGACAATGTTGGAGAGGTCTAGATATTCTTTTTGCGGATGGTGTTTTCTAAACGCTTTCCAACTAAAGAGCATAAGAGATTAATCTTGATGCCAATTCTTTGGCCTCGTATATTTGATCCACTCCATGTCGAAGAAGCAAATGCTCATCTCTAGTTGTTATGATGATTCTACTCCCCGAACCAAACCAATCATGTTTTGCTGCTAAATTTTCTAACAGTTCTGATTGATCCACGTCATCAAGAATAAGAAGAACCCTTCTATGACGCAATCTGGTTCTTATTACATCGCAACCTTTGAAGACATCCCATACATTTACAATTGTTTCCATCAGGATTTCTGAAATAATTTGTCTCTGTAAAGCAACTAGTCCACACTTTTCGGAAACCTCTCTGACGTTGGAAAGAAAGCTACTACCATCAAATTGGCCCGAGACTCTCTCATACAGAACACGAGCAATAGTTGTCTTACCTATTCCTCCCATCCCGCAGATCCCTATAATGCGAACGTCATCTAAGTCTGTACCTAAGTACGTATTTAGTTCCTCCAGACGAGATTCTATTCCAACTAGTTCCTTGGAAACTTGAGAGAATGTGTCACTCAATTTACTCGATATTTCTTGAGAAATTTCACGGATAACTTCTGACTCATGTCTGCAGGACAAGACAATTCTATGTTTTAAGAAAGCAGTAAGCACAAGTCAATGAGTGAAAATATGCCGATGGAAGAAAACAAAAGTTTGATTACCTATCCTGTAAATGCCATCCAGAGAGATTGGCTATCTCTGTCGTTGCAGCCCTCCATCTCCGCACCTTCACTACATTTCCCTTGAAAGATTCTTTGTGAGCAGCAAACGCTTTCCCAAAGCTCCCCGTTTGTTTGCGCACCTCAGACGGATCCACATCATAAAAAACAGGAAAAACAGTTTGTCCCAGTTCCTTCATGCATTCGCAAATCTTACTAAGCTCATCCAAACACCATGTCGAAGAAGGATAGTTTCGTGAGAAAACAACTACCGCAAACCTTGATTCTTCGATTGCTTTCAGGAGTTCCGGGGAAATGGTTTTTCCTCTGCCAAGTTTGAGGTCGTCTCTGAAGGTCACGATTCCTTTGAGGTCGAAAGCAGCATACAGATGGTCAGTGAAGTTCTTGCGAGTGTCTTGGCCTCTAAAACTAAGGAAGACGTCGTATATGCATTGAATTGGATGCGTAGTGGAAGCCATTCGAAACTTGAGAGCTTGTCGGAGTCGACTTCCCGTCGTTCCCTGTCTCGCATAGTCAACGAGAGAAAACAGAGATAAGGTTCGAAAGGACTGTTATGGCCAAACAGACGTGTTTTACAAGAATTACGGGTATTATTTCATATTTGCCCCAAAACTTTTGGGGTTTTATCAGTTTGGGTTTTCAGTTTTTTCGGGTACCCAAAATGAGTGTGGTCTCTCTACGATTCCAAATTATTGACCGAAACCTATTTATAAACTTAATTTTTCTTAATTTTATTGTCATAATATATGTCAAACAATGACTGGACCACAAAAAAACCACACCAATTTTGAGTGCACAAGATCTTTCATGGTCGATCTAAACTTATGAAAGTGTGTTTAATTGGGACAAAATGTGATTTTCGTTACAAATATTAAAACCATAGGATGTTAGACAAATGGACCAACAATCCACTACCAATCAACATCGATTGTTGTTCCGAATTTGTATATTACCACACGCGACGTTTTATCGCAAAAGACCGACCCATGTGCCACTCATCGACACCAAAGAGACGTATAGGTGTTGAACCGATGAACACCCCTACAACTTATTTCTTTTAGATGATTGCATCGGTGACTATCTTGTTATTGTGGTTTTGCGAGTCACTTTAATTTGCCTTCCGACCACCTTAACCCTGTTCGAGTTTGTTGCTATGTTTTCCCAAAACAAAATTTGACCAAAACATTTGTTGCTAGTTCTTCTGCCCAGTTCTTTTGCCCAAAACTGTTGAACTACAAAGAACTTCAGCTGAGAGATCGAAAAAGAAACACAGAACCGAATCGACATCTTAAATCTGTCAAAGTGCCTATTTAGAACACTTACAAAATCCAAGTACCTATATATTGACAAACATTCAGAAACTACCATTCTTATTATCATAGAATTCTGGCTCAGATTCACAATAATCGCGAAGCAGAACCAGTTCTTCCTCTCTCCCTAATGGCATCCTTCACCCGCAAACCACATTTTTCCCCACCGAAAGTGAAATATACCCACAAACAATTGCGAAAAAGAAGATGAAAACTCACAGTTGCACTCCATCAACTCGTCTTCCACGGCCATTACAAGATCAAAAGATATGCGGTTAGCTGAGAAGGGATATATAATGGCGGAAGCCTGTTTTCTTAATAAGGGGCAACCAGAATCTCCAACCACAGCAATTATTTAGAGTCTTTGTCTTTAGACTTCTTTTGTTCAGAAACCCTTGCTCCCGTGATCTTACAAACAGGTTCATTCTTGGACTGCAGAAGCTTGAGATCTGGATGAACTTTGAGATCTCCCATTACTATCTTTTGGTTAACATCCAACTCACTCAGATCCACATCAATATATGGAGGAATCACATCAGCAGGACAAAGGAACTTTACGGTCCTCTTGATTGTGTTTAGACAACCATCTGCCAAATTGTAAAATGTCACGGTTTAGCTTAACTCGATAAGATTATCAGGCTATATGTATAAGAATGCAAACTGATCAAAAGTGACCAAAACAGCAAACTAGATTCTAAGTACAACAAAAACCATAAAGACCCTTCACGTACTAAATTTACAGTACAAAGTATGTAGCTTATAAATTATAATATGAAAAGTAAGCCATTATCAAATTCAAGTCTACCCCTATAATTAAAACTCTCATTTACCTCCCGCAAACTATTTTGAAACTAACCTTCATATCCATGATTTGGAAAATGCTAATACGTAACACAGAACCCAATCTACCAAAATCAATACGAAGAACAACCTTCAAAAACTTAGATGCAACTCAACTCTTGGAAATGGAATATGGTGAAAACTGTTTCCATAAAAGCGAAACTTTTTTAGTTTGACAAAATCCTTGTATAATCCCTGACACTTTCCGGAACTTTTCAACCAAATTTAGCTATGGATTTGACCAAAAACATGCTCCACAACAGAAGCTTTGTATGCTCAATCACCAATGTCAGGAATTACAGCTTTGAGACAAAAACTTCCAATCCTTTCATAATCTTTTGCAAGAAACAATGACTTCCCACATAAATTCTCGAAGCATTTAAGATTTCAGAAGGTTCCATATCCACATAAGGCTCGTAATAAATCTGAACTAAATCTAAAATCTGATGATATCTGCATGCCATGTTGTGATCAAAACAAGCCCCTGTATTCTTCTTTTCTATATACGTCTATAATGCACATGAAAACCCAGTAACATGAAAATGGAATTATGAGAAGGGAACAGTGGGATATAATCCGAATGAGACCAAGTATCCTACTTTGCTAACTACAACAGTTTGCTATATGCACAATGGAGGCAATGCTGGATCAAAGCATGGCATACACAACAAGAAGATAGAAACAGATATTGCAACTGGAAATTCGCAACAATGAAATGAAACAAATGAAATCCCATACGACAGATAGAAAAAGGTGGTTTCTTTTACTTTTCTTCAATCCAGGAGAGACATCATCGCCTCGAAACACAAGGGGAATATCGACTTTCAACAAAGCATGGGAAGGAGCCCTTATGAAGGTCACATTCAGCGGTGCATCCGTCGCAGAGTGCAGATGAATCTAATCAAAAAAAGCACCACATTTGACAAACCATGGCAGCAAATTAAATTAACTTTATTTAAATTGGATCAAATTTGTTGAAGTTGTTAGAGACTGCAGAGTGTAAGACTACATACCGAGCGAGGCAAAACGCGGACCCTCTCAACGACGTCGTTTTCGGAGTCGAAGTCGGAGCGAACCTCAAGGTCAAAGAGCCTGGAGAGGAAGAAAGAGCGGCCGAGATGACCGACGAGCTTGCGGATCTGGTTGGTCCGTACAGAAACGAGGCGCTTGTTGCCGCCGTGTTGGCCGTCCTCCTGCTCGAAGATGATACTGGGGACGCGGCCGGCCTTGCGCTCTTTGGCGGAGATGCTTTTGCCGGAGGTGGTGCGTGGAACTGCGAAGATGGTCTCGGCGTACTTCGGGTCCGGTATCGGGAAGGAGGTGGTGGATTCGAGGTCGGGATCGAGTTCGGGGTCCGGCTGGAGGAGGACGGCGGCGGACGATTGGGTGTATCGGCGGAGTTGGATTTGGAGGGCTTGGGTGAGTACGGAGGCGCGCTGCCTCTGGAGGAACATTTTGGAGTGTTGGGAGTGGCAAAATGAAATGTTGGGGTTTAGGAGGGTTTTCCCGTTGAGTCCACGAGCGAATTCTGTAGAGACCCAAAAATAGAAAGAAATCTAATAAAAAAGATCTTGAAAATTTTGATTTTTAATTAAAATGATAAAAATGTATTGTAAGTGAATAGTAGCATGAGTAATTTTTTAAAGTAAAAATATCATCAACGTTAAAATTGAATAATACCAGGAATGTTTCGTTAAGACTCCCAAAATAAAAATATGCAGAAACTACAATAACCTTACACTAGGGTTGATTTTATAAATCCTAAAACACCACTGCGTTCAAGTTTATGCAAAATCTTTCGTTAAACTCCATATCTTTTTTTTTTATATCTCTTTCCAAATCTTCATCTACTTCTTTTGCCTGACGTCTCAAAGTTGCATTTTCTAACCGGAACATCTATAACACTATGTTTGGATGAAGAAATTTAAGATTACTAAGGAATTTTAAAATGACGGGATTTTATTTTCTAAAATTTGTGAATTTCTTGTTTGGTTAACCTAAAAGAACAATTGAATTGAATACGTAATTTGTTTTTTTTTTTAACTCTCATCATAAAAATTAGGAATGACACCTATTTACATGGAAATTAAACTTGGGAATTGAGTTCTCAAGTTCCAAGTTTTTTTTCCACGCAGAAATTCTAAATTTCTATATTTATGAATCCAAAAAAGGAATTTGTGCGTGCCAATTTATAAATTCTGACTTATATCTAAATCCAAGTTTATTTTCCTATTCAAACATAGTGTAAGTCTTCAATTCACTGTCCAAAACACCTTCATTTAATTTTTCTCTCGTCTTAATTTCAATTGTAATCACCCCTACTTTACCTCAAATATCCTTATTTTTTATTCTATCATTTCTTGTATGCTCACACATTCAACGAAACATTCTCACATTTGCTGCAATCATATGTCGCTTTTTAACCGCCCAACCGAAATACATTAGAGCGAAATGTCCAAATTTAAATTAAAATGATTGAATTATAAAAATTGTTGAACAAAATATAAATATTCCCAATAAACAAGATATAAATTTTGATAAAATAAAACAAAATAAAATAAACAAGACATAAATAATAATTCACAAGATCCCGTTTCTTACTTAAACAAGCGTTGGCTGCTAAAACCTAAAAAGGGTGAAAACACACTTCAATTCAACAATGTGGGACTGAAGCAAATAGGCAACAAGATCTGCCAATGACATGGTTAACTAGTTTTAGAAAAAACGTCGCTCACTATAACGTTTACTGGTGCGAAAAATTAACTACGTCGTTCCTACGGTGTTCTATACAGCTCTCTACGTATTCCTTCAAGGAGGCAGTTCAAGTTAGTGTGACCTACATCAACAGTTATAGAATAGTGAATACAATCTAAGCCAACTTCAAGTAGCAGATGCCATAGTCAATAGGATACTCTGTGCCAGTCACTGCCACTTAAGAAAACCTAATCGATCTGTGCTCCCCACGACATTCTCATCTGTAGAATCTGATCCACTTGCCACAGTTTCATCTGAACTCTCGCTTGGAAGGAGCTGTATGCGGTCAGCATGCTCGATGAGCCAATTAGGGACTTCAGGAGATGCTGCCCATTCTGCTAGAGCTTGGCGGGTTGATTCGTGTGTGAAATCATCCCACTCTTTCTTTGTGAACTTCTTTCGGTTCTGCACCTTGTGGAAGGTTGAATAGTACTCCAGTTGATTAGGTGCCCTGGAGGATGGGGTCATGACACCTGCAACAAACAGAGACAAATAACAAAAATTAAAGCGTCAAACTGCAGTTCAGAACCTTTCACAAGTGTGAAAGACTTATATGAAGCACTCAGCGAAACAACAAAGATAGTATATCGACTCAGTTTTTTTATGAATAACCACTACAAATAATCAACCAAACTCTTTGTTGAAGCATATAAAAAAAACTACTACTGAGTAGTTGAAACAAGAAATCAGTCAAAATATGTATAAACGTAACAGCAAATACAATAAAAATACCTTTAACAGGAGAGTCAGACCAAGCAGATAGACTCCTTCGGCTGTTCCAACTCTTTTCTTGTGGGCTAGACCTGCTAAGAAATTCTGGACGACTTTGTCTACCCTTGACCTGGTTTCCCTTCTGTAGCCAAAGACTCCCACTCCCAGCACCCGACCGATGACTGCATGTAATGATAGTAATATGTTTTAATGTGACAAAACCCTTTATTAATGATCAGGACGCATCATTCTTGGACCACTAATTTTTACCTTCCAAATACAAAACCTATCCAGAAATCTAAACTTATTTGAAGAAAAATATAGCTCCACACAAAAAGTTAAAAAAATATTTCTGCTAAAATGCATTCAGTTCTGTAATGCCAAGAAAGTACGCAGGTAAAGAATGTATGACTTACGATTTGCGATGCCGTTTCAGAGAAGTAATGAACTTGCAGATAATCCAGTAAGAAACCAAAGCGCCCATTGCTAAAGGAGTATCGAGTGTGCTCTGAGAAATAATTAAGAGTGGAAAAGGCTTATATTAATAACAGATGAAAAAATGAAAAGAATCAATAACACAATATTTTGGCAATTACATTCAATTTATAAAACTAACTTTAACAAAAGACTAGAATAACCAATTCAGTCGTGAATATCAAGAACAGCCAAAAGGAATGTGAGAGAACACCTGCAAGATGGAGGTGGTTCCAATGATACGCATAGCCCACTTGACAAATTGTGCTATACCAACATCTACCGTCCCATCATTTGAGACAACAAACTTCCTCACAATCCAGTACCCTAATGCAGCTCCCGCAAGGATAATTCCCACTAGTAAAAATATAGAGACCTGGCAGAAAAACACGACATGGTAAGAAGCCAAGACAATACAGTGATCCAAAAAGAAAGCATCAGAAGCAGACAATTTGCCTAGATATTTATGAGAATTTTGTGAATATAAGATTGAGGGAACCAATACTTACTGGGTTATGCATCTCCTCACTTAGCCCAAAATTCAAAAGAATTGAATTTACCATCAGTGAAAACTGATGAACAAGGAAAGATCCTGCTCCAAGCTGTCAAAGGTATATAAATTGTAAGATTTACTAGTACTATAAATTAAATGAGGTTAATAAACTCTGAAGCAACAGTAAAATTTAAGACAACAAGAGTTACCACAGATCCATATATGGTAAGATAGAGGACATTTTTCCTTCCAGTTGGCAACAGCTTCATTCCCTAAAAGATTAAAGAAAACAATAATACAAAACATTATGTACAAAGTTGCAAGCTAAAAACTGCAGGTGAAAGATAATTATCACAAAACCCTGTAACTACAATTCTTTTTAGAGGAGATCTGAAACTCAAACTACCCAAAGAAAACCTAAGAGCATGCAAACAAAACATAAATACATAGGAATCACACAAAACAGTACCTGGAAGAGAATGATTATAACGACCAGAAATACTCCTATAATCATTGAACTGCTATAATAAAAAGGTACCCAACTGCTGACAATTGGTGCCAACAATAGAAATGTGAATCCCAATGCCAGACACACAAGGCGCCATCTCTGAAAATCTGCATAGACATAATTAAAATATTTACTGAAGCCTGAAAATTGTAGCATAAGCAATTAAAGGCAGCCATACATTATTTTATTTTTGACAGACCTTCTTCAACAGTTATGGTGACAGAGCCAGGTATTTTGCCAATGAACTTGAGATCGACATATTTTTCATCATAAGGCGACATGACAGAGCTCCATAACCCTTTCTGAAGATTTTTCCAATCATCCTCTTCGCACTGACATAATCCAAGCGTATTATTCCTGTACAAAATTCAAGAGTCAGAGAAAGCAATCCACAGAAAAAAGGTGTGTGCGCGACTAGAGAAATGAGTAAGGGAAAGAGCAATAGAGAGAGGGAGGGAGGGAGGGGTAGGCATACAGTGCACTCATAACTCAATCAGAATAAATAAAACACAATTATCCTAAAAAACAAAATGCTTGTACAGTAAAGATCAGACATTTCACTCACCTATGAAAACAAACTTGAATTTTGCTATGCAACCTCTCTGGGATTACAAGAGATGTAGACAAAGTGATCTTCAGTGAACTTGCATAACTCCCAAGTTTTAACCTTGATACCCCAGAAACCCGTGCCCGTTCACAATATAAAACATCTTTAGAACCAGGCACAACTGAGAGCTCGGAAAGAGATGCCGGGATGACTTCTAGTACTGGGTTTTCAATATCAACACCTGTGATTTCAATATTGCTAAAGGTTAGTTTCAAATATACAACAAACCAGCGAAACGAAAGAGAAATTCGAACTCTTTAAATCCCTAAAAATACAACGGACATACTGTTCAGCTATAGCAGATTAAAAACTCAAAATCATAGCGACAGCGACCGGTTAGGTGCAATATACGTTATCACATCAAACCCAAAAGGGTATCACGCTAACCTAGAATATTGAAACTTTCCACTTTTAAGGCCGAAAAATCGACACTTTTGAAACCCTAACCGGCTAAGAGCTTGACACTTCACTCAAGCAATACAGCAACCCAAATAAACCCTAAAGAGGCATAACGAAACCCTAACCCTCTATCTGCCTTACAAGAAATAACAAAAGTGGAGACCAAAACGTAATAATTTTCACAGCAAATAAATGCAAAGCAAGTCAAAGCTCAAGTTTTTCTCTATTAAAATGGAAATAAGTAAACAACCCACATAATCAAACATCAAAATTTCATTGATTTTCCTCAAATTTTCTCGGAAACCAAACAGGCGGCAATAGGCCCATAAACACCGAACACAAATTGAAGGCAGGAAGGAAACGAATGGGAGCGACGATAGAGAGATAGATACCTTTGAGGTCGGTGGCAGGTGAGAGGGTCGGAAGAGAGAGACAGAAAGCGAAGAGGAGGAGCAGAGTGGCGGAGGAGGGAGAAGAGCCCATTGCTTCGCACACTCATTACTCTCTCTCTCTCTCTCTGATCCCCGATATAAAAAGTACAGAAGATTTTACTCATTCCGAAGAGACGATTTCTTAACGAGGCAGTAAAAGCATCGAAGTTTGAGCCTTGAAGAAAAGGGCTTGGATCTTGTCTGGCCCAAATTCGTGGTTACCATTGGGCTTTTCTTATACTAAATTTGTCTACATAAACCCAATAATTCTTCTCGTTTGGTATCTTAAATCTTAACTGAGGTAGATGATGCAAAGCATTACCTTATACGTAAAGGAAAAGACAACAATTGTAAAATTGTGCCATGTTTTCAACATATTTTTATTGCAAACAATAATTCTTTTAAGTACTGGTTTGATACTGAGGTGTTTTTAAAAAAAACGGGTATAAAAAAAGTTATTTTTTGTGTTTAGTAAACATTCAACTTCAGTTTTTTTTCACAGTTTTTTATGAAAAAAAGCTAAAAGTTCAAATCAGCAAAAGATAGCTTTGAAAAACCGACTTTTTTTGCTTCCACAGCTTCTGCGCAAACCTAATTTGCAAGAGGCGCTGAGCCCTTTAATGAAACTTTAAAACATCCAAAATGACCTTAAGCAATTAAATAATTACACATAATACCAACTGGAAAACGTCACCAACTTCAACTGGGAGGTCGTCCTCGTCAATCCCGCCGCAACGCCCTTCACTCCCAGCTTCAACAATCACCATTGACCTTGAATTCCATACCCTAGGATGTTGTGTCTGCCTCTATCCTTCCTCTCATCTCTTGTCTATCCTCTCTCACTCCCATGCTGACAAAATTGCGCCGAGAAATACCACTATCTTTTTTGGCGAGGACCAGATTCGGTTTTGGCATCGCAGATTGCACCGTTTACAGGCGATTGATCTTCGTATTTCTGCAAATTAGGAGAGCCTATATTGCTCAGACAGACACCAAAACTCAATTATTCCAAATACCCAAAATTAAATACACAAAACTATTTCGTATGATCAAATCACACTATATAGTTTCAAAAAGAAAAAATGATTAGTCCTGGAAGAAGAAAGAAACCAACATCCTTGAACGTTGGCCTGCCCGACGTATATAAGGAGAAGACAGAGCAAAAATAAATAAAAACTGAGAAAATTGAAGTTGTGGGGGAGACTTCTAGAGAGATGTTTTTGGTTTTTGCACTCTCCAATATAAAAACTGAAAAAATTATTGCTTACAACTGCTTTGGTGGAGAGGCTATTCTTTGCTATGAATATTGACTCAAAACTTTGCACTCTTCAATATAAAAGCAACCGCTTTAATTGAACCTTGCATTCTTTTGAATTTCGTTCTTGCCCTCGGCAAATCCTGACTTCGCCACTGTTCACAAGGAGTCTTGTATAAAGACATACAACATCCTCTTTATAAAGTATTTTTAACAAGTTTTGTTCAAGAGTACAGACTCCTTATTAGTACAAGAAATAAAAAGTAGGAAAAAAAACGACGGATTACCGAAGACAAACTCGTTTTTAATGTTAAAAGAATGTGACTTAAAAAATAAATATGGGAAAACTTGAAGAAAATGAAAAAAGAAAAAAAAAAGGGGATATTTGCAAAAGTCATCGGATATTCACATGTTCAGCGACAGCGAAAAAAAAACTAGCTGAAAGAGTGCAGGACTTCTTCCCTTCCTCTCCTTCCAAATTCCAAATGGTGTTGTAATTCACACCCTCATAAAATTCAAGCTCTGTGAATTCAGCTGAATGGGAACGCTCACCGGCTGCACTTTCAGCACCCTCGATTTCAACTTCACCCTCAAAACCCGCCAAATTCCGGGACTGCCATCGCCCAAGAAACCCAGGAGGAAGAGTTCTTCATGCTTCTTGTGCAGCAGAGCGAGTGTAAATACCCAGAGAATTTGTTGGGTTCCGCGTAGGAATTTTGGTAGGCTTAGATGTTATAGTTCTAGCGATAATGGTGACGGTGACGGAGAGAGTAGCAGCAGCAGCAGTGGGAGTAGTAGTAATAAGTCAACCGACTCCACGACGATGACGACGACGGAAGTAGACGAAGATAAAACGCGCACGAACGACTATGACTCTGAACCTCCATCGGTTTCTTCCAGGGTACATTGCTCATATCCATTTGGGTTTTTGCATTAGCTGTTGAATTCGCATTGGCTTGTTCTTCTCTTAATTTTGTTACCTTATAGCGTTTGGTTATCAAGTTTGAATTTTTAATGAAGAAATTGCTATAGGAATTAAAATTCGGTTTTGGGTTCTGCAAAAATAGGAGTATAAGGTTCTATATTTGTTGAATTTTCCAGTTTAGTCAGCGGGTTTTTATTTTGCGGAATTCGAAGTTGATGACGGTATGACATTGATAATAGTCGTAACGAAAAATGGTATCAACCCAATTGTGGGTTTAGTTTTGCATCACTCTAGGGTGCCTTTGAGTTCATTTTCTGTGTTAGTGTCTTTGTTCGATTGTTTTAAGAATTGTAGTTGGAGAAATTTCCTTTTTGTTTTCTACATATATATGTAGAGGTGGAGCCTCATCTGGACTTCCAACAGTTGAGATAGACAGAATCTAGTTAGCTTCAACCATTGAATGTCACCAACGGTTGGGAGCTCAGTTTCAAAGACTGACTGCAGTGCGTGTGTGTATTTACCTTGAATGCTCATGTAAGAATATAGGTTACAGATAACCGTTGTGGCTAATCTTCTACGTATGCTCTATTCATAGTAATTGTGAGGGAACTGATTATCAATGCAGATATTTGCATATGTACTGATAAAATTAATTCTAAGCGGCTAAGCTGTGTACATCTAACTTAGTACAATAACACTGTCTCTAATAGCTTGATGTGTCAATATGTCCTTCAGCCGCCAACTATATCACCACTTGGGCCTGCGTACAATAATTTCCAAGTTGACTCTTTTAAACTGATGGAACTCCTTGGGCCCGAGAAGGTTGATCCTGCTGATGTAAAGCTGATTAAGGAAGCACTTTTTGGTTATTCGACCTTTTGGGTGACCAAAGAGGAGCCTTTTGGAGACCTCGGTGAGGGCGTTCTTTTCCTTGGGAATTTGAGGGGAAAGAGAGAAGAGGTATTTGCCAAATTCCAACGTCTACTGGCTGAGGTCACGGGTAACAAGTACAACCTTTTTATGGTGGAGGAACCCAATGCAGAAGATCTAGATCCACGTGGTGGTCCACGTGTTAGCTTTGGCTTGCTGCGGAAAGAGGTCTCAGAACCAGGGCCAACCACACTTTGGCAATATGTAATTGCTTTCTTGTTATTCCTTCTAACAATTGGATCATCTGTGGAGTTAGGAATTGCATCTCAGGTACCAGTACGCCAACTTACTTCTACTTATAAATATATTTCGTGATGTTATAAATGGGTCTATCAACAATTGATTTCTTTCTCATTTTTAGATTAACTACTTAATATCGCATTTTATCAACAGATAAATAAACTTCCGCCAGAGGTGGTGAAATACTTCACAGACCCAAATGCCGTTGACCCACCAGATATGGAGTTGCTATCCCCGTTTGTAGATTCCGCTTTGCCCTTAGCATATGGTGTTCTGGGGGTTTTGTTGTTTCATGTGAGTGAGATGTCTTGCTGTTTCATGTGTTTTGGTTCAAACTTAAAAATGTATTGTTCCATGCTATATACATGGATACAATATATTTTGGCTTTAGCACTATGCTCTTTTGTTTCCATCAAGTGAAATCGTTAACCCCATGCATATGTAAGAGAGAGCTGATTAATTGTAATGTTTATTTACATTATATGTGTGATTTGATGCTTGCAAATAAAATGAACATGCTTATATGTGAGGGGCATGCTTGTGAATAAAATGAACTAGATGCTCAATTTTGTCAGTTTCAAGTGAGTGTATATGATGACTAGCATAAGTGTTGTCTGAAAATTATGTCAATTTCTTTTTCAAAAAAATTCTGTCAATTTAACCTTCTCCAAATTATTTTTTGAGTTTTGACAAATTAGTCCATATTCTGTAAATTGTGATCTTCTATTTGAATTTTACTTTTGTTCTTATTTGAATATGATTATGATGGAGTCAATTGCATGCAGGAAGTTGGGCATTTTTTGGCTGCTTTCCCAAACAAAGTAAAACTTAGCATTCCTTTCTTCATTCCTAATATTACTCTTGGTAGCTTTGGCGCCATCACTCAGGTACCTCTAATTATCCAAGTATAGCAATTTGAAACATGTCCGTTTAAGAGACTTGTCTACATTGTTTAGTATACGATCTGAGTAGGAGTGAGTCATTCCTGAATGAATAATGTAAATTTGATCTTTGTATTCTATTTCTTCCCCCTGCCACTCCCCATCCTACACACGAAGTTACATATTTTATTTAGGGGTGTGTTATCCACACACCCCATTTTACTTCTCACACACCCCTTGATAATTTCTGTTCTGATGATCTTCTTCAATTTATCTAATCCGACAAGCCGAAAATTAAAAGGTGTGTGAGAAGTAAAATTGGGATGTGTGGATATCACACTCCTTTATTTAAGATAGAGTGGTGGCTTATTCTATTCTGACATTTTAATTTCTCCCATATTTTATGTTTGAATAAGTTAGGACTTTTATATTTGTGTGATGGTTGTAGCTATAGGTATGTTGTATTTGATGCAGTAGTTTGACCTAGATATCTTTGCTCGAATTAGGTATATGTGCGCCTAGACCCTCATATCTTTCTTGTTTTGTACTTAAAGGTGATTCAGAGAATTTCTTCTCATCGGTCACTGGTTTTGTAGTTTAAATCCATTCTCCCTGATCGGAGCACAAAAGTCGACATATCACTGGCGGGTCCTTTTGCTGGTGCTGCATTGTCATTGTCAATGTTTGCTGTTGGCCTGCTGCTCTCATCTAATCCCAATGCCACAGGAGAGTTGGTGCAGGTTCCAAGCACGCTGTTTCAAGGTTCTTTGCTTCTTGGACTCATCAGTAGAGCCACTCTTGGTTATGCGTATGTCCTTCCCTTGCCTCTGTAGCACTGTTAAACTGAGCACCTTGTTTGTATGTGAGCTAAGAGACATCTATTGCAGTTTCAACTTTCACATCATATATTCATATTGACATGTTACCATCCTAAACATGCAGATCAATGCATGCTGCGACTGTTCCAATTCATCCTCTTATGATTGCTGGCTGGTACTATTTCTGGACTAGTTGCTTAATAATTTCATTGCAATGCATAACGTACTCATGAATCAAGTTTAACATTGCAGGTGTGGGTTGACAACAACAGCTTTTAATATGCTTCCAGTGGGCTGTCTTGATGGTGGAAGAGCTGTGCAGGTGAATTTGCAAAATTGTGCACAGAAATTCTCTCTGTGTTCTTTTTATAATGATTTCGTCAAATCTTTTATTTAATTTGTTTTAGTTGTTTTTTCCTTTGAAGTTGCCTAAGGTAGACATTCAGCAGTGATGATAGCTGGATTCTAATGTGGCATATGGTATATCTCTGGTATTGTAGGGCGCTTTTGGAAAAAATGCGCTAGTTGCCTTTGGCTTGACGACATACACCATGCTTGGATTGGGGGTGGTATGCCTAACTTTTACGGCTTAAAAATAACGTGCTAGTGTTTTGCTTCAAACATTAAGTTGCTTGCATTAGGTTTTTCATGTGTTCTAATGACAGTTGTTCCAACTTCCGAGGTTCGTTAAGTTTGATTTTTTTTTTTTTTTTTTTTCCTTTTTCCTTTCAGCTTGGCGGACCTCTGTCACTTCCATGGGGACTCTACGTGCTCATATGCCAGGTTTGCAAATAAGAATTTATAAATTGTGGTTTCATGCTTCCAAAAATCCTCCTCTGCTACCAGAAAAGGATAAAAAAAACCTCCATCTCATGGCATTTTTTGATTATGTAAATGTTCAGAGGACACCCGAGAAACCGTGTCTGAATGATGTAACAGAGGTTGGAACGTGGAGGAAAACAATTGTTACAGCGGCCGTGTTCCTTGTTGTACTCACACTTCTTCCTGTATGGGATGAGCTTGCCGAGGAGCTAGGTATAGGTCTTGTAAGCACATTTTGATGCATCATACGTGACAGCCGATTTTTTGTTCGAGTCATTTCGATAGTGATTCCAATAGCCATAAAGTTTGCGACTGCAATACGCATTCGATCTAGTAAAATTCCATTTTTTCACTCTTTTTCGTATTTGATAGTTCTGATGTGCTAGTATTGTAAAGATATGAATACAGAACAACTGTGAAAGTGAAACTATTACAATCTAGTTAGTGGAAAATGTGGTTTTTCATGTTTCTTGCAATCTGGAAACAACGAAAAGTGTGGGAGCACGCACGCCTGCCTAATCGGGCAGGTGCGATGTCGCATTACAGGCCCGTAGGGGCGAGTACCTTTGCAAGGCTCGTGTAAGCCACGGGCCATAAACAACCACCCTTGTTAATATATTTTTTGAATTAAATGGCTAATTAACTTGATCATCGGAATAATAGTTCACACAACGAACACTGATATTTAGCCATTCTAATCAGAAGACACTTTACCATATGATTAATGTTTTCGCACCGTTAGTTATTTTTAGCCATTTTAAGATAAGCAAATGACTTTCATGCACTTGTTTCTCTCTTAGCAAATCTTTTTATTTTTGATGTTTGGATCAAATGGAGTAAAGAATAATCACGGGACAAAAATAAGCAGAGACGTATATGAGGAGAAAAAATGTGTGCAAAAGTCATTTCACTTTTAGATGTGTTCATATGCTATATTCTCTCACAAAGATTTCAGGGTTCACAATATTGCAGACCCTCCAAATTTCTAGTGGTTTTAAGAACGCATCTCTTTGTTCCCAAAACCTAAAAAAAAAAAAAAAAAACAACTACTACGCATCTCAAACTTTTAGTTTCTCACATTGACCTTGATGTTTGAAATCATATGCATTTATGCTTTATGGTTACTCGAATATTTGTTCCTTCGTGAAATTGACAACTTTTGGACATATATGAAAGGTGTAAAATCTTACTCTTGGACATATATGGCGAATTGGGAAAAAAAAAGAGAGAGTATAGTTTCACTATAACGATCGATATAGATGATAGCAAGCGAATTTTGAAGAGTTTGCATGAAAAATATAGAAAGTTTAGATATGTAAAATAAGGAAGAGAAAATTCTAAACTAATATCGATTATTGGCGAACAACAGGGGAACTCGACTCTCTTCCTCATCATCTTCATCATCTTGGGATAGCCTTGAAAGCTGAAGAGGCTCCATGAAGCTCTGTGAAGATGGCGCCGCATCGATGTCCAAGTTCGAGGTCAAGCTGCTCATGTTGATTAGGTTAGTGGAGGTGGAGGTGTTGTTGGAGTAAGCAGGCTGTAGCATTAGTGCCATGTTCTGTTGCTGCTGCTGCGAGGTGATTTGGAGAGCATTTGCAAATGCAAACCTGCTGTTTATCAGCTGAGTTTGCACCGTTGCTAGCTCGGCTTGCAAAGATGCAACCTGCACGATATTCATGTCACAACAGTTAAACTATATATCATATCAGTTAGCCATACGTATACGTTTCAATGAGTGTATATGTGTGTACGGTTTGACTGTTTTGCCGGTGATTTGCATCTTAACTGGAGCCTTCCGGTCATGATAACTCACGTCATCTTCATGAACGTTAAAGTAAACTTGTTTTCTTATCGATATGTCATTCATATGACAAATCTCGAGTGCAACAATAAATACAATTTATTGATATGTCACCACATAAAAGTAATTGTCGATTAAGACCTTTAAAACAACTCTTTCACGTATTTTCCTAACCACTACATACATTTATTAGCTATTTAAAAATGAAAAACTAATGAAAAAAACTTGAAAACTTTGAATTTTAACGATAAAGACAAAATAAAGGGTAAAATGAACAGTACCATAATTGACCTTTTGAGTGTAAAAATATGATTTTTCATTAAAGTGAACAGTACCGCAGACTTTCCGTTAAAACTCCCTATTTAAAATTGTGTATTTCTTTTCTCAATGTTACACCTTGAAAACTGACGTGCTCCATTATTATTAGAGTGATTTTCCTTACATGCAAAAAGATCTCCTCCTTCACAAAAATTAATAGGCCAATAATTTCCATGACGGCAACAGATTAGAGAGAGATAATTTGTACGTGTAGAGATAATGGATGAATAAACATGTTAATATACGAGTTAATGAAACCTGTTGTTGCAAAGCAAGTACGGTGGAGACACAACCGTAAACCGGGTCGGAGAGCCTAGCTTGAGCCTCGTAGGTGATGGTAACGACAGCGTCATGCCGGCGGTTCAAGGGAATGTGCAACAAAAGCTTCGACACATTACTTGCCCCAAACACCTTGTGCACCGCGGCAAAGCGTGCAGCTCCTTGGTCTGAACCGAAATGGGGTGCGAATATGCACCCACTTATGCACTTCCTCCTCAAAAACTTGCACGCCCCACATGGAGCTGCACCACTACCTGAACCTACTACATTACTAGTTGTTGTTGTCGTTCTGACTGCCGCCTCCATAGAAGCGCGCTTTCCTCCCCCTCTGCTGGATGTGCCCTTCCTTCGACCCTCAGACGTGCCATGATCTCCTTGTTCTGGCTGATCAGCCATCAAGTAATTAATGGAAATAATATTGGAAGGACTAGCTAATTAACAAGTTGGTCTATAGGTGTGTAGGAAGGTATAAATTAAGGGTAATTTAATAAGATTTATATTTTTTTTTTTTTTGGGGGGGGGGGTTGGAAGCAAAAGAGAAGGGTGGTGAGTTTGGTGCTTATAAGGAAACTGCCGGAGCTAGCAGTGCACGTTTGTCTCGTGAAATAGTTGGCAACCTGAATGTGCTAAGCCTTTTTTTCTTTCTGAGAGAGAGAGAGAGAGAGAGAGACGTTATGGTTGGTGAAGTTGATGGATATTGAGTGAGTGAGTGAAGTGTGAGTGTGGTAGCTGCATGGTGTGTCTGAGGTCCGCGTGCAAAGGCCAGGGAGTAATACGTGAAAGTAGTTTTTATTAATATAGCCCGTGAAACATATCAATCATTTCATTTACTTTTATTTATAACAATCAAATGACGTAAAAATTTCAGTTAGTTTTATGAGAGAGTTTGTTAATTTATTTAGTTTTATGAGAAGAGTTTGTTAATTTATAAAATTAAAATCTTAATTAGTTTTATGAAAAGTGGTTTTGTTAATTTATCCTATTAATGGTGTTAGTTTTAAGTATACTAGTATAAAAATGGTAAATGACACTTGTATGGAACTTGTGGAAGGTTGTCTTCGATCATGGAAAGGCAGGCACAAGATTTGTATTGCCCGTAGCGTGTGGGATGCGGAAAAGCTCAAAGTGCATGGGTGCACATGTCATGCATAATCTTTTACCTGTAGTTGATAACAAAATTAATAGAGAAATACTGAGCAAGATGTTTATGTTTTAATGAAGAAAATATGCACTTGCATTAAAGTCTGAAATGGTGAAAGCATAACATGTCAGTATGTTCTGTTGATAATATATGTGACACTGGTCATCCTTAAATTTTTATGGTCAAAGCAAAAGGTTCAAAAGTGACACATTCTATATTAAATGAAAAATGTTACAGATTTTATTTCTTTCTATGTGCTTTTTTTTTCTTTTTTTTCTTTTAATCTTTAACACAATCTAAATTTACGATAAAATAGAATTATATAAAGGCCAAGTCTGGTAATGTAAACTTGTAACTAAGTAGGTATTAAAGTGATTGATGACCGATGGATCCTTGGTAAAGCATGATATTTGAAATATGTTCACCACCATATGATGATATGAGATCCTTTAAACACGCCCTAAGCTACTCGGATTAGTAGGCGACCCCCCACAATGAGCGTGTAGCAAACAAACAAACACACATTTGGAATCAACTAAAAAAAAAGAATTATATAAAGAAATTTTACAGACTTAAAGGGAGAATGAGAGAGGATAGATGGGGATAAAAGGTAAATAACGTTTGCTCAGTATATGTAGTACGCTGGACACATACGATCCCTTGTAAACCAAGAAATCTGGATAAAAGGTAAAGAACGTTTACACTCATTAATTTACAGTTGTGACTTAAAAACCAAGAAATCTCTAAACTGCTGCAGAACATAGATAACTGGCCGGCAAGGCATGGTTCGCCATCGGTTGATCCCTTTAAGGTCTTCAGTAACCTATGATGCCGGATATGAGTAATGCAACATCTTTCTCGGCGGAAGTCATTAATTCTCTCTGTGTAGCTAGCTGTGGCTTGAATTCTCAAGCATAAAAAAAACTCCGGTAACTCACAACTAAAAGGTGAGGCGTGGAGGTTGTGAAGGTGAAACCGGAGAGCCCTCACTGCTCTGGGATTCTCCTCCTTGCCATGCATCCTGAACTTGTTCAGCATACTGCAAGTTCCACAGAACATCCTCAATAGAAGGCCTTTCTGATGGATCCTTGCGCAGACACCGAACACAAATTTCCATCATTGTCTTCACTGACTGATCCAAGCACGTCTGCTTAACCCGTGGATCAACCACGCTTCTTCGAGCTTCATCATCAGCTGTAAGGGCCACTTGTAGCTGCATATCATCAACGAATATATATAAGTCAACTACTTATTTCCCATATTAGTATATTACCGTTCCTGGCAAAGGAAAAAAGAGGAACTATTTTCAGAAATAATAAGGATATCAATGCAAGTTTTTTAGAGTTCGATCTGAGTAATGGCCAGAATTTAGAGGAAACCTAAGCATTTACATAATAAGAAGGAAAGGAGGCTTTATGGTTGAAGGAATTGGTTTAAGAATTTGAAAGCTCAGTTGTGAAATTAGCCAACACTAAGTCTTCCATGAAAGGTCTGCGAGGGCATTGCAGGCAGCGTGGGAGATATTGAAAGATCTTGTTTCCTGAAAAATTAAAATGGATCCTTTGAAGAAAATATAAGAAAGGCAAGTTTCTTTTACCTGATCTTCTAAGGCCCCGATTTGAGCCTCATACTTCACCTGCCTCCCCTTGATCATTTCCAGCAATATTACTCCAAAGTCATGAACATCAGTCCTATCGTCGTCTTTCTTCCTGTCAACCAACATAGCACAACGGTTACAATGCAATACTGTGAAGGTAGCGAGAGGTGACAAGGTGTCGACAAGAACAAAGGCGTGCTAAGACTATGATCAAAAGTAATTAAAATTAAAAAGTTCCTATGAATGGTGCATTTAAGTGTTTTAGTATACATGTAGCTTAAAGTGATTGAAAATTTTCATTGCAGACCTTGCACCGGTACTGGAAGTTACACATCTGCTCGAAGAGACTCCATGACCACCCGGCGAGGAGGAGCATATCTGAAAACCAGTGCATAATGATCTGCCTCGAGAAATCGAATGGACAATCCCCCAATGAATTAATTACAACATAATGTTTTACCTGTTCCATATTTTCTTCTAACAGAGGAAGGTTGTAACTGCTAATTTTCGCAACAAAATTCTGATCCAGTAAAATGTCTGTTATTTTAAGATTATTTGAAAATACACCAGGCATGATCCCCGTGTGCAAAAACTGAATGCCCTTTGCTGTGCCTATTGCAGCTGCTATGCGTTGTGTCCACGCAAGTGATCGTCTGGGATGTCCCCCTTCCGAAGAGAAAAAACAGAACGGAAAATTCCAGATAAATGTGTGAAATCAAAAGAAAAGAAGGTCATGGTGGAGAAACTAAATAAAATATTTCATGATGAGTTACCAGATATCCAGCTCCGAAGTGTGCCATTTGGTACATATTCGAAGACAAGAAATATTCTGCTGACGCTCGAATCATCCAAGTAACACTCAAAGCAGTGTCCAAGTGCGCTGACCAAATGGCGATGCCGTAGTTTCATAATTAGCTCTATATGGTGCATGAAGTTTTCAGTGCTGTGACTTCCTTTCATTTTCAAGCATCTGATGGCAACAAAAGAACCATCCTTCAACTGGCCTCTGTACATCTGAAACCACAAAAGGAACGAAAACACCAGCTAACGACCATTAATTTAAGATCAGAAGAAATTGTAATTCTACGATGTGATTCATAGTTAATCACACAAAACTGCATTCAAAAGCTCAATACCACTTGAAAATAAAAGGTTTATGTTATGTACCTGTCCATGTGAGCCTTCACCCATGAAAGTAGACGTATCAAAGTTTTGTGTAGCGTCCTCAAGTTCCTCGAGTGAAAAGGTTCGATAACCTGGAAGGCCAAGCGCTCCCGACTTCATTGTTTGAGATATATATCCTTTAGGCATAAGCAGAATATCAGACTATCAGACATTTTGAATAAACTGGAAAATTTAACCAATCAACATCCAGTACTTACGTTTTTCCTTTCTCATAATTTATTTTTGTGTGTATGCGAGTGTGCGTGTGTGTGAGCGACAGAGAGATGAGAACTTACTTGCATCTGATAGTAACTTTGAGGTATATCCACTTGATGCATTCTCTGTTACTGATCTTGTTGGAGATTTCTTCGTTGTCTTGTTGGCATTCATTCTTCTATATACAAAGAAGATTACACCGAAAAGTAGAACACATCCAAAAAGCGCTCCAATTATACCCAAGGCAAGGGCTGCTTTGGAGGCTTGCTTTCGCTTGCTTCGGTCAGGTACTATTCCAACAGCTAACGCCTCATTGTGGCAAAATGGAAGCGGATGTTGATTTTGATTACTAGTAGCTAAACAATTGCTTGCATACAGGAAAACCTTGTTCTTAGAATCCGACTCAAGACATTTTGGCAAGCTTCCAGTCAAAAGATTCGAGGATAAATCCACAACTTTAAGTTCAGCATTGCAAGATGAATTTTCGAAAAGCATTCCTGTGAATTTATTTCCTGAAAAATTAAGGTAAGTAATCGAAGGTAGAGATAGCAGCGATGGAGGAAATGGCCCCACGAACATGTTGGAAGAAACGTCTAGACATTGTAGCTGATAATAGGAGCTCAATTCAGCTGGGATGGAAGACCGAAATTTGTTCTTTCTCAGTACAAGGGTGACCAACTTTTTCCCAAGTTTCGGAAACTGAGGTCCAAAAGCATTATCTCCCACTTCAAGAACTTGAAGGTTCGTCAAACGACTAAAATCAGGCAGTTCCCCATAGAAGTGGTTATGAGAAAGCCCAAGAAGTCTAAGACTTTCCAACTCACTCAATGAACTCGGCAAGGATGAATTGAACAAGTTCTTCTTCAAACTCAAAACAGATAAAACTGGTAGCGAACCCAGCCCTTCTGGAAGCAGTCCAGAAAACATGTTGTCATCGAGTATAAGTGTCTGGAGGCTTGTTAGAGAGGAAAGCTCTGGAGGGATGGTGCCATACAAGAAATTTGAGGTCACATTAAGTATTTCGAGTGATGATAAACGCGCGATTTTACCAGGCAAGTTTCCCCATAAACCAAGAGAGACCAATGTGAGGACTTTCAAGCTCGGAAGCTTAACCAGAGTTGTTACAAAGGAATCAATTGAAAAGTTTCGAGGCAACAAAGGAGCAGGTTTTTCGCCGATTATATGCAGCTGGGTTATGTTCCCTTCGTAGCATGAGACCGCAAAAGAAGAATTCACTTCAAAGTTGCAAAAATCTGTGTAGTTATTCAAGCTTTTCGAGACAGTTGGAAAGTTTAGGAGTCGCGTAATTCTCATAAGGGTCAGAGCTTCGGAGGATAGGTGCTGTTCGGAATCACGAACTGAAAATATAATGACAGCAAGAACCAAAGGCAGAGAACAGAGAGAGCGTTTTGCCATAGCAGTTCCAGTTACTGCATTCAGCTTCCCAAAACCATATACAAAAACCCTACGATCAGATTAACATGATATATAAAAAAACATATATAAACATATGATCAAAATATAAGAAATTCAAGTCTTCATTTATCAAATTCCAACTGAAATGTATGTTTTATCGATTTCGCATCAGAACACAAGTTTATTCAGGAACAAGAATGTTACCTTAGCTCAATGGATTGAAGATTGAACAAATAGCTCAGTGACCTTGAGATCCAAACAAATCCAGGAAAATAATGATGATTACAAATCCACAAGCTATTGCTTTTCCAAATCCCTGTGAAAACAAATTAACAAGATCGATACGTTCAGAAAGACGAGTCATTGGCCTGCTACTAACCACACCACACCGGTACGTCAAGATTTCGTTGGTTACAATTTTACTAAACAAATGATTGTTACTTCAACTTCAAAAGAAAGTAAATATTCACCAAAAACTGCTCCAATAAAAACATAGAAATCCCCTCCAACAAAAGAAAGGAAAACTTTCAAACTACAACACAAACAGCAAGATTTTCGACCAAAAGAAAAACCAACTCAGATAATTATTAAACAGAAGCAAATTTAAGCAAAATCCAACAAAATATAATAAATAAATAAATAAATAACACACTGACCTGCCTATTGCTTCAGAAAATCCCAAAGTTTTGTGAGCCACTCGTTGAATCCAACAGTCAGCAGTTTCAGAGGTGCCCGAAAATCTTAGTGACTGACAAACGAAAGAGATTGAGTTTCTTCTTCTCTTCTCTCTTCTCCACAAGTCAGCTTCTGGTTTGCTTTCTGGTTGTAGTTTGAATAACACAACAAGACAGTCTAGTCACAACTTGAAACTGACGTTTTATTTTTTTTAATATTTATTTTAGTTATTTTTCTCTGTGTTTTTATCTTTGCCTTTCTGGAATATATTCTTGTGCTTTTTGGAAAGCTAAACTCAAGGGGCAGCCATAGTTGGACTGCAACTGAAAGTAAAAGCAAAAAAAAAATATTCCTTCGGAGGAGAATGGAAGCTTTATTTCACTGTAACTGTCTGTGAGTGTGGAAGATTGTCGAAGAGCATAAATATAAAAAATCACGTCGGAAAATTAACAAAAATAAATATTACGTATATTGTGTTGTACTATTTTTTAGTTACATCGAGACTTTTAACAGTAAAACTCTATATTCAACATGATGTGCATGTTGAAAGACAACACTAAAACGACTAGTAGTACACTGCTGACCCGTCTTTATGAAATTTTGAGAGAAATCGATCTACTAATAATATTCTCTGAATTCCAGATTGATTTCGAAGATTATAATTTATTTAAAAAATGGGAAACAGTAAAATAAAAAGGTGGGCAGGGCAAGGAGCCAAAGGCAACACAATGGGCGTAAGCTTTCGCTTTCTGACTGTGGTGTTGTGGTCAGCTTTGGCTTTCCATCCATACGTCACGTGCTGGTGTAGCCCTGGCCCACTCTCTCCACATAATCTGTTGCTTTTCGCACCTTTTTCTACTTTCCCTTCTGCAACCGTCAACTCTCTCTCTCTCTCTCTCATTTGTAATTTGTTCCCAAATAAAACTTGTTACACAAGGTTTTTAATTAGTGATGATGAATTTTGCAAAACTTCGTCACCATAAGTTTCTTAAAATTCACACTAAACATTGTGGAGATGTTTTAATCGACGGAACTTCATTCTAGCTAAACTAAGCTAATAAAAAAAATTGTGTTGCGAGTCCTGTTCTAAAAATCCTTCCCTATAGCCGTCTAGGAGCTAGGTAGCTAGTCATCGTTCCGATTAATGTTTGGGCGTTTAAAAATTAAGAAAGGGCATTTAGACCTGCTGAGGCGCCGACCTACACTGCCTAAGCACCCGCCTAGCCCACCTAGACTCGCCTAGGCACCCGCCTAGATTACGACTCACTTAGATAAAAAATAGAACTTTTATTTTGCATTTTATTTTTTTCAATAAATTATAAGAGACTTGTTTAATACTTAAACGAACAGACATTATATGCTTGTTCTCCATGTTTTCATTATGTTCCAATACTTCATAATATATGTGTCATTCTATTTTGTAGTTTATGATGTAATTATATATATTTTCACTTAGATAGGAAATAGAACTTTCATTTCGCATTTTATTTTTTTCAATAAATTATAAGAGACTTGTTTAATACTTAAACGAACAGACATTATATGCTTGTTCCCCATGTTTTCATTATGTTCCAATACTTCATAATATATGTATCATTCTATTTTGTAGTTTATGATGTAATTATATATATTTTAAGTATAAATAAACACTTATTTACACGAAATATAATAGATTTACTTAAATCCGTCTAATCCGCCTAGGTGCCTACCTAGACGTTAGGCCCTAGCCAGCCACCCGACTAGCGCCTAGTATCTTTTAGAACCTCTCACGACAATATAATATAAAATATGAACTGCACACAAAATTTGATTGATTTAAAGATCAAACTTTGTGTCCTGAGACGAACCGGTCACAATATTTATTTTAAAATCTTACAAACCCTTCATTTCATGTTAAATTCTCATTATTTTGTCATGATTTTATTTCATTTGTTGCAACATCTTCTCATATTTCCATTGAGGATACCAGCCTTCGAACTCACAACAATGAGAATTCATGATTCCACACTTCACCACAATGGTAGGAAGAATGGATGAGCTCAAGAAATTGTGCGACATCATAAGGACAAAGGTGGTCAATAAGGAAAAGCATTTTCCTATGTTTTGTGTGCGTTGGGACACAATTGGAGACTTTAGGTTCAAAGACCAACTTATTTAAAGTAGAAGAATCAAATAACATGGAATTGAGAGCTTTTTAACGTCACACAATCACACATATTCTTACTTTTTTTCTTTTCTTTATACAAATTAATCGATAATGAGGGAGGAAGAATCTTGAGTTAAGGATATAAGTTGTTATCTACCTCAACAAGTAATATTAAAGATGACGAAATCGAATTTAACATATTGTAAGAATGAACGTTCTTAAGTAACTCAGCTACAAACTATTTTTTTATCCTTATTTTTTCTTTTTCCTTTCACTTTCATAATCTAGGACTTGACTATAATACGTACATTTATTTTATACATTCATCATCTAATAGTTAGATATGATCAGATATATAATATCTCATCTTATTGTTTTTACACATTTACTAAATACATTCACCACTTAACATATGTTATGAATTGTGTATTTACCATCTATCCCAAGCTACCTAGACAAAACAGGCGCACCTTGTCATCTTTTCTACTCTCTTTTTTCCTACTTTGTATATCCTATAGTTGTAGTAGCTTTGTGAATCTGTTAGGTTCTTGCGACTCTCTGTGCTTAGAGTGAGTCCAGCTTGAGTTTTAGGTATTGTCAAATATAATATTCTTTTTTTTTTATTGTATATTTAACCGTTAGTTGACGAATACATTAAGTAAATACATGTACTATTAACCAACGTTGATTAGTTTCCCATGTATTTCAGAGGTTCAAGCCCATAAGCATTGACAATTCGTTATACACTCCAAGGTTTTAAATGGAGGGTGTTATTTTTATATTACAACGAGGAGGATAGATTGGGTGCCCGATTAGATATGCTTTATTAAAGGTATAGGCCCCCTGGTCCAGGAGACCCACCTACACCTACGTCAGGGTCTCCTTTCCACTTGGTCTAGGACTCCTGTGGTCCTATTTTAACTCCGACATTAGGGCCCAACCCACCCCTAATTTGTCTTGAGGCCGTAGATGTCCCCCCGACGAAAGATTCCGTCTCCCAACACTACAATTCATTACATTTGCTAAAACTCAAAACTCGAATCTCGTTTAATTTTAAGAAAACTAATAAAAAAAATTTAAAATTTTAAGTTTTAATGATAATGACAAAAATAAAAAAAGTAAAGTAAATAATATCAGATTGATCTTCTAATATAAAAATATGATTTTTCGTGAAAATAAAGTATCAGAATCTTTTCGTTAAAGTCCACTTTAATTTTTTGAAACACAAATTTGTTAGACAGCATCTTAGAACTCAACTCGTGTCTTACGTTGTTGTTCAAAGGTATCGTATAAGTGTGATGTGATTGAAAATTAACAAAAATCAATTTTTTATATTTTAATTCAAAGTTTTCTTATGCAAATAAGAAAATAAAAGACAAAATTAATGAAAAAAGTTTAAAAACTTTGAGTTTTAATCAAAATGACAAAAAAATGTAGTAAATGAATAGTATCATAAATGATTTTTTAGAATAAAAATATCATTTTCGTTAAAAAATGAACAACGCCAAAAATGTTTCGTTAAAACTCTCCAAATAAAACTCTTAACAAAACTTTTTAAAAGCTCGTGACACATCTAACCAACAAGAGTTATATTAGTGCCACGTAACAGTTTTAACAAGTTTATTAAACGGACTTTAACGTGAGAAGGCAAAGTGAGACGTGACACAAGTTTGAGTTTCAAGGAATTACGTGCTAAAAGTTGAAAAACAACAAAAAGAAACGAGCAAACCACCGTCTTTTAAAAAACATGAGCTCTTTGAGCAACATGATTGTCCAAATACTAAAAATAGGAGAACGAAGAAACAATGAGACAAAGCTCAACAACCGCCTTGTGTAACAAAGTAGTCAAATTCATAAACCATGAACTTAAAGGTAACCAAATCCACCTAACCTTATTCTTTTTCTTCTAAAAATCTGTAAAACTATGGTACATAAGCAAGAACAAAGTAATGAAATGACACTCTACATCCATCTTAAGGGAATAAATCCGGAGATAATCCCTTCCACCAAATCCCCCCAATCAATTAATCCAGATCTTTGAAATTTGATTCAACGGCTACAAATAGAGATCCCTTTAAAAGTTATAATAACTTTAGCCGTTTGATCAAATTTCAAAAGCCCGAATTAGGTGATTGGGTGAATTTGGTGGAGGGGATCCAGAGAGGATACCTTTCCTCATCTTAATTCAAACACTGTACCAAGGAAAATGTGAGATTTCCGTCTACATCAGAGCGTGGAGACGAATAAATACTCGGAGGGCATATACATCAGGAGAGCTACGAACTCCTCTCGGTAACTCGTGGACCCAAGTACTCGATTCTATCCATTTCCGCGTACTCAGGCATTTCAATCTCTTCCAACCACCCATAACTATCGTGTTTCTCTTCAGTTACTGCTGCTCCTCCATCTGCGTCGAATTGACAAGCAAATAAGATATAGCTTATAAACTCAAACGTGCATCAAAATGCCAGTAACAAGTTTCAGTATTTTAACAAGTCTCAGTAACATGTTTCAGGAGTTCAAGTTTCTTCAATGGTTAAATAGAATGACCGAGGACCGTGCCCAAGCAGCCTAAGCAGAAAATGGTCAGGTTAAATCATCATGTAGCTGGAGATTTTTGGACCTGTACACAAATACTAAACATACACTGGAGAAGCGAGTGTTGAGAATATAAAAACATCCGCTCTACCTATAGCTAATTGAATTTGAGTTCGATGCTCTAAATTTTTAAGACAGGCCTCATCTCGTAGATTAACATTCTCTTTTTGTATCGCCAAATGGCTCACCAATTGCATCATGCACAATCTCTGATGGTTCCTCCATTCTCCCACATTGCTTGTGTAACTTTTATAAATGCAAGTCCGAGAAAAATCCATACGCATCATGCCATAATTTGGTTGTTTTCACGACAGATCAAAGAAAATAAACCATTTGGCAACTTGTCAAGAAAGCAAAAGTTCACTTACTTGAATAAGCCGCATAGGGATGATCTTTGTAATACGTGCAATCCCGGCCATCTTCTATAGAATAGGGTGGTCCCATCACATCGAGCACTGCACAGGGTGTTACGGCTGTGAAGGCATGGATGTTGCCACCTTTTGTTGGATAAAGTACTGATGCTTTGCATGAGGCTGTGAAGACACTATCAGCTTTCAACTCGGCCAGTCTCACTGCAAAATCATCCTACTAGTATTAGATACTGGTAAAGACACAGTCCCAGATAGTTTTTATTTTCGTTTTAATTTTACAGGAGAGTGATATCGACTCACATTGAGGCGCAGGCGTGGAGCCATCTGAATTAACGGGATCAACCCAATCGTATGATTTAATATGCATCTTGCCTAATAGAAGCTTACTGAAAACAGTCATATCTGGATGGTTATGGAGTGGGATAACACCATTTGCTGGAATAAAAAAGCAGCACAACTGCACATGGAAATAAACAGGAGAACCAATCAACAATCGATCAAGTAAACGCTTTTTGAAAACGAAACTTCGCTTTTTTATGTTATTAATATATGGCCATCTAAAAGAACTAATAATCAGTTCTGCAGAAAGCCACCCAAGTTAATACTGGACCAACTAGGTAGAAAGAAGTACAAACTTACCGAAAATTTGTTGCACTCGTATATGGTTGTATACGTGACCCTAGGAGTGGGGAACCGCAGATCCCTACTTAGCCCAACATCTTCTGGTCTCATATTATCTACAGCACCACAATAAAATCGGCTTGTGAAGAAGATGGCAGACAATGTTTCCTTCACGCATGAAATGAATCAAATATTTATCCGGACTACATATCACTTTCATACATAACAATTCCATGCCAATGCTTGCCTGCCCCTCTCCTTAATCTTTTCCCCAGCATTACACACACGCACGTCCACGTATACATAATTGTACGCCATGATATTCTAGATTCATTATCTATTGCAGGCTACAACATATTAAATCCGATTTTGGACTGCGCACGCTCTCCTTTCTATTTCCTCAAAATCCACCTACGGTGGTAGGAAATATCAGTCAAAGTTAAACCAAATAGTAGTATATGATAGATCATTACGGTGACAATCGAAATTGTGGTTTACTCCAAGAAAATGCTCCAGAAGCGGGGTGAAATTAAGGTGTTTCGATGTCGCCATGGCCAGACATACAACACATACAGTCTGGCAGAACAATAATCTTTTGAACAAATAAACATCTTGAACAAATTTTCCCCATTCAGCCACATTACCCCGACACTCCACCAACTACATATTTAGAAAGCAACTCAAATTTGCAATTTTTCCTAAAACAGGAGGTGGTTTATTTCCTAGATACAGCAACGTCATCAAATTCTTTCCTAAATTCGCAAATTTGGACTTTTTCCTAAACAAAAGGACAGGAATTTTTGTCATAGCACAGACAAACGCACATACATAGATCGAAACGCAACGGATAGGAATTCGAATAGACAAAAACATATGACCATATTCTCAATGTTCCTAGTACCAGATTCGTATAATAAAATATCAATCAAACGTATACGACAACAACATGTGACTGAACTAATCAAAAGTAAAGTATGAAACTTGGTAAATCCGAAAAACGTACCGAGGATGCGACGCAGCTTTTGCACATGGCGAGGGGAAGGAACGGTTCCGGGGCCTTTGAAAGCGTTTCTGCACGCACGAAGGAGCTGTTGCAGCGGAGTTGGAACCCTCGCAGTCCTCATAGTCATATGTATATGTATCTGTGTGTGTGTGTATAACTATATATTCACTTCAGATGCAGCACAGAATTTCTCCTTCAAACCCCAGAATTCAATATCTAAATTGAGCAGCAAAGAAGCAAGAAAAACAACTGATCCGCAAAGCAAAGATTAATTTCAGAATGGTCGGAAGGTGTTTGATGAAATGCCAAAGAGAAGTGAGGCGATGATGATACCGTGTAACAGTGGGAGGGATGAGGAGATGTAGGATCATATATAAGGATTGAGCCATCGAGAGAGAGAGAGAGAGAGAGAAAGGAGGAGAGAGAAACCAAAACCAGGGGCGGCACGGGTGGATGTGGTGCGGAAGAGGAAGAAAAGTTCGTAGATTTGTGGGAAAAACAAAGGAAAAATTAAGAGACAAGGTTCTGCAGTTCCGCCATTTGTACCCATAGATTTGAGTTGAAACCGGCTTAGCTGGCCACGCCAGGATGTGAAATGACCAAATGGCCATATACGATGGCGAATACTGTTGGCTTTGACCTTGTAATTGGTAATTTGGCTGGGAAAATATCTTGCTCCTCACAACAACCAACCACGTGTCGCTCTCTCTGGAATCAATTGTTTTATTTTATTATTATTATTATTTTTTTTGGTTATTGTATTATTATTCTTACTGCGGCTTGTTCTCTTTACAAAACTTCGGGTTGCTTCTTGGTAAAGCACTTTCTGGCAGAAAGTGTCGAAGTGTTTCTTCTAAAATAAGAATACTCTCAAGAGAGAAATTTAAGTTATGAAATGTACTGTGAAGGATTTTGGTGAAAGTCCTTAAATGTGTTAGATGAAAATGTTGGAGGGAGGTGAAATATTTTCTTTTTGTATATAGAACTCGTTTGGATATGTTTTTAAAATGACCGACAATATTTTTTGTGAAATTATTTTGAGAACTAATCCTTAGTAAAAATGCAAGTAAATCGTAGAAAAATACTTAAAATACTTCTTGGAATAAGCACATAAAAAGCACTTCAAGTACTTTTGGAATCCAAAAACATTTTCTCTAAAAGTGCTCTCAGTTATTTTAAAAGCACATCCAAACGAGTCCATAAGAAGTTGTCAAATCAAACTCTTATAAATAGAAGTATGTATAGAACTTCATTACAACACACCAGATCAAAAGTGAAAAACAATAACACCACTATCTCCTTCCTCTCTTTACCTACATCATTTATGTGATACATTGCACCCATTTCGCTTCTATCTCTATCAAAGGTTATCTCTCTCATTTTTGCCTATTTATAATAGTTATGTGAATCAGTTCACTTCGTAACTATTTCTTATTTACTAACATATATATTTGATTTTTTTTAGTTTTCTTGTAAATCTATAACAAAGTATTAAAACATCAAGAATAAGGCATGTTTCTAAGAGAACTTGTTATTTCCTTCTCGCATTTAAGTAAACATGTCTCTGCAGATAATACTTTACCACAGTGAAAGTTGTAATTATGCCAATGCATCTTAGTGCGGGTTTGATTCGTATCAATATCCCTTTCTTTTTTACCACTAACAATTTAACACATTAAACGCAATCATTTGTCAGAAAAATAAAATAATAAACATTGCATTTATGTAATGGGTATGTGCCGGCTTTTGTCTTTCTCTCACATTACAGGTAAAAAGAAGAGACAACAGCAAGAGGATGCGCATTCAGTTGCATCTAGCTTTCAAGCAACAAATCCATTATTTAGAATAATTTGACAAATCCATTAACTAGGATACACATTCTCTCGTACACTCGAGCAACAAATCCATTACGCAACTAGAGAATACACATTCTAATATTCAATTTTAATGGCGTCACCTTCCAATAAATACTTTTCATTTGTTCAGAAAATGCAATGATCATTTATTGAAAGACTACGCGTGATGAAATAGTGGCATAAGAGAATCTCGCCGGAGATGGCGGAAATTTGGCTGGTCCAAAAAGCAATAAGTGCCATAGGGCTTTCTAGTTTTCAATTCAAGTAGCAAAATCCATTAACTAGAATAATTTGACAATTTGATTAGAAATTTAGAAAGGGAAGTGTTATTGGCATTCCAAAAATCTCATTCCACACTCCTCACAATTGTATTTTTCTTTCCTAATATAGAAAGTTTGGAATGCAGAATGAGATCTTTGGATTGCTAATAACAATTCCCTTTAAAAATAGGTATTAACTTGAAATTAACAGGATTAACATGTTATAATTACGATCAATTGCATAATTTTCAATTTACTTCTCCTTCTTAACTTTCAATTTTGTTGCATTTCTTTCGACTACTTGAAATTTTTTTGTCATTCCTACAATATTACAGAACAAATCTATGCCGGAAACTTAACGAAATGTCGCACTTCTAAGAAGTTGTCGGATTTTGGTAACAGTTATGTGAATGAGTTCACTTCATTACTATTTTTCTTGTTTACGAACATACATATCTGAAAAATTGTCAGATTTCTTGTAAATTGTAATAAAATATTATAATATCAAGAATAAGGCATGTTTCTAAGTTCTCTTGTTCTTTCCTTCTCGCATTTAAGTAAACATGTCTTTGCATATGGTATTTTACCACATTGGAAAGTTGTAATTATGTTAATGCATCCTAGTACGGGTTTGATTCGCGTCAATCTCTCTTTCTCCTTGATCACTAACAATTTAACACACTAAACGCTATCATCTATCAGAAAAAATAATAATAACGTCTTTTATGTAATAGCTTTGTTTTAAAAATCGGCCTAGGCCCTGGGCGGTGGAGCCTCGCCCCAATTTTGGGCAAGGCATTTGGAAAAATCGGCTGGAAGCTAGGTGGTCCTAGGTGGCTCCTAGGCGGAGAGCTAGGTGGCACCTGGGTGGTTTTTTTAATATCTTTTTTTATATTTTTTATTAATTGCGTGCTTTTTTTCTTTTTTGGTTTCATGGTGTACCTAATTTGTAAATGATGGATTTACTACAAGTTCATCCAATAGTGAAACGAATTGGAGCACTTTTGTGGGGATACATACAAAGAAAAGAAATAAACTAGCTACAACAAGGTTAAATAATTTAGTCTATGTCTAATCCAATATAAGGATCATGATTCATGAATAAGAAGAATTTAGTTGATCATCCAAATCCTCCTCATTATGATTATATGCTTACTATTTTTTAAATATTGAACTTTTTGGATGTATATAATTTGTGTATTCTTCTACTTCTATTTTTGCATTTTATCATTCCTCTATTATCTATACAAGTATAATTTTATTTTTAGGTGCAAATAGGCACTTATTTACAAGATGTATAATAAATTTATATAAATCCGCCTAGGCACTAGGCCCCTGCCTACTGCCCGACTAGCGTCTAGCAATTTTTATAACCTTGTACCGGTTTTGTCTCTCTCTCACATTGCAGGTAAAAGAAAGAGATACACATTCAGTTGCATCTAGCTTTCAAGCAACAGATCCATAGAATAATTTGACAAATCCATTAACTAGGATACACATTCTCTCCCGTACTCAAGCAACAAATCCATTAAGAGAGCAACTAGAGGATGCACATTCTAATATTCAATTTTAAGAGCGTCATCATCCAATAAATACTTTTTATTTGTTCAGAAAGTACAATGACTTTTTATTGAAAGACTGCCGCCTAATAAAATATAATTTTATTAAAAGACTGCCGCGTGATAAAATAGTGACATAAGAGAATCTCGCCGCAAATTGAGGAAATTTGACTGGTCCAAAAAGCCAAAAATGCAATAGGACTTTCTAGCTTTCAATTCAAGCAACAAAATCCATTAACTAGAATAATTTGACAATTTGATTAGAAATTTAGAAAAAGGTATTAACTTGAAATTGACGGGGTTCACATTTTTTAATTACGATCAATTGCATAACTTTCAATTTACTTCTCTTTCTTAACTTTCAATTTTGTTGCATTTCTTTCGACTACTTGAAAAATTCTGTCATTCCTACAATAATACAGAACAAATCTATGCCGGAAACTTAACGAAATGTCGCACTTCTATTTCCAGTTGCTGGAAAAGCTTGGCGTCGTCTACCCTGTCCTAGTTCTTTTGACCCGTCATCGTTTGAAACTAGACCAGCTAAAGATTTTTTCTTTCCCGCTGAGTTTAAGCTCTTCACACCTTCCGCAGCTCCAGCCTCTCTGACCGGCTTAGCTCCGAATATGACCTGACTCTTTGCTGCCTCATAGTCGAAGGCTTCACCTGCAAACCACCAGATTCCTGGGACTTCTCCACTTCTCTTGTCTTCCTGTTTTGGTTAAGCGACTGAAAGCATTTTTGGAAGCTCGATGACAAATCAGAGAGAGACACGGGTTCGTCTTCCCCATCCCTCCCCAAAGCAGATGGTACCGAATCATTCTCCTCTGGCTCATTTCTGGTTTCTGAGGAACCATCTACCGGTTCACCTCCATCTGAATCATTTTCCAATGTTATGATGTCACCTAAACCAGAACCAGAGGGTGATGCAGTAAGCGGCCCTTCAGAATGGGGAGTTTCTGAACTTTTATCTCGTGCTTCCAAGGTTGGTTTGGATTTCTCACTCCCGCCCGAAAATGAGTGGAATGGGAAGTTCACTGAAGATCTAATTTGTTCCAACTTATTATCTTCCTTGCCCTAGAAAGAAAGTTAAGAGCACAAGAGTTAATAGTGTACCGAGTTACCAAAGAAGATTCCATGGAAATCTAGCCGTTTCAATATCAAAAAGAAACCACCACCATTATATGATTCAGTTGACAACGTAAAAAAGGACGGCCACTGATCACTTAAATGCTTAATGTAGAAGGTGAACAATCTATATAACAAGACATTTGTGGTTGTAATATTTCTATTTGACTAGACTTGTAACATGCAAGATTTAGGCCTAGCTGCGATTGCAAGTAATACAAGACAAAGATGGGCCTATTCCATTTCAGGCATATAATTTACAGCAGTGTTCTTACTAACCTTTTTATCGACATCGACCTTCCTTTTTGGAACTGCACTACCCAACAGTGAACTAAAGGCACGGCTGGGCTTCTTTTGCACCTGAACACTCACTCCAGTAAC